TTGACAAGTACATATTTGGAAGGTTTACCAAATTTCGCGTACTCTTATTGTATCTGTGTACTAGTAAACGGAAAAATAAGGCCTGTACGAAGGGTTGTCGGTTCTGAACCGAATCGAAGAATCAAGGATTGTTCAGTTCGGTTCTAAGGTTCGAGTTCGGATATCCGAAGAATTTTCAGTAACAGGCACACCTACCCTGTACGAGTAAATTTAAAAATTCCAAAAATTAATTATTATTTAAAGTTTAACATAAAAATAATATAAAAGATGCCTTTTTTTTTAAGTTTAATAAACTTAATATAATAATTTTCAATTCTGGTTTGATAAAAAAATTTTAGAAGAGAAATAAAAAATTTTAAAGTTCCCTAAAGGTAGAAGAAGAAAGAAAATTTAATTAAAAATTAATTTCTTTTAAATATTTTTAATTTAATTAAAAAGTTTTTTACGCTCATTATTTGTGTGTGGTATATATTTCTTTTACAAAAATTTTTTTGTGTCTCCTTTTTATTTCATAATTTTTTTCGTGCTTTTGTAATACTAAATAGGACAAAAATGATAAAAAAAAGAAAAGAGAAAATGCAGGTTTGGTCTGTCTAAGGAAGGTAAAAATAATTGAGAGAATCTTTTTTGACCTAAACACTTTCTTCTTAACAACGAGACGGAAGGAAGTATTTTTAAACTAAAAAAGAAGAAGAATACTTTGTGTTATTAATTTAATTAAAGCAGAAAAGAGCAAAAAAAGTTTGGGGAATATTTGGGCGTAGACAGGGAATGTCTTAGAAATATTTTGAAAATTTTGTAAAACTAAAAATTTTATTTAATTTCTAGTAGGGTTGGGCGGGATCGGCATCTAGATCGGGCGGGATTATCCCGTTTTTTGAATCCTGAGACCGAAAGATAAATCCCGATCCCGGTTTCGGCCAATCCCGATACCGCCCAACTATAATTTCTAGTTCTGTGTTCAAAAAACTTGATTAAATTAGATATGTACATATTTTCCAATAAATATTTTTACTTTTTTTAATTCTGATTTTCTAAATAATTAGCTTAAATTTTGAATTTTAGAGAGGTTATCTGGAATTATTTTGGAAATACTTTAAGACAATTTTGAGAATTTTATAAAGCCAAAGTGTCTCTTTAATAGGATTGGGGCCCGATCCGGTCCTGTCCGAAAGATCGAGTTGGACATCGAATTTTGGCCCGAAAAAGACTCGATCAGCCGGCCCGATAATGACTCGAACGTCGGCCCGACTCGAAAACCCCAACACTACTCTTTAACGATTATTTTTTTGTAATTATAAAAAAATAGTTCTAAAAAAATTTTTTTAAATTTCTATGGGAATTAGAACAAGTCTCAAATGTTTTTTTTACAAAATTCCAAAAATTTTAAAATTTTTTTAAGAAAATAGTTAACTCCGCGCCCTAATATTCTCGATGACACTATAATCTTGAAGAAAAAAAGGAAATTTTTTTTCTCTTTTTGCAAATATTTTTAATTGTTGATGGATAGGTGTTAAATAAATTAAAGGCTTCTTTTCTCTTTTATTTAAAAAAGAATGTCCCCGCATTAAATAAAAGGAATGTCGTCGTTATAAGGACATTAAAAAATTATGAAAGAAGCAACTTTAAATTAAAAAAAAAATAATTTTTTAAACAAAGAATGAGTAATTAATTAAACAAAATTAAAAATAAATTTTGAAATTAAATTTTAGATTATGGAAAGTAAAATATATTCAAAAATTAAAAAAAAATATTTAAATTTGTTGAATTTTCTTCTTAAATTTTTAGGAAAATAATTTTAAAAATTTAGACATTCATTTATCTTAAAAATTGTAAATTAAAGAGAAGATACATATGAAGTAAAAGAGGTACAGATCAAGTAAGGGGTACAGATCAGTAGTATGTAATCTTATCAAATTTAGTATTAAACGATTTCTCTAATCCAGCTAAAGAGATTGTTACCAAAACTGATAAGGGCCAGAAATTTTCCAGCAAGTTATGGCTTTGAGCCGTTATGGCCGCACATTTACTTGGGCGTGTCCCGAAATAAAAGTAATATATACAAAATAATCTAAAAATTTTATTTTAAAAATTATAATACAAATAAAAAAAGGTATTTAAAAATGTTCGTTTTTTTAATTAATTCCTTCAAATAATTTAAAAAATTGAAAGGTTAAAAGCAAGTTTAATTTAATTAAAAAATATAATAATCAACTGCGCAATAATCGTCAAAAAACCAAAAAAGTCTAGACAGTTAAAATGGTTCTGCTAATTAAAGTAAAAAGTAATTTTTTGAAGGAAAATAAAAAAAAATTAATGATAAATATTTTGTGATAAATACAAAATTAATAAATAAATAAATTTATTTTACATATTTAATTTAGAAAATTAAAATTTACAAAAATTAAACTTGAAAAATTTTTGATAAGCTCGAATCGGCATCGACCTCAAAGGATTAAGTAAGCCTGTCAATTACTAAACTATTCCCTTTAACCAACTTAACCACATAAATAACTGGCACTAAAATTAAACTTTCTTCCGTTTCCTCCTTTGCAAATAATTTTTAATAATTATAGCATCACAAAAAATATTTTACTATTTAAAAATATTTTTTTCTAAGATTTAGTAAACTTCCGATTTTTGGACAAAAATTAATAAACAAAAAAAATATTTTTATAAATAAAAAAATAAATTTATTTTTATTTTTGCATAAAAGGAAAAGAAAAAAAACTTTAATATTATTTTCTTTTAAAAGCTTTTTTTGTTTTTGTTATTTTTAGTCTATTTTTGGTTTATTTTAATAATAAAAATAAATAATTAAATATCAAAACTCTTGACATTTCTTTTATAATATAATTAAAAAAATATTTTTTTCTTAAAAACTTGGTGCCATTCAAAGATGGCGGGGAGTGAGGATTTGGAAAAATTGTAGAAAATATGTATTTTTTCAAATTTATTACTAAAAAATAAAAAAATAATTTTTTCTTTTCATAAAATAAAAAATATATTTTTTAATGGAAATATAGGAGAGAAGATAGTGTTTTTTTAATTTTAAAGGAAAATTAAAAAAAATTAAGGATAGGAAAACTTGAAATATTAGGATAAAGGACAAGAGTAAATTTTAAGAAAATAAGATAAAGAAATTAAAAAGTTTCTGGTCAGTTAACAACATGGAAGATATACAATGAAACTGTTAAAAATTGTTTTTCAATATAATTCAAAATAAATTTGAGAATAAAAAGGAGATGTAAAAAATTAAAAAAAGGAAACAGAATTAGTCTTCTAATTGAAGCACAGTCTCGTAGGGTGTACTGAATTTTGCTTCTATTAGAAGATTACGATTTTCTTAAAAAAGGGAATCAAGAAGTTGTGTATATGGGTATTTTTTAAAGGTGATAGGGTTTTCGATAAGGAGTTTATATAGGTTTTTTTAAAGTTTGTAACTCAGACAAGGAAAACTTTAGAGGCCTCACTTTTTTCAGGAAGGTCTCCAAATTGTTTAGTATAAAAAAAATTAACCCAAAAGTACAAACATATTTTTGTATAGATTCAAAAGAAAATATATAAAATTTCAATTAGTTTAAGGCTTCCAGTTATTTGAAGATTAAAGTATTAGAAAAAAGATTAGAAAATATTTTTTACTATTTATTTTTCTAGTTTGATATTTTGATATATTTTTTTTAATTAAAAAGGAGATGCACTTATGCTTAAATATTTTTTAAGAGTGCGTAATTAATTAAAAATGTGTTACTGTAGTGCTAAAAAATATTAAAAAAATTTGTTTTTGAAAAATAAATTTTAAGGGATAATTTGATGTGTTTAAATAATTACAAAAATTGATAGAAAAAAATATTTTTCAAAAATAGAAAGATTATTAGAGAAGTTAATGTTTTTGAATAGAATATAAAATAATCTTTAAATAAATTTTAAAATTTTCAGAAAATTGTTAAATATTAAAAGTATTGTATATTTCGAGAACTTGGGAAATGGGAAATCTTGTTTAATTTATTTATTCAATTATTCAAAAGATGGATCAAGGAGAATATGTTTGTAGAGCAATAAAGCTCCTTTAAGATTGTCATGAGTGGAGTAAGTCTCCGGTAACCTTCGGAAATGTAGTAATACATAGGACGGACATCTATAAATTCAAAAACAAAAAATAAATGCTAACCGTTATATTATTTTTATAAATACTCATTAAATTTGCTTTTAGAAGAAAAAATATTAACTAAATATTATGGTTAAATTATTTATAAAAGTACAAAAATAAAGGTGTAAATATTCTATAGTTAATTGCTTATCAACACCTAATTTAGAAATATAAATTCTCAGAAATGGGACAAAGTGTCTTTGATTGCGTCACAAAAATATTTTAATTGTTTACGTCGTTATCGCCCTTCTTTATACACTATATATTTGTTCATATCAGGGTGGTCAAAGCGTAGAGCTACACCCCATTTTTGTGGAATCTACTACCCTTGATTCAGATTGATAAAACTCCAAAGTCCCCTGCAAACTCCGTTCTATAAGAATATGTATTATGGAATAAACAGAAAGATGACAGATGTTTTCCCAAAAAATTCTTGCAAAAAACAATAAAATTTCTGTGAATGAATCCCTAAACCATTCAAAAATCTTTTTTTTTAAATTTTGAGTAATTTTATACCAAAAACAATTACCCATATATTTAAACTTTTTATAAAAACACCACTCTCTCTAAATAATCCATCAACTTAATTTATATATACTCTGAATTTTTACACAATTTTTTCTCATAATTATTATTAAAAATCATTTTTATCATGCATTTTAATTTTTCAAAAATCCAAAAATAAACTAGCGAAAACGTAAAAAAGGCATTTTATTTTTACACTTTAAACAAAATATTCAAGTGAACTTCACATGGAAGAGTAATACACTCTTACCCAGTCGTTTTCAACCTAAAAAAAATAATAATTTTTAAAATTGGAAATTAATTTGCGAGATGATCTCTCATTCGTTAAGAGACAAAAGAGTAAAAAGAAATCTAATATGGAAAAAAGGGAAATATCTCAAATCTGAAAAATAGCAATCAAGTAAAAGTTTAGCCAACAGGAGGATTAGAACGTGCGGGAAACGGGGGAGCTTTTTTTTTCTTATATATCGTGAAACACCCTCCTACTCAATAATTATCAATAAAAAAAATAATTAAAATATAAAAAGGTCCCAAAGAAAGCAGCCGTTGTAGTTGATTTAATTAATAGAGACACTCTTCCCAGTTAAAAATAATTTTTAAAAAATGATACATTATCAAGAGTAAATTCGCTGTTGATCCGTCCATCAGGTTTTACAATGGCAAATTGTTGCATTATCTGTCGCAATAAACGGTGATCCATTTGAGGTGCACAATTTATTGTTAACTGAGAAAAAAATTTTTATTTTTTGTTTTTAAAATATTTTTGAAAAATTTAAAAAATATTTTAGTAAAACCCAAAAAAACAAAAATTTGTTCAAAAAAATTTTCTCGCCTTCCCACTTCGCTTACCTTCATTCCAACAATTTTAACCAAAAAAGTATACAAATTAGCAAAAGGTTCAGTTAATTCACATTCCTCAGAAGGCAACCCTTTACTTAAACATAAATGTGCCAAAGAATAATCCAATTTAAAAAGTATTTGTCTGAGAGATTGTTCCAAAGTTGTTGAAGAAGAATTAATTCTAGCACCACTTCCAAATCCAAATAAAGAAAATTCTTTATTTAAAGATTTATAAGGCAAATGAAAATCAAGAAAACGGGCAAGGACGTGAATAAATTGAGAAAGAAATTCGAGTGATGCTAAGGATTCGATGATTAATGGATGAGAAGAATTTTGTGATGATGAGATCTTAAATAAATTAAGTTAATTTAAAAATTATAATTTTGATAATGCAGTCAAATCTGTGAGCAGGCAAAAGTACCGCAAGGCCAAAGTACAGCCGAGCTATAATTTCGTTCAAAATTGTCGAATCCGAGACGCCCAAGTATGGTTCGTTGTACCTTGTCGAATTGAATCGAACCATACCAGGACGTCACGGGTTCGATAATTTTGCACGAAGTATAACTCGGCAGTATGTTGGAGTGTACCCGTCAAATCTCAATTTTACATAGGTACACCATTAAGGCTAAAAATGTAGCTAAAACTGAGTTAGTATCAATTGCCTTCCAATTTTCATTCAAAAACAAAATTTAATTAAAAAACCTGTGTAGAATTAACATTATTGTTTGTAGGTTCGTCACTTTGTTGGATTGAAGCAGCTTTAGACAACAAACTTATTCTATCCAAACAAAGGCAATTATTTAACTTTAAAAAAATATTTAAAATAAAAATTTAACTAAAACCAAGAAAGCAGCTCGACTCATTTTCGATTGTCCAGTCCATACAGGGATTGGATTATTTGCTGAAGTAGATAATTGACGCTTCTCAAATCGAAATATTTGGATGAGAACTTTGGCAATAAGAGATAGCCGTTCATTTAACTAAAAAAGACAAGTAAATTTAGGGTTTCGTATTTGTAGATGTATCCAGCCGTGATTTCTCCGGAATTTAGATTAGGATCAAGGCATTTTTCAGTGTTACTTGATTTTCTTTGATTCAAGGACAAGAATCTTGTCAAGATCCTCAACCAAAATCAAGAATCAAAGTGAAAGTTTTTTTAAAGTTCCAATGTCCAAATATTTGTCCTTTTTCAAATTTATGCATATGGAAGATTTAGGGAATAATTAAGAATAAAAAGGTGCTAGGGTTAATAATCAAAAATAACCTTTGCTCTTGTATGTTCTGAAAGCAAACGAATATCTGCTATTTTCAGAGAAGTTTTATTGATTCGTTCAGAATGTGCTAACATTTTCTTCTAAAATTGAAAAAAAAAATTTTAAAAAATTTTCCAAAAAAACCTCTAAAAGAACAATATTTCTTTGATTTCTCTCGCTATGACTTTCCATTCCAGCAATTCGATGCCTTAGACGACCAACTTGATCCCGTTTCCATGCAATTTTTGTTTTTAAATCTTCAATAGATCGACGTACTTGGTGATATTCAGATTCGAATTTAACCTGAAAATTAGAAAAAAATTAATTAAAAATGGAGATGATTAGTGAAACTGAAGACATTAGGTTTTTGATATTTTGTAGAATAAAAAATTTAATTAATTGATTTAAGAAAATAGAAATTTGTTCCAAACAAAAGAAAAAAAATTATTTTTAGGAAATGCCAATTTTTGTATAAGACTTTTGTAAAGGGTTGGAATTTTAAAAAGTAAAATTTAAGAAAAATAAGTGACTAGAAATTTTATCGTTTCAAACTTTTGAAATGCCAAATATTTACAAATGGCATGGTCTCTGTTTAATATTTCTAATTTTTCCGTAAAAATTCTAACAGATGAATCGAGAATTTTTAAATTACAAAAAAATATTTAATTTAAAAATAAACAAACTTCACAATTTAAAGCATCCATAATTAAACCACAAATTGCATTTTTGCATTGTTGTAATCTTCTTAATTCTTCTTTGACTTTACCAATTCTTAGAAAATGTGTAGATAAACAATTGACACAAATTAAATTTTTTTGAGATAAACGACAATAAGGGCAACGAATTTTTGATGATAATTCTGTTGAAATAATTCTAAAAAATTAGAAAAATAAATTTCTAAATTAAAAAAAACTCTATTTGTTGAGAAGTTGAACAGCTACAATTATTTATATCTTTATTAGTGGAGGGATGTTGAACCTCAAATCTCTGTAAAATACCCAAAGGAGAAAGTTGTTTTTGATTCGACGAATTAATAGCAATTGCATTTAATAACATTTAAATAAAAATCTAAAAAAATGGGAAATAATCCCGTTAAAACACCTCTGAAATAGAAAATTAAGGGTAAGCTCATTTTGGGGGAAAAATTCGTTTTACAACTAATAGTACTGTATTAAAAGCTCTCAGAATAGATTCGAGTGAAAACTAAATCAGAGTAATCTGAATTAAATGACAAATTTATGACCAATGTTGTATCCCCTAGTTTTATTGATTATATCATTCGAAGGTACTCGATAAGCGCATCTTTTTTTCGAATGGATGTTCAAGTATGATCGGCTATTAAAAAGTTACAAGTCGATAAGTTTGAACCTTTTAATGGATGTTCAGGCTTGATTCATTCAAGAGGATGAATCATCGATAGCTTTCGAGTGATATAAGATTCATTAGGATTTGAGCAAGCGTAAAAAAGTTATTGCCATTAATTTTGGCTGACGCTCAACTATCCACACTCAACTGACCAAATCCCGGAAAAGTTGAATGTATGTATAATGTCTCCGTGTCCGGACAAAATATCGAATCGTTAAAATATGGAATAGGCTAAAAAAGGGTTAAAATCTCGAATCGGGTAAAAAGGGGTTAAAATCGCGAATAGGCTAAAAAGGGGTTAAAATGTGGAATCGTTAAAATATGGAATGGTTAAAATATCGAATAGGCTAAAAAAGGGTTAAAATATGGAATCGTTAAAATATTGAATGGTAAAAATGTCGACACGGCCAAAATCGATCAAAATGTCGAATTTTTTTAAAAATGGCGCCAGAACTAGAATCCGGGCGTTACCGTAATACCGACGGTATTTTTCGATATTCCGTGTCGGTTGTACGGTACGGAATCCGACCGATAAAATTTAAAAGCTGATCGGTATTTTTCGGTATTTCGTACCGTATACGGTAGGGTCAAACTTTAGGTCTTAACTAAAAACTAATGCACACCACTCTAATTTTTCCATATCAGGATCGCGTTATGTTTTCCGGATCCGTACGATCATGCCGGACCGGATCCGGTCGATTATGTTTGATTTATCCGGTCCGGTTTTACTCGGTAAAATACAATGAACTCTGGCAGAAAAGATTGCGCCGGACTACGACATACGAGACTTATCAATCAACTTATCATCAATAAGTTGATAAGTTGATAAAATCATCTACAATCAACGTATGGCACTCATCTGACCCTTTTTTAAAAGAATTCGACATTTTGACCGATTTTGGCCGTGTCGACATTTTTACCATTCCATATTTTAACGATTCCATATTTTAACCCTTTTTTACCCGATTCGATATTTTAACGTTTCCATATTTTAACGATTCGGTATTTTAACCCCTTTTTAGCCTATTCGCGATTTTAACCATTCCATATTTTAACGATTCCATATTTTGTACCGGAGCCAATGTCTCTATTAAAATAACACGCTATTTTCCCATTTAACCCGCCGTGCTTAAGTGCTCTGCCATTGAGACTCAAATGTTATATCTTTTGCTTAAAAATTAATTTTCCCGGGACACGCCCAAGTAGGCGCGCGGCCAAGTAGGCGCAAAGCCATAACTACCTGAAAAATTTATTGACCTTAACAATTTTGGTACCATTCTCTTTAGCTCGATGAGAGGAATCGTTTAATACCAAATTTGGTAAGATTCGGAAATTTTGAAGCAAGTTATGACTTTGCGCCTACTTGGCCGTGCGCCTACTTGGGCCGTACCAAATTTTCCCAGGTGGACTTTGTATTTTATTGATTTATTTCCAAAATTTTTTCTATTTAAGGGGGATTCCTTTACATTTTTTCGTCATTTGTTCTGTTTTTAATTTTCTTATTTTCTAGGTGTTCTTTGATTACCTTAATTCTTTTTAAAATATTTACAAACTCCTTTCCAAATTCATGGCTAATTCATTGATTGGTGTTAGTTGTGGAATGGACAATTTTGATAAAAGGTTTTACAACAATTTCTTTATTCTGTTATGGATTACGGAAATCTACTTAATGATTCCTAATTTACGATTTCCAAAATTCCATTTATTTTACCAATTGATTTAATAATACACAATCTTTTAAGATTTGGCCAAGTCATTTCTTCTGATGTTATTCATCCTGTGGAATTGACTGAGAAGAATTTTGTTGAGGCTGTTAATGGGGATGCTGATTTTGTTAAGGTTTAAATAAAAATCGGAGTTGACTCATCGATTTTAGTGTAACCTAAAAATGTAATTTGGATTTTTTGAGTCAATCCGATATTTGAAGGGGCTATTTGCTGATTAATTATTTTATTTCCCAGAAATTGGTTCCTTTTGCCGCCGATGACGAAAATTCAAATTGTGATGAGAAGAAAAAGAAGACAACATTTGTTGACTTCAATGGAATGCCAGTTAATGATCCTCTTCCAATCTTTCCTCTCAGCATGACACTTGAAGATGTTTTCAAAACGTTGCAAGCTGATGTTCGTTTTCTGCCAACATTGGTTGCTCTCAAAAAGTTGAATTTGAAGGTTTCTAATTTTTAATGATTATTTTGATTTTGACAAATTCTGTTTAGATTCCTCAATTGTTAATTAATGGAAATATTGGTGGACGTGCAAATCGTTATGGCCTTGTCGACATTACCGACGCCAATGGACAAATTGTTCTTGCATCTTCTGGCATTGCTCGTCACAAAAAGTAGGTGTTTTAATTGATTGTTTTGGTTGACTGACGGCAAAAAGTAGTTTTTTTAATATAGCTACAACGTCAGACCGTTCAAGACCCCTGGAATAATTACTTGGAAGATTGCCGTCTAACCAAAACAACTTTGAAAGAAAATAAGAAATGGATTTTTTTGTCTTTTTTATTTTTCAAAACAATATTCTTATTTTTTAAATTTGGTTTTGCAACCATTATTTTTTTTGATTTCTTTTACTTGTATTAATTTTTTGTTCCAATCTAGAAATTGCAAAATGTCTGAAAATCTCGACAAAGAGGCGGCCAAGCAAGCCGTTTATTTGCGTGCTATTGACAACATTAAAGAGGTTACTGCGAATGGCACCGCTAGCGTGGAGAAAATTTCAAGTGTGGCTTTGACTCTCCTGGAGAAAATGTCATCTGAGTCTTCGTCTCTCATGAAGAGTATAGTGGACACGCTCAAGGGTTATTTGATTATTTTTTCCATCCATTTCTTATAATTTTTAGAGAACAAGGTGGGAGGCAAACTTACTCCAGAAGACGTCTTGATGGATTCGCGAACGCCGACGCCAAAGAATGAATAATGGAAGTGCCTGAAGTGGTGGCCTTAAGAAGGAGACATATCATTGACCAAAACCAAAGAGCATATAAAAGCTTTCGTTATAAAATTGATATTATGTGCCTATAAATATTCTCAAATCTCTGTTTTAAGTTTTTGAATTTTTTTATATTTTGGTAACATTAGGTGTGTTTTTTCTAAGTATTAATGTCTAAACAACTATTGAATGACGGCATTGAATCGAGCACCACTTTTTAGTTAGGACTTGTGCCTGTTTTCCATTAATCATTTTTGCATAAACATTTCTTGTAGCCCTAATTCCCAAAAAGGACAAATTGTAGTCTAAATCTACATTTTCTCGTATATGGGCCGGATATACTCAGGCGCCAAATTATATTTGTATTTAAAAAATTCGACAAGTGAAAAGTAAAAATTGAACAAGTTCTTTATTTTTGTCTAAAAATGTTTGCAATCGATTTCGTCGATTGGACTTTGGAAGAAAAAATTTCGAAAGAAATTAGTTTTGTAGCAATTTTCTATGGATTATTTACTAAAAATCCATGTTGTCTTGCAACGAATATTTAAATGTTTTCTTGTCCTTTTTAAGTGTTTCTGAAACTTTTATTTCGTAATTGTTGGTTATCTCCCCATATTTTCCTTTCTTTTTTGGGTTACAAATATTGTTATTTGCAAAGTCTTAACAACTGATCATAAAATCGGTGACTCGACAAGATATTTTGGATATAGTTTAATATAGTACCGGAGTCTTAGTTTCGACATAAAGGCATCTCCGGAAAAAAAGTGGTGCCGTTCGACGCAGCTCGCCGAGACGAATCGAATGGTATGAGGTTTGTGTCGAAACTAGACTGCGGTATACTAAACTACAGCCGATATTTTAAATGAACTCATACCTTAATTTTTAATACGTTTTTGTAGATTATTTATGGAGACTGTCTTAGAAAAAACTTTATTTAAAATTATTGACCCTCCAAATCTACGAATAACAACTCCGAGATGGTTTACGGTTTATTTTTTAAAATTTTGATAAAAAATATATTAATTTATTTTTAAAGTTGCCTTCACCTATGCAAGTCTTCTTTTTTGTAATGGTTACTTATTTTTTAGTTACTGGAGGTTTTTTTTTGTTAAAATAAGAGAATATTCTTAAAAACAATTTTAGGTGTTGTTTATGATATTATAAATGAACCTCCATCTATTGGTTTTTATTAAATTTTTTTTCCTATAAAATTTGACAAAAATTTTTAAGGATCAACTGTTGATGAACGTGGACATAATAGACCAGGTTATATTTTTTCCAAAATAATTTTTCTGTTTTTAAATTTTTAGTTGCTATAATGCCATATCGTATCAATGGACAATATATTATGGAGGGTTTGGGGGCTAGCTTTATGTTCTGCCTTGGTGGTGAGAATTTTTACTTATTTTTTAAAGAACTTTAAGGTAATAGCTAGGATGAACCCCCCCCTCCGTACTTTATATTTTCTGTTTTTCCTTCCCCTTTTTCTTTTATTTTCTATGAGGCTAACAATAAGGGATCCTTGTGAAACAAATTAAATATGTATGTTTTATTTTTATAAGGAAAATAATGAAATGGTCAGAAAATAGAATATAAAGAATGGGAGAGGGATCTCTTTTATAATTAAAAATCTTAAAATTAAAAAATCTCTTTTTTATTGAATTTTAAACTTCCTTCTCCAATTTTGTTACCTCCACAATTACCATTATTTTGAAAATAAAATTTTAATTTTTCAGGCATAGGCTTAATTCTTTTGGACAGATGTAATAGTCCTTTGACCACGAAGACCAATCGAATGATGCTTTTCTTCTTAGGCTTTGGTCTTTTTGTTGTTGGTTTTTTCACTACACGAATGTTTATGCGAATGAAATTGCCTGATTATTTGTCCAGTTAAATTAGAGGGACTGGGAAAGAGACATTTTTAATGCAATAATTCCACCATGTTAATATTTTATTGTATTTTTTTCTAAGTTATCAAAACTGTTAAAGTTCTAATATTTGTAGTATTTTGGATTCAAAAATTTTTTCATCACTTTTTAAAGTGAACTTTGGTTATCTTAAACTATGTGGTTGTATGCTAGAACAGAAATTCGAAAAAAAAATTTTTTTTTAATCTTATTGTTAGGACGAGAACCAGTAATTTGTTGATTTGGAACATATTTTTCTAGCTATTTAGCTTTTAAATCTAGAATGACAAGACCCTGAAGATCTTCGTCTTAAGTCTTATAAAATATTGAATTCAACAAAAGGCAAGCCAAATTTAATTTATAATCAGATTAAACAGCAAGGAAAGAATTTGATATTTAAAAAACCTTTTAAATATAACAAAAAATAGATGCCCTTTTTAATCACGTTCTTCAATAGCAGTCAAATGTTCTTCAATCTCTTCATTCGTCATTTGTTTTATTTTCTGATTGTTTCTGTCTACATAAATTACCTCAACTTCCCCAGCCCTTATATCCATCCCCAAAGCGTGTTGTAAGGCTTCCAGAGCCAAATCAATTGCTTCGTTAGATGTAAATTGGGTCTTTTTCTTAAATTTTTTCTCCATAAAGCTATTCACTTGTTGCTGTTTTGTGCCAATTCCGAAGCCGCGAACCGAACTAAATTTAAAAATATTTTAGGAGAGTGTAAACAATGCATAAATTCGTTCTTACGGAAATGCCAAGAAAAAATAAAAATTACCAATAATATCCAGCTGGATCAATCATAAATACTTGAGGACCACTCTCGTCATCATATGATAACATCATCATCACTAAAATTGTAAAAACCTAAATTTTGTATTTAAATCTTTTAATGACATGAAATTTGAAAATCTCAAGATTTAGTTCGTCAGAAATTTTAAAAATTAAAAATAATTTACTCGTTCCAAGCGAACGCATTTCCGCGACTTGAGTGTAGTATTGATTAATATCCGCCATCTTACGAGCTAAAATTGAGACTGGCATATCATAACCATTGTGATATTTCCATTGAGCAGCTTCAGCTCTTGCACGGTTTACTTGGAATTTGCAATCCGCTGAACAAGAAAGATTCTTTAAAAAACAAAGGCAATAAAAAACTTACGAGCTATCCCCAAAACAGTACAGCCAACAGTTGGAGAAAGCTTATAAACGTTCTTAACCGAATTTGGATTAATCAGCTTGTCCTGAATTTTAAAAATTAATTTAAATGAGAATATTAAAAAATACTGGAATTCGACGTTGAACAACAATTACGGCAGCATCTTCAACACAAACACCAACAGCAGTCAAATTAACAGAATTTGCAGCCTTGAAAGCATATTCAACTTGATAAATACGTCCTTCAGGCGAAAAAATGGTAATATGACGATCATAGCCAGCAGAACTTCCTCGTGTCATTTCAAAGAATAATTAACACTTTTGAGCTGAAAATTGCTTAATAAGGAAAAAATATACAACAAATTTCGGTCAAACACCCAAACTCTCAGAAATCTCATCCTTTTTTAAATTTTATTCAAACTTGCGCGTAGAAAATAAAATTAAAATGACATTATATCCCAAAGAATGTCTAAATGTAAAATTATAACAAAATGGTCGAAAAATATAATTTGCTTAATCACGAGCATTTTTTAATCTTTGATTATTGTTTGGGAGCTTATTGGGTAATAGTGTCGTTTCCAGTCCCCATTTTTTCCTCCCAATTTTTTACCCTATGTTTGTACGGAATGGTCAAATTTCCCCCTTTCTTTCACCAAATTTGCCTTTCCATATTTTGCCTAAAAAGAATTAAAAAGATTAATTTTTTAGGCTCTTGTCCAGTTTATGCGTCCCATGAAAGTATATGCGTCCCATCAACAAAAAATTGGATATTTCTTGCTGTTGCAAAGTAGGGGTATGGTTCCAAAGCATTTCTTCATGTTCGGGATTTACGTCCACTGGGTCTGGGACCGTTCCTTACCCTATCCTTCGAAATTTCTGAAAGTTATAGCCAATTTTTAAAAATTTCAGAAAAACGATTTTAACTTTCAGAAATTTCGAGGTATAGGGCAAGGAAAAGTCTCAGGCCCAGTGGACGTAAATCCCGAACATGAAGAAATGCTTTGGAACCATACCCCTACTTTGCAACACCAAGAAATATTCAATTTTTTGTTTATGGGACGCATATACTTTCATGGGACGCATATACTGGACAAGAGCCATTTTTTATTCAGTTCTTTCACAAGGAGAAACACCAAGCATGGAAAATGTTTTCTGGCTATTATAGAAGGAAAAAGAAGTCTTTTTGATTGTTTTTAGGCAAAATATGGAAAGGCAAATTTGGTGAAAGAAAGAGGAAAATTTGATCATTCCATACAAACATAGGGTAAAAAATTGGGAGGAAAAAATGGGGACTGGAAACGACACTATTACCGCTTATTGTTTCATTTTTTCGACTAGTATAAGTCAACTCATGTCAAGTTAACCACAAGGAAGCTAAAAGTCTTTGTAGAAATTATACAACATTAATTTCTCGTGGTGAAAAACTCGAAAAAGGTAAGAAGGAATGCCTGCGTATTTTTTAAATATTTTACTAATTTACTCATATTTTTATAAATTTTAATTTTAGACTTTAAAAGATTATTATACATAATTTTTGACTAAAAAATGTTCTCAAATTCATCTACTGGTCCAATGCCTCATCTCACTGCAATGCCTTCAGGAGTACTTCGTATTCAGCCATACAAATCAGTTAACCCATTTGATGACGATTTTGAGGAAAATGACAATAATAATGGAAAATCTATTTATGAAGAACAATTTCAGCAACAACAAAGGCTGATGGAACAAAATGAGGCTAAACTTGCCGAATTACAATTAAGGAAAGAAATGGCTAAAGAAGATGCTGAAGCAACTCAAAAATTGGAACAGGTTTTTTTTCTTTTTTTGTCCATAATTTTATTAAACTTTAGGATATTAATGACTTAAATCAAATAATGGAAGACTTGAGTAAATTAGTACATGTAAGTTGGAAAAATTTTTGTTCCTTTTCATTTTATTATTATTCTAGGAGCAACACGAGGTTGTTGACAGTATCGAGGTTTGTTTTAGTTTTTTTTTGTAGAATATTTGAACTCGGACGTGGATGTTCCAACTGTTCATAATTTTGATTTAATCCTTTTTCTTTAAATTTTGTTTTATTTTATTATCCAATTTTTCTTTATAGGACCATGTAGAGAGAACGGCTCAAGAAGTGAAACTCGCAGAGCGTCATTTGCGTCGAGCTGTTGAGACTCAAAGTGCCAAATATCCCGCTGTCGCGGCTGCTGTTGGAGGTGTTGCACTTGGTGGGCCTGTTGGTGTTGTGGCTGGTTCGACAATTGCGGGTATTGCTGCGGCTGTTGGTGGGGCTTTTGCAGGTTTCTAATATTTTAATTTTCAAAATGGAAATTACTGAGTTCCCATATCCTTTAGAAATAACAAGAAAAGATATTTAACTTCCCTCAAGGAATTTTTATATCCATTTTATTAAAATTTATATTTTACTTTTTTTAGGTCTCTATGGTGGTAAATTTCTTCGAAAAAAGCATCAACAGCAACATCAAAATGTGGATGCTCCTCCTGTTGGAAATAGCTCAAATATTGATTGAATGAAAGGTTTTTTAAAGAAAAGTAAGGCAATCACAATTTACATATCTTTTTAAATTTAATTTACTAAAAATTAAAAAAAATATATATTTTAAAAATGTACCGGTTACCTTGTACATTTATTTTTTTGAATTATTAAATAAAAAGCCTTTCAATTTATTATTTAAAATTTTGTTTAAAAATATCTTTTCTGACTTTTCAAAAGTTTTAAGAATTAATTTAAAATTAGGAAACAATTAAAAATTTATTTTTTTTCATTATTGCCATTTAATAAGGGGCATTTCTGGATTTTTTAAATGAAAATGTTTTTCCTCGGAATATTTAATTTTTGAAATTACTTAAAAATTAATTATTCCTCTATCATAAAATTTTTTTAAAATAATTGAAAACTACAAAAAAAATTTTTTACAAAATTTCCAAGTATTTTCTTGCAACAAAAACTCTAAATTAATTAAAAAAAATTTTTTTATTAAATTTTTTTGTCATTCCGGAAAATAAACTTTTAAATAATGATTTTTGGTGACAAATAATTTTTAATTAATTACCTTTTAATTATTAGGTTAATTTCTCAAAAATGTTTGGCGAAGAAATGTGAGAATTAATAAATTTCCGATTAGTTTGAGAACGTCATTAAATAAAATTAATTTTCTAGAGCCTTTAAATCAAAAATATTTTTCTTTACGCGACGTTTATTAAAAATATTTAGATATTTTAAATAATTTTTCTCTTTAATTTTTTTAAAATAAATAATTCAGTATTTTTTTAAAATTTGGTTATAATAACAAAATGGATATAAAGGCAGATATCCAAACCTTTTATATTTTTTATATTTTGTGAGATTCTCAAAAACTTCCTAAAAAGATTCCATTTTTACTTTATTTTTCATAAAACAAAACGGAAAAATCTGATGCATAAAAATTAGTTCCTTTTAATGTAAAAAATATTCTTAATATTTTTAAAAAATTTATTTGTGTTAATAAAAAATTTAGATGCAAAATGTAATTTATAATAATTTAATGACTACATAAATACTCTCCTCCCGGTCATTTTCATGCGCATAAATAAATTATCTATTTAAATGGAATTCCCTTCCCATAAATATTTTTTGATAAAAATATTTTTTAAATTCATAAATAACCCCTTTTTATTCACATTCTTGTGACTTCCGTTTTAGTAGTCTTTTGGTAGAAAATTTATTTTCTTTAATAAATCTTAAAAATATTTTTTTTATTAAAAACAAAAAAATTGACTTTCAAAATTCTTTATAAAAGATGTAATAAGTATTAATTCTTCATTCTTTTCTAAATAAATTAAAAGTAAAATTCCTCATATCTTTTATTACAGAGTAGTTGATTTTTAGAAAATTTAAGAAAATATTTAGTATTCTTTTTTGCTAGGAAAGATCTAGGAAAAATAACTTTTCATTGAAAAACGAATTAAGATTGGAGTGCATTGTTCTCTCAGTTCCAAAAAATCGAACGGTTCCAGCTCCAGAAGTTTCTAAAATTCTGACAATTACCGATTCTTTCTCGAACAAGTGTATATACCTATTCTCTCTTTAATAATGTTTTCTGCTCCAAGAGAATCTCTGGATATCTACAACCAAAAATAAAATACCCGGAATCTTCAAACTTTAAGAAATACTCTTTATTTGCTCAAACTTCCTTTTTTTACCTTTCATCCTTACACTTTAAATTTGTGATTTAATTTAATTAATAACCTATTAAAAATAATTTTTATTTGACAAATTAGATCTTTTCAAAGTTTTATATTTTTAATCTCAACCTTTCTTTCTCTTTTATTTTGATCTATTCTCCTTTCTTTTTCATTAATTACTTCACACCAAAAAATAATTATTATTTTGCATTTCATCGAAAATTTTTTTTAATTTTTTCTTTTCTCTCGCTGGCAGGTAATACCTGCTTAGAGGTATTCTTTTCTTCCTTCTCTTTGTTCCATTATTTTTAGAAGAACTAAAAAAATTATTATTTCCTCTCTCTCTCCAATCCACTCGCGCATTAATTAATTACCTAATTATTTTTAAAATAAATCAAAGGAGTAGGGACATTTTGGCGTAAAGCTTTAGGGGCGCGAGCCTTTAAAAGATGTTAACTTGTTGCTCTAAATTTGTCAAATTTTGTATAAATATTCCTAAAAATTCAAAATATTTTTTTAAATTTAAATTAAAAATAAATTAATCTCTCGCCAAGAAAAATATTTTTTAAAAATTTCATCCTTTTAGGATTGCGCCCAAACGACCCCCAACCTCCTTTCTCACTAATTAAATAATTTTAGAGGGAAATTAGAGCGAATAACCGCCTCGGGGTCAAAGGTCTTTTTAATATTTGGGTTAGTATATCCGTTATTTTATTTTAATTAATTTTAAAAATAACTCTCATAATTTTAATAAATAAATGTATTTATTTACGTCATTATTTTATTATTTATTTCTTAACTTTTTTTTGTTTAGTTGCCAAGGTTTCTCTTTTGGTATTTTCTTATTACTAAGGCTGTGATTTATAGGCAAATGCCTATTTTTTCTGCAAGCTTGGGATGATGTAATACGTTCAAAAAACGGGTTTTTATCTTGGTCCGAAGAGTCTAGCATGACTTTTAATAAGCCTATTTTTGCCTATTTTGGACTTTTTGAGCCTTTTTGCCTATTTTGAAATTTTTGGTACTATTCTTGCCTATTTTAGCAATTTTTCCTAAAATTTGCCTAAAAATCGGTGCAAAATCTTTAAAAAATCAGCCCCAGATTTAAAAAAATTAGTGCCCACTCCCATTCTTAAATTATAATTCGATGAAATAAGTATTTTTACTCTGTGGACATTTTGAGATGAGACGTTTTGGTGTTGGGACATTTTGGGGTGGGACGTTTTGAGGGCTGGGCAAGATGTCCCTTTTGTCAATTATCGACATTTTTGAACAGATTTTTACAAAAAATGACTCAAAATGGCGAATAAATGGCAAAAGAGTTAAATAATTAGTTTATAATTTAAAAAATAACGAATAAATGGGTATTTTCTTGTTTTTGTTTTAATTTTATAGGCCTGATAACCCTTTTTACATGCCTACTTTTGTGCCTTTTTTGGCTTTTTGGTGCCTATTTTAGGCGCCTATTTCACTGATTTTACGTGCCTAACTATCACAGCTTTACTTATTACTAAGGCTGTGATTTATAGGCAAATGCCTATTTTTTCTGCAAGCTTGGGATGATGTAATACGTTCAAAAAACGTGTTTTTAGCTTGGTCCGAAGAGTCTAGCGTGACTTTTAATTTGCCTATTTCTGCCTATTTTGGACTTTTTGTGCCTTCTTGCCTATTTTGAAATTTTTGGTACTATTTTTGCCTTTTTTAGCGATTTTTCTTAAATTTTGCCTAAAACCGGTGAAAAATCTAAAAAAAATCAGTCCCAGATTTAAAAAAATCAGTGCCGACTCCAATTTTTAATTTATAGTTAGACGAATTGATTATTTTTACTCTGATGGACATTTTGAGATTAGGCGTTTTGGTAGTGGGACATTTTGGGTTTGGACGTTTTGTCGGTTGGGCGAGATTTCCCTTTTGTCATTTATCAATATTTTTTAAAAATTTACTCATTTTTTGAAAAAAATGAGGTAAAATGCCGAATAAATTGCAAAAAGGTTTAATAAAATAGTTTATCATTCAAAAAATGACGAATAAATGGGTATTTTTTAATTTTAAAGGTCTGTTAGCTCATTTTACCTGCCTATTTTTGTGCCTTTTTTGGCTTTTTGGTGCCTATTTTAGGCGCCTATTTCACTGATTTTACATGCCTAACTATCACAGCCTTACTTATTACAGTGGCATATATAAATTTAAATAAAAAAATATAAGAAATATTTATTTAATCATTCTTCTTAACTGCTTTAAATTTCAAGTCTGCTACACACCAAAATATTTTAAATTTTTTTCTCCTAAGTAAAACTTATGTGAAAGCCTTTTTATCATCTTTGTATGGTCAACTCCTGGGGCCTATGCAAATTAGATCATATCTCAGATATGACGTGTCATATTTGTGACTAGAGTCCAACATTTGGTCAATGATGGTCAGTTAGTGGGTTAAATGTCGGACTCCAGTCACGAATATGACACGTCATATCTGAGATATGATCTAATTTGCAGAGGCCCCTGGCAGGGTGAGCCACCTTTAGGGAGCATTTTCCTTTTTTTCTTTGTACCTTTTTGGCTGATTTCGTCCCCTTTTTTGTCCCTTTTTTGTGAAGCCATTTCCCCTTTTGACAGGTTGGAAAGGGTCTTTATTTGGATCACCTTGATCCCCGCTTACAACAAATATTAAATCTTTAATTTAATTAAAAAGCCTTCTTTTAATTTTTGAAGTACTCAAAAAATAATTTTTAAAATTAATTTTAGGAAATCTAAATTAATTAATTTATTAACTCTCCTCCACTTTAAAATTACCTCCTCTCAAGTACTTTTAATCAATTTTTGAGGATTTTTATTTTTTTTTAATTTTTGACTTATTTATTGACTTTAAATAAATTGTGGAAGAGGATTAACCAACAAATGATCTTTTTAAAGATTTTAGCTAAAAATATCTTTGAGTGGATCGATCATTGATTTTATATAAAATAATTTTTTTGGCTTTTTTAGAGGGGGAATTTTAATTTGGAGGAAGGAAAGGTATTAGAAGAGAGAAAAGTTTTGAATTATACCAATAATGGGATCCCCCTATTATGTACCCCATCGGGCCGAATTTTGCCGACGTAAGAGAGGAATTGACGTTTGAGGGAGGGAATAGAGACGTTAAAGAGAGTTTCTCCATATTTTAGCTATACTTTTTTTGGAAATATTTTAAGCTAATCGATGAGCTGCTAACAGGGACACTTTTTTTGCAAAGCCTCTCTCACATAAATATTTTTTTGGAATATCTACTAAATAAATATAAAAATTCATCTAAATAAATAGTATATTAGTACGATTTTATTTTTAAAAAATTTTAATTTTTTTTTTCTCGTTTACTTAATAATTTTTTTATTCAATAAAAATTTCCAATATTTTTTTAAAATTAATTTATTAAAAATTAAAAAAAATTTTTTTTAATTTTTCGCAACTTCTAATAAATAAAAAATATATTTAAAATAATTTATTTAAATTTATTTAAAAACGTCATCATTAAAAAATTTGTATTTTAAATTAATATTTCCTCCCATTATTTTATAATTAATTAACTTTTAATTTTCTTTCAATTTTCTTTCCTCTCAAGTTCAAAATTAAAAATCAGATGTTCCCAAAAAATTTTTAATTTACTTTTGTTTTTTTTAATCGCAAACAATTTACTGTAAAATCTCACTCCTTTCGGTTTTTAGAGGTGGTATATTAGAGAGATTTTAAGAGACCGGGAAGGAGGAAAATTCTTGGAATTTTATGAGCATTTTCTGAGGTGTTACTTACCTCCTACTCATTTTCTTATAATTTTTTGAAGTAAAAAATGATACTTAATATCCTTCATCTCCTAATAAATCTCCAACAAACCAGCTTAAATATAAAAATTCTAAAGAATATTTTTAAAATAAATTTCTTTTTATTATTCCTCTTTATATTTTTTAAAACTCCCTCAACCTTTCAGAGAATTAACAAAAATTATTTTTAAATTATTCAATGGGTCCAAAAATGGCAGATGAAGAAATATTAAAATTTAACTTAAACAAAAATGAAAGAAATATCGAGGAGGAGGAGGAAGTCAGGCCTATTATAGTTAATTTTGAAGGGGGAGGATGTGAAGAAGGAGGGAGTGATGATGAAGAAGAGGATGAGGACGTTAACAGAGATTATAAAAATATAAGTAGTAATAGCAGCATTGAAGCTCCTTCTACTAATGTAGTAGATTGTTATACTTCAGCTTTAAATAATTTAGTGAGGGATAATGAAGAGAATAATGAAGGGAATAATAGTAGACATTATTTTGGGAATTATACTCGTTATTTGGTAAGGGTTTTTTTGAAAGAATTAAAAGAGAATTGGGGAGGAGATCCTCTTCAAAGTCAGGCATCAGTTACTCTAATCACTTATAGAACAAGTCCTATTAAGAGGGAAAGGTAACAATAATCGTAGACCTAAATTGAGTTTTCTAGGTCTACGGCCCCTTTAATCCCTCCATATCCCTCCATATTATAAAGAAAAAGTAAAAATTGAGTGATAAGACTGGGTAGGTGTTTTGGGTCAGTAGGTCTTTAGGGTGTAGATATTTTGGGGTGGACTCGTTCTAGCAATTAAAAACACAACCCTCACAAAGCCTCTCTTTTTCAAGAAATTTTTAAGAAACCCTTATAAAAAAAATTAAAGGTAATGTTTATCACAACAATGTGTTTATCAATGTCAATGGCCAATTCTTTGGCTTTAAACTTTACAGTAATATGCATGCACAAAGACAGTATAATAAACAGTAACCTAACTACAGGCGAAGATTCAACACAAAAAGGTAAAAATTCATTCCCCATAATGACAATTTGTCCAATTTTGCCTTAAGTGGCATTTTGTAAAATTACATAATGTCGGGTTAGGGAGGAAATAGAGAAAGGAAAAGGGAATAAAAAGAGAGAGAAAAAGGAAAGAAAAATGTGCTTGCAAGAGATAAATAGAAAAGAAAATAGTGAAATACTTTGTAGCATTTAAGGGCGATAGTTATAAACTATCTAAAAGTATTTAAAATTAAAATAAAAGTATTGTTGAAAGGAAACATTAAACGTTACCTTTTATATCGCGGGCCTTGAGATGAAGACCTAGCGTTTACATTTTTTGGAGTCTCACGGGAGTGAGATTAATAAATGGATTTGGTGAAAAATACATGGAGTAAAAAACAAGTTAAATTGGGGTGCGAAAAGTTTCGAGATTTTAAGAGAAAATTTGTGAGAGAGTACTGGATGAATTTAGAAATTTAAAAATATTTGGAATAAAAATTTTAAAATGAGGCAAATTACCTAAATTAAAAGTTGGGATTTTCTAAATTACTTTTAAAAACTTTCCCCAGTTTCTCGTCCAATGTTCAACAGCGCTGAACAAGCACTCCTCTTCTCGTCTGTCCCTGTTGGAACTTTATTGGGAACATTGCCTATTACACCTTTAACTTCTCGTTTTGGAATGAGGTTTTTTCAAGGAAGAAAAATTTTTTTGAAACATTTTTTTAATAGAAAAACATTTGTTTTCTACGGGTTAATTTCAAGTTTTGCAACTTTATTTACTCCACTTGCTGTTAAATTAGATTTTGGATTTTTATTAATTATGCGTGTATTACAGGTGGTTAAAAATTTTAATTGGTCTTTAAAAAAATAATTTTTTAGGGTATTGCTGTCTCTATATGTTTTCCAGCTAGTGGTGAATATTTTTTAAATTCCTATTAAATAGTCGCTTATATAGAGAGTTAAAATAACGATAATTCTATTGGCGACTTTTCTCTCTATAATTAATATTGAATCCAGAAGGTCGTTACTGGAGCTTCAGTTATAAACTCTCACTATAAGAGACTTTCTCCTCTTGTCTCTAATAACGAGAGTTGACTATATAGAGGATATATTTAACGTTTAATTAAAGGTTCAATAATCGCTGATTGGAGCCCTCTTCGAACTGCAGGCACTTTTATTGCTTTTCTCTCCTGCCATATTCAATTTGGCCCTATTTTAACTATGCCGTTGGCTGGGAAATTGTGTGAATCGAGTTGGGGATGGCCAGCTGTCTACCATTTGCAGGCAATGCGGCGTAACTTTTTATTTTATTTTTAATTATAAATCAGCAGATATTTTATTTATTAGTAGACCTCTATTTAATGTACACTTATAGTGGACTCTCGATATAATGGATTCCCTATATAGTGGACATTTTTAGAGATTTATTTTTACTTATGCATAAGACTCCCTCTGTTAAATCAACACCCTTCTTTGAAAGGAGTCGTTATTAATGGGTGTATATAAAATGGAGGTCTACCTGTATTAAAAAATTAACAAAAAAACCTTTTCAGTCAATGCTAACAGCCCTTGTTTTTGGAGCATTCTTCACTTTCTACAGAGACTCCCCACGAATACACAGAAATGTTTCGCGCAAAGAACTTTGTAAAATAGAAAAAGGAAAGCCCCCATCAGAGGCCGGGCCAGTTGCTCGTAATGGGGAAATCCCATATGCTGCTATGGTAGTTAAAAAATCTTTTTTAACTTCAACTTTCTAATTTTTTAAAAAGTTTCGTGATCCAGCAGTCTGGGCAATTTTCTTTTGTGCTATGGGATCTACTTTTGGTTTTCACATTTTTATGCAATATGGGCCTGTTTATTTAAATCAAGTAATTTTTTTGAAATTTTTTTTTCAAAAAAAATTTTCTTTAACAGATTATTAAATTTGACGTTCAACGCACAGGATTTGCAATGGCACTTCCTTGTATTTTATCTGTACTTGTTAAACTTGTTGTTGGTTCACTTAGCGATAGGGCTAGGTTGGAAATTATTTTAAGAAAATAATTTTTTATTATAAAATTGAACTATACTATAGTCGAAGATTAGCTCAAAATCAAGTCAGAAATATAGTTAGAAATTATTTTTAAAATGAATATTCAAAGAGTTACAAATGTAACAAAAGTAAAAGATTGACTCAAAAAATTATTATAAATGTTAAATTGATTTGAGGGGAATTACAAGGAAAGGGCGTTAATATACTGACTTGACTGCGAATCAGACCTGTGCATGGACACGGCTTTTGGTATCCGTATCCGGATATTTACGGCGGATACAGGCGGATATCCACAGGCCTCTTGATATTATTTGTATCCGTACGATGCACAACATATTTAATTATAAACTTTAAATTTCAAATTTTCCCAGTTGTCTATCAGAACGTTCCCGCGTTTTACTATTTGCTTCACTTTCACAATTTTTAGTAGCTATTTGTTTTTGTACATTAGCATTATTACCTCAAAACTCCCCGCCTATTCTTTTCCAATGTTTCTTTACTACTGTGCCTGTTGTTTGTGGGCTTAATTGTGCTGGGCTTGGGAAGAGTACACAATTGGTGAGAAGAAAAATTTTTTAGAGATTTTCAAAATATTTAAGCTTTTAAATGGGGGAAATTTCTAAAAGTTTCAGAATTTTGTTTGAAAATCTAAAAAATTTGAAAAAAAATTCTGAACAAAAATCTTCAAAAGTAATTTAAAAATGTTGATTTTTAAATGGATTTTTATCATAATCTTTGAAATATGTATAAAAAAATTCTGAAATTTCTGAAAGGAGATTAGATAAAACTATGAAAAATATTCTTATGTTATATCAGGTTTAAAAAAATTATTTTTGAGAATTTTGGAAGAATATTGCCTTTTTTGAAGTCCACAAGACAGATTTCTTCCTTTTTCAAGAAAAGTTCAAAAAGGGGGCAAATGCTCCCAAATGAGGCAAAAGGGGATTTTAGGGATTTTCGAAGTCCATTTCCTCACCACTTCTCCAACTCTTCTTCACTTTCTTTTTAAAAATCAAAAGAATTGATTTTAAAATTTATTTTCTTTCACAGATTTCTCGTCAATTCGCTCATGTCGTCACTTCATTTAGCGTTTTTGCCTGTTCTTCAATAATTATTTTAATTCCAATTTTGGTTAGCTTTTTAGCTCCAGATAACCGTCCAGAACAAGTAAATTCCCCTCCAAAAAATTTTTTTCTAAAAAGAAAATTTTTTCTCTAGTGGACTAGAATATTCATTATTGTTGCTGTTGTAGTAGTTTGTTGTGTTGTATTTTTTGATTGTACAGCAGAAGCATCTCCTAGACCGTGGACTTTTACAAAAAAGCAGAAAATATCAGAATATAAAAATATTTCAATAAATAATATTGAAAAACAAAAATTAAAAGAAAAAATTGGAGAAGAAAATCAAAATGAAGTGAAAAAAGATTTTAAATAATAACAATGAAATACATAAACAATTGCAAAATATTTTTTTAAAAATTTTAATTTTCTTTTTTCTTTTTCCCAAAAATTTTCTTTTTACTTTGATTTTGTTAAATTAATTAGAATTAAAATTAAAAAAAAACTGGAGAATAATTCTTAATTTTAAAAAGTTCTCATCCACAATAAATACTTTCAACAAGCTATAATAAAATTCTTTTTCCTACTGGAAATATCAAGTCTGGATCACTTATGCAACAAAAAAGTCATAACCCAATAAGGACATATTAGGGGTCTAGCCGACCTTATTCCCGAGGGAATTTAAAAAAAAATAAAAAATGTCGACTAGAACCTGGTACACAAATTACTATTTGGGGTCTTCACATTTAATAGATTTTAACTTTTTAATGGGTGAACAGACCTAACGCATCTAGTAGGCAAAATACAGCTTATCAAGGCTTTCGAATGGTATAAGACCATTTGGATGGGATCAGGCATTGTTACAGTCGTCAAAGTTGGCTGACACTCAACCGGCCACACTCAACCAGCCTTGCTCAATTTTAAAAAGTACAGTATTCGATTTTGGCGTTTTGTATTTTTATTCCCTCTATTTTTCTATTTGAGTATTCCGGTAGGGGACCATTGTGTACCGGCCGGTTGTGTACCTGGCCATATTTTGGGCCATAACTTTTTTGATTCTTAATTGATTTAAATGATTAATATATCAATCGAAAGCCCTTGTTGTGAGGATTATTTTCGCCAACAGGATTGATTTGATTAGATCATGTTACAAAAAGTTACAGCCCGATAAAGATCAAAATCACGATTGCGCGCATTTATCTGGCTGTAACTTTTTGTAGCATGATCTGATCAAATCAGTTCTGTTAACGAAAATAATCCTCACATCTAGGGCTTTCGATTGATATATTAATCATTTAAATCAATTAAGAATCAAAAAAGTTATGGCCCAAAATATGGCCAGGTACACAACCGGCCGGTACTCAATGGTCCTGTTCCGGAGTATTCATTGATTATTAATCTTTATTTTTTGGCTTGTTTTTGGTTCTGTGATTATTTGTTAAATTTTTTAATTAAAGACATTTATTATAAAATTTTATTTATTTAAAATGCCTGCAGCGTTCTTTGAAAATTCTGAGCCTACAACAACCGTCAACGGTGGATTGGTTATTAAACGAATGTCTAGGTAGTGTTTTCTAAAACTAAAAAATCTAAATATCCGATACAAACCAATAAATTTAAAATTGCTAGGCGATAAGATGAAGCCTAAATTTCCGATAAATAACCACAAAGAGCTTCTTTTGGCACCCTTGTTTAATTATAAAAGTAATTTTGGGAAGAGAAGGGTGTATACAATTTCTCATTGAATTTTTTAGATTGAGAATCGACGATGTTCATTATAATTTGTTACAACACAAGTTTGACATGGTTCAATTGCGCAAGAATATTGACCCGTCAATTTTTGAACATGCGGCGGTTTTTTAAATAAAATCCTCCCTTCTATTTTTCAAATTTTAGACGGTTAAGGTTGCGCTTGACACAAAATATCCTGAGGGAATGCATAAATACGCTGACAAATACAGGGCTTATAATCAAATTACGCTCATTTTTGACACGGTTTTTTTTGTTTATTTTAAATTTTCAAATTTAAAATTTTAGCTTAGTCAACTGCGCAACAGTGATGGGCCTCACTCAATCTTTCCTTTGACTTTGCCCAATGGAAATGCTACTCCAATGCCTGTATATCAAGTCCAGCTGAGCCAAGAGTTTTGTGACCGTTTCACTGTGCCGAATTATGGAACTATTAAACTGGAGAAGGCAGTAAAGGCTGTAGGTGTTCCTTCCAATGAATATCGAGTAATTTTTAATAATTTTCATCGGTAATTTTGGAACCGTTTCTCAAACGAAATTCCTCTAACATGGAATTTGCTTAAGATTTTTGCGTCTTCGGTGCCAAAAATGTGGCGCAGAAAAAAGTTTCCTCCCTTGGCCCCACCCCAAAAAATCCTGGTTACGGGCTCATGTCTATGTCTAGCAATTTATTTTTTAGTGCCGAATTCTGCATTATGATGAAACTTCTCGCATTGTTCGTTTCTCTCCATTTACGGTACAAAGATTGGACGATTGCAAGGTTAACTTTACTAATCTTTTAAAATTCCTTTAAAAATATTTTTTATTAAGTATCTTGTTCGTTTTGAACCTTCTCGCTTCGTTTATAATGCTCGCGATTACATTCTTTCAAATATTTATCGTCTTCAAAGGGCAGTTAGTTTTCTGATTTTTCCGCAACCTTTTGACGATGATAGGGTAATTTAAATAAAATTATTTTTCAAATATTTCTTTAATTTTAAAGCTTCCTTTGGATCGTTACATTGAGCAACGCGATGTTATGATTAAAAATATTCGGTTTTCGTCTAATTCCTTCAATCAAGAACAGCGTAATGCAATTTTTGCTATTTTGATGGGCCGACATATTAAGGTTTTTTTGTACATTTTCTTTAAAATTTAAAATTATTTTCTTTAAAGATAAATAATAAGAGTGGGACGCTTCTTCCTTATATTATTCATGGACCACCAGGTTCACTCTCTTTGGGTCTGTAGTTTTAAAAAATAATTTTAGGAACAGGGAAGACTACAGTTTTGGTTGAAGCGGTGCGATTGTTATTGGAACAAAAAGATTACGACACAAGAATTCTTGTTTGCACGCCGTCAAACACAGCTGCTGATTTGTTTGCCACAGAGTTGCTAGAAACTGCAAAAATTGATCCGGAATTGGTATTTCGACTTTATGCATTGATGGTGCCTGTAGAAGATTTGAAGGAGTCATTGAAGCCGATAACTTACACAAAGTAAGTTTACTTGAAGCTTTCAGGGTTTTTAGGGTTCATGTCTTTTGTGAATTCTGTGTTCTATTGCTTGATTCGATTTTACTTTAATTATTAATTTTTTAAATTTAAGGACACCTGATGGATTTTCTGATATTGAAATGTTTGCTATTCACCCCGCTGAGAGATTGCTCAAGTTCAAAGTGATTGTCTGTACAATGATGGCTTCTACTTATTTAATGCTTGGCTATGTTTCATCAAAATTCTCGTTAGAATTTTTTGTTTTTTTTTAATTTTTATTTTTTTCTTTTAGGCATATTATAATTGATGAAGCTGGTCAGGCAAGTGAACTTGAAACTCTTGTTCCGATGGGTTTGTTTTTGTTTATTGTTTTTAGATTTATTTTTTATATTTCTAGTTGGAGTGATTGGAGAAAGGAACGATTGTAAAATCATTTTGGCTGGGGATCATAAACAACTTGGTCCCGTTGAAAATGTGGATTACTTTCGAAGGAATAAATTTAGTAAGAAATAATTTTGTTTGAATCTTATTTTAATTTTTTTAGATAATTCTTTAATTGAACGACTTCAAACTGTTGAATGCTACAAAGATGATGAGTGAGTTTTTTTAATTAAATATTTTGTCAAATTTCCTTTTCAGACGTATTATGACTTTTCTTCGTAAGAATTATCGCTCACATGAGGCAATAATTAAAGTGCCTTCACGTCTTTGCTATAATAATTTATTGGTTGCCGCTGAGGATGCCTTACCACGAGATAAACTTGCTAATTGGGAAGGACTTCCAGCAAAGGTTTTTTAGGGAAAATTGCTGAGTTTAAAAAACTTTTTAAAGGGGTTTCCGTTGCTTTGGCACCATATTGACTCCCCAGAAAAATGTGAAGATAAAGGGACTTCATATATGAATTTTGGTGAATTGGAATTGGTTCTTGTTTATGTGAAGAGAATTATCAATGAATTAAATGTAAAACCTGTTGATATTGGAATAATTAGTCCATACACATATCAGGTTGACTTAAAAAATATTTTTTAAATTTTTATTTCAATAATTTTAAGGCTCGTAGACTTCGTCATTCATTAATGGGTGACTTTGCTGATATTACTGTGGACACTGTTGAACGTTTTCAAGGGTCACAACGCCGTGTTATTATTGGTTTTTATAATTATTCTTTCCTTCAATAAATATTTTATTTTTTTAGTTACTACTGTTCGTAGCAACCCAGCTGAAAAACTTGGGTTTATGTACTCGAAAAAGGTTTATTTTTAAATTGAAGTATATTTTTAAAAAATTTTTTAATTTTAGCGTTTCAATACAACAGTTGCCCGTGCTGAGGAATTGTTGGTGATTGTTGGAAATGCAAAAATTATGACTAAAGTTTCTTGTTGGGGAAGGTAATTTTGAAATAAAATTTTTAAAAATATTTTTATAAAATAATTTTGTAGTATGTACGAACATTGTCATCAAAATAATGCCGTTATTGGAGTTCCAGAAGAATTAAAGAAAGAAATTTTGGTTAATATTGAAATTATGAAGTCAAAAAATATTGAAGATGATGAAGAATTGGAACCGCAAAAGCCTACTAATTGGAGTGAACCAAAGAAATTTACAACAAATGAATTAAAAGAAAGACATGTTGATGTCTCTAGCTCTTCTGGTGATGAAGCAGATGAATATAGTACAACGGACAGTTCTTCATCTGATTCAGAATATGAAGAAGAGGAAGTTGAAGAATCTGAAGTAAATGAAGATGACGAATTTGCTTCTATTGATGATGGTTCTGTTGGTCGTGGGGAAGGAGGGAAAATTCGAAAGAAGGCTTCAGATGATGAAGAAGAGGAAGGAGGAGGGGAAGAAATTGTTGAGACAAATTTTGTTATGAATGGAGAAGGGGAGGAGGATGCAGTTCAGGATGTTTTGAATAATTGCGTCACTACAATTGTGGATGAAAATACATAAATTTAAATTGTTATAAGAGTTTAAGAGATATTTATTTTGTTAAGAGAGTTTTAAGTTATATTTATGATTTTTACAAGTATCCCCTTTAAATATATTTTTGAAAATCCCTAATTTAAATAGAGAATATATTTTTAAATAGTGTTTGGCAAATTTTAGTGTTTTTGTTGATATTTAAGATAATTTTAGAAAAGAATCTCGCAAACTTGTGCCGAATACTATTTTTGAATGTGCAGATTTTTAAATTGAAATCTTCAAAGAATTTTTTTAAATTTTTTTAAAAATTTGCACATACAAAAATACATTCCAAATACAATGACCACACCCCATTGTTTTTATTTATTGAAGAGAAATTGTTTTTGTTTGTTGTGAAATGAATATTTATTTTTCTTAGTTATAAATTTGTTTAGACTTGAAATTTTCAAAATTATTTTAGAAAGTCTGGGGATAAGTATTGATAATTGGGAGAGAATAAAATCAATTATTTATTCAAAGCTCAAAAACTACAAATATAAAATATAATGAAATAATATAAACATTTTGGGGAGTTATGTTTAATATAGAATGTATATTATACATATGTCGATAACTAAGAGAACATTTTTGGTTAAGTTGAAATTACTGGCACGCGGAGGAAATTAGCTACTATGTAGAACTGCTACTAACTTTTTATAAAAAATTAATTAAATTTTTAAATTAAAATTTTAGTGCCGTTTTTTGATTTTATTTGGAAATGGCGTCTCAAGGATATACATAAATGTAAACCCATTTTTTATAAAAAAATTAATTAAATTTTGAAATCAAAAATTTTTTTAATCATAACAGAACTGCAAAACAAGGTGAAGAAACTTCATGAGGAAGTTTTTGAGCTTAAAAAGGGAAAGCAGCCACCTAAGTGCACGACTCCGAAGACTCCTTCTCCAAAGAAGACTCCGTCTCCAAATAAATAAGAAAATTTTTTGATGATGTTACTAACAAAAAAATAAACTGATTCTTCTTTGGAGGAGTCTTCGGAGCCGTGCACTTAGGTGGCGGCTTTCCCTTATTAAGCTCAGCAACCTCCTCCTCAAATTTCTTCACCTTCTTTTGCAACTTTATGATTGTATTGCTGTTCTAAAAGAATGCTTTTTAATCTTTAAAGCGTTAAACAAAAATTAACTAACACTAACTGGCTTGAGTTACGAGGACTGTTGCTGTTGCGTTTCTCCAAAACATTGACTTTCCCCTCAAGTTTTTTTGGGGGGAAAGTCTTTCAGGACGCCAACAACATTAAGGAGAATGCGAACAAAATCAAACAACAGGCGGAGGAAATCAAAGGGCTCAAAACGAAAGTGTCTACTCTTGAGGGCAAAGTCAATGCATTGGAGAAGTGCAGCAGTCCGAGTCCGCGGAAGAAAAGCACTTCACCATCACCAAAGAAGTGAATGGGAAAATATTTTTTTGAAAATGATAAAATTTAGGTTGTTTTTTGAGTGAATTTAAATAAATTTGGGTGTTTTGTCAGTCTGCATAAATGGGTTAGCGGGAAAATTCAACGAAACTTCATCAAGATGAGTATCTAAAGTGTACGATCGGATGGAATGTTTAAGGCAACAATTATTAGCAAAAAGGAAATTACTGGATAGGATGCTGGACTAAATTTTTGCAAGGTTAAAAGAAACATTTAATACTAACAAAACACCCAAATTTATTTAAATTCACTCAAAAAACAACCTAAATTTTATCATTTTCAAAAAAATATTTTCCCATTCACTTCTTTGGTGATGGTGAAGTGCTTTTCTTCCGCGGACTCGGACTGCTGCACTTCTCCAATGCATTGACTTTGCCCTCAAGAGTAGACACTTTCGTTTTGAGCCCTTTGATTTCCTCCGCCTGTTGTTTGATTTTGTTCGCATTCTCCTTAATGTTGTTGGCGTCCTGAAAGACTTTCCCCCCAAAAAAACTTGAGGGGAAAGTCAATGTTTTGGAGAAACGCAACAGCAACAGTCCTCGTAACTCAAGCCAGTTAGTGTTAGTTAATTTTTGTTTAACGCTTTAAAGATTAAAAAGCATTCTTTTAGGACAGCAATACAATCATAAAGTTGCAAAAGAAGGTGAAGAAATTTGAGGAGGAGGTTGCTGAGCTTAAGAAGGGAAAGCCGCCACCTAAGTGCACGGCGCCGAAGACTCCTCCAAAGAAGAATCAAAGTTTTATTTTTTTGTTAGTAACACCATCAAAAAATTTTCTTCTTATTTATTTGGAGACGGAGTCTTCTTTGGAGAAGGAGTCTTCGGAGTCGTGCACTTAGGTGGCTGCTTTCCCTTTTAAGCTCAAAAACTTCCTCATGAAGTTTCTTCACCTTGTTTTGCAGTTCTGTTAGGATTAAAAAAATTTTTGATTTCAAAATTTAATTAATTTTTTTTATAAAAAATGAGTTTACATTTATGTATATCCTTGAGACGCCATTTCCAAATAAAATCAAAAAACGGCACTAAAATTTTAATTTAAAAATTTAATTGTTTTATAGAGTCTACAGTTATATCCTAAAACCAACGAACAAACTATTACAGGCACTATTACCAAGCCAGATTAGCCTAGCATCAGGGCTGTGCGCCAAAATTTTCGCGTGGCGCGCCAAACGCCAATTTTTCAAATTTTAAAAACACGCCAAACGCCAAACGCCAAAAATCGGCCAAAATCAACGCCAAAACGCCAAACGCCAAAATTTTTAGAGTCTATAAAGACTTAAAAACCACTGTTCGTCTCATTTTAGCGCCGCAGGCGAAATTTTTTTAATTTTCAAGATTACCAGAAGCCAGAATTCATCCTTTTTTTACCGCCGGAGTGAAATTTTTGAGAATTTTGGAGGCAAAAAAGCCGAAATTGATCCTTTAAAAAATTTTAAAAAATAAGAAATTCATAGAACTCTTTGAGATTAAGGTGGATATGAAGGGATAAAGGGAGTTATGAGTATAACAGAGGTCATGAAGAGAGTAAACGATTGGCGGGACTAGTTTTTTTTCTACCTTCTATTAGTTTGAGATAAGGGCTTCCTCCTTTAAGCGCCGCAGGCAAAAATTTTGAAAATTTTGTAAGTCCAAGTATTAGATTTCTTCATTTTTATGCGCCACAGGCGAAAATTTGAGAATTTTGGATGACTGTATGCAGAAAAATTTCCTTTTTCGATCATCCCTTTCTCCATTTATTTAAAAAAAATTCCATCATTAGGGGTGTATATTTTTGGCGTTTGGCGCGCCAAAATCGGAAAATCACGCCAAACGCAAAACGCCAAAAATCGGCCAAAATTAACGCCAAAACGCCATGACGCACAGCCCTGCCTAGCATTAATTTTTAAACCGAATCCGACCAGGTCGAATTCGGATCCTCTCATATTTTCGGATTCATGGTAATCGATTACCTACTAGGAAAATATCGAACATTTTTTGCTCATTTTCTCTGCGAGAATAATTTGAACTTCACCTATTTTTGTTACATTTAAATTTTCAGAACTCGGTTTAACTTAATATATTCATTTCATACATCTTCTGGACATCTAACGAGCCAACGCCCCTATCAAAGCAGAACACATTTCAAAGAATTGCATTGTCTGCGACTGGCGAGTCTCTGGTGCCATCTCGTTTGGACTTGGTACTTGCGCAGGAGGCTGACCAACCTATAAAGAATTTAAAGTTATAAAAAATAAATTAAAAATACTTCGATAAGCATAGGCAAAGACTGAGCTCTATTAGTCCTCATTGAAGGTCGAACAGGTGTGGAGACAGAAGCATGTCGAGAAGAGCCAGCACTTCCATCATAACCAAAGATAGCTTCAAAAAATTTTTAAATTAAAATAAAATTAAAAAATCCCTTACATTCATCATCAACCAAATTCTTAAAGTCAAGCAAGTAGCTACGTTGATCTACTTGATAAAGTTGAAGACTCATCTTTGGCAACATCTTTTAGGAAAAATCAATTAGAAATTTTTTAAATTTGTTTTTACCATTTCTTGATTCTCATCTTTTGGTCGTCGTCGAACAACAACGTGATAGGCATTAAGCATTTTCCATTCAAAATCTAAGAATTTCATTGCACGGAAGACTTCATACATTATATCATCTAAAATAGTTAAATGAAGCAAAAAATTCCCCGTAGTATTTTAAAACTGGCTTAATCATCTTCCAAGCGCTGAACCCGACCCAGAAAATAACAAAAAGAAGAAACTTTAACTTTAGATAACTTCCTAGTCTCAATAATTAAAAAATAATTTTTAGAAATAATACCAGGTCGGCTTTGTGAACGAATACCCAAATGCCATTTTGCTCTTTTCATATGAGGCGATTTTTGAACAGGTTGCTGTTGTTGTTGTTGACTTGCAGAAGTATCAGATGTATGACCAAGTGTTGGAGTTATTTTACCAGCATTTTGCATACGTTCAGGATGTCTTTGAGGTAATTGATCAGATTGATGGAGACGAGCAGTTGGTTGAATATTATAAAATTCTTCTACTGATAACTTTGCAGCTAAAAATTTTTAAAGAAAATTGATAGGAATTGAAATTTTTTAGATTAATCGAAAATATAAGGATAAGGGATAAATCCTTAAATATTGGAATTTAAAAGAAATAGAACCAATATGGGTCTTTCAAGAAAAATAAAAAATTCTAAATTCATACTTTCATCAGCAATCCGTTTGTTATCCACAATTAGACTATAAGCAATACTTAAATGATGGTGAGGGTCATCTGACAACAAAGCAGAGGTTACGTCTTTTAAGGAAAAAAATGTTTTTAATTTAAATTTAACCTCTAAACATACCATCTTCGCTAACATTATAACGATAACAAACTTCACTAACAGCATCAATATCTACAATGCTAGCTTCACTTTCATTAATTGGCGGGAATAAATAAGCAGGTAAATCTATACGAAACCATTCATGATTAATTGCATCTTTAATTGTTGCTCTCTAAAATAAATAGAAAAAAGAAATTAAACCGAACGGGATGGAAATTTAATCAGAAAAAATCTTTAAAAAAGAATAAAACAAAAAATACAATCAACTGAAAAAGCCAAATTCTCCAGAAAAAGAAAATTGAAAAACAATTTTTTCTGTCCGATTTCAGTTTATATTAGGGTTTCACCGGAAGTTCCGGTTCCGGTTCCGGAAAGTTCCGGTGTTTTTTTGGTTCCGGTTCCGGTTCCGGGAACCGGAACTCAAATTGGTTCCGGTTCCGGTTCCGGCTCCGGTTTTCAAATCGGTTCCGGGCAAACCGGAACTTTTTTACACCCCTAAAGATTGATTTTTTCAAAAATATGGGTTGGCCTTCCACGGCTGGCCTTGCAATATTCTCAAAATTTTCGCCTGCGGCGCCAGAGAAAGAAGAAATCTAGCTCCGTGTCCTCACAAATTCTCAAAATTTTTGCCTGCGGCGCCAGTAAAGGAAGAAATCTGGCTTCTTGTTCCTTCTAAATTGTCAAAATTTTCGCCTGCGGCGCTGTAAAATGAAGTTGAATGGTATATCGTAGGATGTGGATGGATGAAGGTGATTTTAGTTAAATCATGTATCCCAAAGAGTCATAGGTAATATCTAGGATTTGGGTATGATATTGAGGGATTGTGCTGTGCAAGGTAGATATATTAGGGATGAGATAGCTGGGGATTTGGCTTCCCAAAACTTGGCATTTCTCACTTGGCCTTCCGAAATTCACGAAATTTTCGCCTGCGGCGCTAAAAAGGAAGGAAGAATAGGTTATTTTACGGAATTTGCATGGATTAATGGGATTTGGATGATATTGGGTGATTTCGTGTAAAATTTATATAGATGATTAGATATCTAGAGATCTGGTGGGATGAGGATAACTCAAAGAAATTCGGGGATCAAAGGGGATATCATATAATTGGTGTGGTATCGGGCATATCAGGAGATTTGGGTAGTTCGGTTCGGTTTTACGGTTCGGTTTTGGTTAACCGAAAGTGTTAGTCGTTTCGGTTAACAGAATAATTTGGTGAAACCGACAACCCAATTTTAAAATCAAATTTCTTTTAATTTTTTTTAAATTTTTTAATTTGCTAGCAAATTTTTTTAAAGTTCCGGTTCCGGTTCCGGCCCGGAACTTAGAAAAGTTCCGGTTCCGGTTCCGGGAACCGGAACTCAAATTGGATCCGGTTCCGGTTCCGGTCAAAATTTCGGTTCCGGTGAAACCCTAGTTTATATACACCAAATTTTGTCTTATAATTTTATGTTCAAGAATTTAGATGTTCCCAAGGGAAAATTTCATAAAAATTATTACTTTCATAGGATCCACTTGTAACATATGTAGAAGAAGATTTACAACGGTTTTCTCGAGATAGTCGGGGATTGGGAAAATACCAGCTAAAGAAATAAATTTTTAACAAATTTTAAAAATTGAAAAATACATTTAATTTTCCTAAAAAGTGTCGGAACATGTTCATCGTCAAAAGGCAATGTTCCACAAAGAAGCGCATATAAAATAACTCCACAAGACCAAACATCAACTTCCGGGCCAGCATATAATTTTCCACTGATTACTTCTGGTGCTGCATAGTTAGGTGAGCCACAAGAAGTTCTCAAAAAATCTCCATCAGTCATAATATTAGAAAGTCCAAAATCAGCAATTTTCACATTATTTCGCTCATCCAAAAGTAAATTTTCTAAAAATACATACATATGTATTTAGGTAATTTAATGGAAATAAGCAAAAAACCTGGCTTTAAATCACGATGAACCACCATCTGAATAAAAAAATTTAAATAAAATTTCGAAAAATTTAATTTACGTGGCGGTGACAATAATCTACTCCAGACATCTTAAATTATAAAATTAGGAAAATAAATTAAATTTTAAAATTACAATTTGTTGAAAGAATCGTCTTGCTTCATGCGTTCTAAGCTGAAAAAATAAAGGTTTTAAAATTACTTGGATAAATTGATAAGGAATTCTTAGATTTATGACTAGATTTTTTCGACAGTTTACCTCTAAACTATCTTTACAACTATAAATAGAATAAATCAAAAAGGCAGACAAGTAGTTTGAGAGAAAAGTCAAAAGGTCCAAATATTATTTATAGAATAGAAATAACCAAAGGCGTAGACCAGGGGTCATTTTCAGCCCCCAGGTATGACCATGGAAATAACTAGTGAAAAACCAGAAAAAATTTTACAAAGTATAAAAACGTACTCTCCCATGCTTAACAATATAGTCAAAAAGTTCACCACCAGAAACGTACTCCATAACCATAAAAATATCTTTAAAAATAAAAGAAAAATTAAACATAAATTTATAAAGAATAACCTGTAGGAGTGCTAATTACTTGATAACTAAAATAAAAAAATTTGGATTATAAAAATAAACTCTATTTACAGTTTTATAATGTGAGGATGGCGAAACAGCGAAAGATTTTGTATTTCACGTCGAATTTTGCCAACAACGTCAAGAGTCATAATTTTTTGGCGGTTGAGAATTTTAACAGCAACTTTATATCCAGTCGCTTCATGAATTCCAACTAAAATAATTTTATTCAAGAATAAATGAAAGGGTTTTTGACCGAAGTTGAAAAAAAACAAAAAAATAAAATCGTAAAAGAAACCTTTAACTTTTCCAAAAGTGCCAACACCAAGAGTTTCCTTCAAAATATAGTTTCCAATTTTTATCTGGGCTTTAGCTTCACGATCTGCTTTGCTCAATTCAACAGAAGCCATTCTTCTGTAAATCTATTAAAGTGTTAAATTAAACTCCAAAAAGGTAAACAAACTAAAAATAATAGTTCAAAACAACAACTCAAATAATTTTAACAAATTTATTCAATCGCATATAACATGATTTTTTTAACAATTAAAACTGTGATTGAATGTTTTCTTTCCCTTATATTTTCTCACTTATGATGCTTTCTCATCTCAACAAGGATTCGTTGAATCTCATCACGCTTTCTCTTTGCACGGACATGTTGCCCAATTCGCTTCTTCAAAAACTTCAAAGCCTTCTTGTCCTTACTGATACGAAGCAATTCCATAGTCCGACGCTCATAAGGTGAAAAACCAACAACCTAAAGTTTACTGTTAGATGCTTCAAAAGATTTCGAGGAACAGGTCTTTCAAATCGAAAGAGCAAGGCCCCCAACAAAAAATTATAACTCAAAATACCTCGCGAACAACTTCACGAACAATTCGAGTCTTCTTCGTAATGCGTCCTTTTTTACGAGATTGACGTGGCTTGCGAACATTTTTAGTCACAGGATGACCACGATCTAAACCAACAGCAAGACCCTCAATAGCTGGATGTTGTAACTTTGTCATTACTAAATTTCTAAAATTTTAATAAAGTTTACAATGAAATAATAATTAAATATTTTGTCCAATAACAATAAATCATGCAGCAAGTAAATTGATTCAAAATATTTTTATTTGAAAAATATAAAAAAATAAACAAAAAATGTCATTATTTTTTAAATTAAACGGTTCAATCATCCAAGATTTTGATCATCCCCAGGCATTTGCACAACTTGGAATTGTTGTTGATCTCCACTTCCTGGTAATGTCATTATAATGGGTTGACCAGGACCGCAATTGAGAGGAATTGGTTGACCAATTTGTGTGGCTTGGATTATCTGTCCATTCTCAAGAGTCATTAGACATTCTGAAAGGGCTGGCATGGAACCATCCGTACACTATAATTAAAATTAAAGATATGATTTGAGACAATGTAAACCTGTAAAACATATTGAACATTTTCTTCTCTTTCGACGTCCGTCTGCTGATCGCTTGATTCCTCCTAAATAAAAAATAAAGTCCAAATACTAACCAAAGTTTAAAAAAGCAAAACCTTTTGCATATCGTCTCTCGGCAGAATATCAATTAAAAAATCAAACATTTCACTCTTTTCGGCACCAGCTGCCACATCAGCCTTTTGAATTGTTTTGCGTCGATTTTCTTGTGTATTTAGCCAAGAACGTAAAGTTAATTCTTCTATCTTTAATTTCAAAATTAATGGAATTAAAAGGAAGCAAACCACACAAAAATTTCTGCAGCTTTAGCAAGTAGAACAGGAGCCTCCGAACCTATCATCTAAAGTTTAAATTATTTGTATAAGAGAAGCGAAAAAAAACCTGTGTTTTAAGGCCTTCTTCGATTTTCATGATTTTCTAAAAAAATATTAATAGAATCAAAAACAAATCGTCTAAACCTTTATTCGAGCAATTGGCAATTCAGAATGCCTATTAACTTCTCGAAAATTAGTCTAAAAATCTGCACTTTACTAAATAAATGAGGAATTCCAAACCATAGTCATTCGATCGATTTTGCCCTGTTGTTTAGGCCAAAATTCTTCAAGATTCTTAGGAGGTGAATCAGCTCGCAAATTGTTGTTAAATTCGGCAGAATCCATTAGAAAACTGAAACTACTTGACAAAAAAAATCTTAACAAAATAAATTTTTAGCTTTCCTTCTCTAATTCTCAACAAAGACACACTATTTTCAAAATCACATTACTGTAATCTAAACGCCAAAATAAGTACTAATTTAAACGTCTTATTTCGTAAAGTTTTTCGTTTATTTTTTTTCACAATTTAGACTTTTTTTAGTAAAGTTTGTTAGTTTAAGAACTTTAAAAAATTATAAAATGGCTCTTCGTGTTCAATTTGAAGCTAGTAATGACGTCGGAGTATTTTGCAATCTTACAAATGCTTATTGTCTTGTTGGAATTGGATCTTCTGAAAACTTTTACAGGTTTTCTTAAACTTAATTCTGTGATAAATTTCTTTTATTCTTAGCGTTCTTGAAGCAGAATTGGCAGACCATATTCCAGTTATCCATTGCAGTATTGCCGGGATTAGGATAGTTGGCAGGGTGACAGTTGGTAATCGACATGGATTGCTTGTTCCAAATGCTACGACTGATCAAGAATTGCAGCATCTTCGTAATAGCCTTCCCGATTCTGTTAAGATTCGAAGGATCGACGAGCGTCTTTCTGCATTGGGGAATGTTATTTCTTGGTAGGAAAGCTTTTTAAGGAAAAATTAAATTTCATATACTTCCTTCTTTTGCTCTGACATGAGAAGGAAAAAGAGGGGTATACGAAATTCAATTTTACCTTTTTTAGGTTTCCAAAAAAAACTTTTTTCGATTTAAGTAATGATCACGTTGCAATTGTGCATGCTGAGATTAGCAAGGAAACTGAACAAGCTCTTGTTGATGTACTTGGAGTGGAAGTATTTCGGCTTAGTTTGGGCGAGAATGCTTTGGTAATTTATTTTAACAATATTTTTATTCAGAATTTAGGTAGGGTCGTATGCCTGTCTGACGTCAAACGGCGCGATGGTGGCAGCCAAAACACCACCTGAGGTTACTAGAGAGTTGTCTTCTTTGATTCAAGTGCCAGTTGTAGCAGGAACTGTTAATAGAGGGTTCGGTTTTATTGGTATTCTTTAATGTGTTCTATTTTCTAGATCTGAGTTAATTGGAGCAGGAATGTGTGTTAATGACTGGATTGCTTTTTGTGGCTTAGCAACAACCTCAGCAGAGCTTTCTGTGCTTGAGTCCATCTTCAAGCTTGGCGATAATGCACCTAGTGCAATTTCCAGTAATTTACGTGACACAATTATTGAATCTATGATCTGATTGTTGAATTATGGAATGTTTAAATTTTATATATTTATTTGAAATAGATCAAATAAAATATATCGCTGATTTAGTTTTATGGTCATAACTCTTCGATTTTGATAATTTTCATAGCATTCGAAAGTTCTCGTAATGTGGCATCTTTTTCATGATCGAACCGTTCTGTTCTAATACAAAAAGTTGCAGATGGAAAGCTGTTTAATATCGCTTATGATCAGTCCAATAATGAAAAAGATGTAGCATTTCGAGATCCTCGAATCATATTTACAAATTTGTAATATTAATCCGCAATTGCCTAAGAACCGCCATACTGAATCGGCGATACTTCCCTACTCGTGGAAAAGGGTAGGGGAGTATAAAATTTAAATAATCATTAATTCAACAATCAGATCAGATTCAATAATGTCACGCAAAAAATATCAAGTATTTTCTGGCTGGATATCATTATTTGGATTCATTTGGTTCGTTTACTAATTGCTAAAGTTGTGTAATCATCTTCATTGTCCTGTAAAACCAAGTAAAATCTGACCACCTCTTGTGGTGACGTCTTCGGAGATGGAGACTTGGTCTTCTGTGTCTTTGGCGATGGTGTTTTGTTTGGACGGTCCTGAGCTTTTGAGCTTGAGTTAAGGACAGCAACCTACATTAAAGAACGAGGTGAACACTCTGAAGGAGGAGGTGGCTAAACTCAAAAATGATCAGAAGGGTTCAAGCAAAACGCCGTCGCCAAAGACGCAGAAGACTACATCACCATCTCCAAAGACGCCTAAAACCAAATCGCCGTCCCCTAAGAAGCCATCTCCAAACAAATAATATGTGAAAATTTTTTTGATTTAGGAATAAAAAATTGAATTTTTGAATAAATAATTTGTTAAAATTATTTTTTTATAAAAAATTTGGTTTACATTAGTATTCACCTAACCAAAAACCGCAAATTTTTCAATTTGGTCTGAGAATTAACAACAAATTTTAAAATCAAAAATTCAATTTTTTATTCCTAAATCAAAAAAATTTTCCCATATTATTTGTTTGGAGATGGCTTCTTAGGGGACGGCGATTTGGTTTTAGGCGTCTTTGGAGATGGTGATGTAGTCTTCTGCGTCTTTGGCGACGGCGTTTTGCTTGAACCCTTCTGATCATTTTTGAGTTTAGCCACCTCCTCCTTCAGAGTGTTCACCTCATTCTTTAATGTAGGTTGCTGTCCTTAACTCAAGCTCAAAAGCTCAGGACCGTCCAAACAAAACACCATCGTCAAAGACAGAAGACAAAAAAAAATTACAGGACAATGAAGATGATTACACAACTTTAGCAATTAGTAAAACGAACCAAATGAATCCAAATAATGATATTCAGCCAGAAAATAGTTGATATTTTTTGTGTGGCATTATTGAATCTGATCTGATTGTTGAATTAATGATTATTTAAATTTTATATTCACTCGAGATTGATTTAATAAAATGATTTTGTTTGTTAAATTTGTTCATTTCTTTGTTGCTTTATGCATTTTATATTTCTAATAATTTTACTTTTCCTAAAATTATATTTTTTCAAGCATTTTGCTCCCATGATTTTTGCTAGGGAGCCTTATCTTTTACATCTGCTTGCGGGTAGTGAGACTATAACGGCTTTGGATGCGGCAAAAAGTTTACTTGACTCAGGATACAATGATCCTAATGAACGAGAACCGACTGATAATATTTCTCCTTTGCATGTGGCTGCGGCGTGGGATAATTTGGCTATGTGTCAATTGTTGATTCACTATGGAGCTGATAGTTTGTTATTTGAGAAGTTTAAATATATTTTATAGCTCTTAAAAATTATTAACGTAGATACTAAATATATTTTTAAGTAAACGCTCGCGACATTGATAAGCGCCGACCAGTGGATGTTGCTGATAAACAATGTAAACAATTTTTACTGCGTTTACACAAGAGGAGGAGAACAGATAAAAGCAAATTTCGCAAGGTCTTGTCTTATCTTTTTCGAGGAATTTGTGCAAGTTCATCAGCTGCAAATAAATCTGTACTTATTGACAGTCCTAGAAAGGACGTTGCGACGTCACGAAAATCTTGTATAGCTAATATTCACACAGACGACCAAAAGGACAAAAGAATAAAGGTTTTTCGTTTTTATATTTATGTGTAAAAACGTTTAATTTTCCTTTTAAGTATCCTACTACCATTTTTGTAAGACCGATGCCTTCAGCTCCTAGACGTACATCTAGTCTAATAAACGAGGAATTTCTTACTTCTGACAACACTGACGATGGGAGAGAGATCGAAAATAAAATAAATGAAGATGAAAATAAGCCCCAAGTAAATGAAAATGAGTTAAAAGAAAATGGTGAGAAAAGCCAAGAACAAGAAAACAAAGAAGACGAGGAAGAAATTGAAGAAGGATTTGAAGTTCTTGATCCCGCAGAAGAAGCTGCATTTAAAAAACAAATGGAGCAAGAAGAAGAGCTTTGTAAACAATTTTCTGCTTTAAAATTGGATGATTTGAAGGCGAGGTTGCGCTGTAAAAATTTTAAAACTGGGCCAATGGATGCGCGAAATAGAAAGGTTTATGAGGCAAAATTAGCGAAACTTGAGGTTAGGCCTTTAAAAGAAAATGGAGATCGAGTTTCTATAAGAAGTAAGAGAGCGAAATAATTTTATGTATTGTTTTATTTTCTCTCATAGATTACTGCCCTGTACTTCAAAAATTCATTTTAAATGTTGAACGTGGAAATTCTGGTGATAATCAAAAAATTGGACAAGCGGAGGAACTCATTTTACGAAATCACTTTACCCAATCTACTCCTAAACAAGAGGTAGAAATTTTTTCCATTTTTTAATTTGATTTTAAATTTTAGGTCTCCTTCTTTTGTTATTTACTTATTGATCCATCTAAATTGACGCAGTCTGAAAATTTGTCATTTCGTCAATTTATCTCCTCGATTTTTTACGTTGGAAAAGGAAAACGTTCTCGTCCATTGCAACATTTAATTCATGCAAGTAAATGCAGAAATTTTGCCAAAACAAGGCCTACTCAAGTATAAAAGATTTTTTGTTAAATTTATATTTTGTTTAATTTTTAAGAGAACAGAAAAATTAAAACGAATTTTGCAATTATGGGATCGTGGAGAAGGCGTTATTTCGATGCATTTATTTCATAACATACACTCTGCTGAAGCTTTTATTCGTGAAGGAGCGATGATCGAGGCAATAGGTTTTTTAATACTTAAATATTTTTATATTAAAAATTCATTTAAGGGACAAGTAATTTAACAAATATTGTTCGCGGCACTTTCCCAGAAATTGCTTCAAATTGGACAAGACAACAAATAACTGAATTTGGTTCTCTTCTTTTACATAAGGCTTTTGTTATTTTCTTAAATGAGCGATGCCGACCAATTTTTGAGGCTGATATTAACGAAATGGATGGACGTTGGTGATACTATTGGAAGCTTAAATGAATCGTTTCTATGAACAGGAAAACATTTCTTTTGCCAGTTTATCTCATCAATCTTTTTTCACTATTAATATATACATAGTAGTGTAATCATTAATTAAATTCTATTTTGTGCCTAATTATATATTTCAATCTGCTGCCATGCTTTATTTAAAAAGATTAAAATTTATTTATGATGGAATTTTTTTTTAAATTTTGGAAATGTTTATTAAAGACATTTAAATATTTTTGTTAATTTTTCTTTCTTTTAACCTTCCTTTGTAAGAATGTACACCGACAAATTTGCGTGGGATTCTGCCCGAAATTATAGAAATAAACAATTAGAAGTTGTTTCTGACAAAAATTCATCAAATGGTCAAAAACAACGTCGCGAGCTTGCTGATGCCCTTGCTGAAATAGTTCGAGATTCTGGCGTTTTGGGGGTTAAGAAGGAAGTGAATGAGGAAAGAAGTGCCTCTGCTGGATCGTCAAGCGTTCGTTTTTTGTAGTTGACTGGTAAAGAGTCAACTGGTGTCTTTAGAGCCTTTCTACTGATAGATTCCTTTTTAATATAAAATTGAATCAATTTTAGAGCCAAACTCTTCCTTCCACATCAGCCTCTGTAATCGTTGTTGATGATCCCGCAGAGTCAGATCCGTCAAATGTTTTGTTGCCAACTTTTGAACAGCTTCACGGCAATCTTTCTCCAGAATTTGCTCGTCGGAAGTTCTTTGATGACCTTCGACCATTGGATCGGCTCTTGGCACGAGTTGTACGCACTGGAGTGACGGTCCTGCATCTGGAGGTTGTTTGCACTCTGACGAGGTTCAGGCGTACTCTTCTATCTTTTATGAAAGGAAAACTGGTTAGTTTAATTTTATATTTATTTATGAAATAAATTAATTTTTGAAGGTTCCAGTTGCCTACGATCGTGCCAAGCGCTTCTACCAAGTTAACGACTACGTTAGCAGTAAGTGAATAATAGAATTTACTGGCCTTTGACTGCGACAATAAATCATTAATTTGCGTACCTGTTTGAGCCACCATCATTGCACTGAGTCCGAACAGCATGGAACTGGAGCTCAAACTGGACGAGGATGAGGTATGTTCATGGGAGGAGAGAACTCTTCCAATTCTAAAATTGAGGCAATTTATACTGAACGAGGCATCCCAGCATATTCCAGGTTTTTTTAAATAATTTCATCTTTCTTAAAACCCTTTTAGGGAGTTCGACACCAGCGTCAACTTCGATGATTGCCCTCACATTTCTCGGCTTCGTGACAATCCAAACTTGGCCGTTAAATTTGGGGTTCACATCAACAGCGACATTTCAGCTCTTCCCCAACTGCGTGCTAAACGTTTTACTTCAAAGCCTTCAGCCGAGGATTTGCGTAGAGACCAGACAAGACGTTTTGCAATGACTCATGTTGTTCGTGGAGCAGAATTGACTCGAGAAAATAAATGTTTTGAGGCTATACAGGTTTTTAGACTTGAAAAATTTTTTAGAAAATTCTTTTTCAGTGTTTCAATAAAGCACTTAACATTGATGAGCAATGTGTAGATGCTTATGTTGGTCGTGGTGCTGCATCTGCAGGTCTTCGTAACTTTTCTGCTTCTTTGCAAGATTTGGAAAAGGCAATAGAGTTACAACCTGAGCACCGAAATGCAAATAAATATCAATTAGAAGTGCTTGTTGCATACGCAAAAGAGTTTGTGTTTATCTTTGAAAATATCTAAAAATCTTTTTTTAAACAGTTTGGAAAAATCTGGAAATATTCGAGAAGCTGAGGAGAAATTTACTCGAGTTTTGGAACTTCAACCTGGACATTTTCATGCTGTAGATTTTTTTCAAAGAATGAATATTTCTGATAATTCGAGAAAAAGGCCTTCTGATGTTATAGAACTTGATGAAGACGAAGAGGATTTGAAAAAAGGAAAAACAAATGGATTTAACAATAATAAAAATCCGAGTGACGATAAGAATAAAAAGGCTGATTCTTCAATGAGCGAGGAGGAGGCAAAACAAAATCGTATTAAATTGAAAGAAATGGAAGAATTTATAAGAAAATTGAAAAGCAGAAAATGATTAGAAAAATTTGGGGTCATTTTTGATTATTATTTAACTGTAAGGATAATTTTTATTTTTCAGAGTAAAATTTTCAGGGGTCGTCCAAAAAACCTAACTTTTCAGTGGGGCAAGATTAAAATTTTTAATTTTTTCCTCTGTAATTTACATATATAAAGAATTATTGACTAAATTCAAATATTCATAATTTGACCGTTAAAATATTTGAAAATGTTACTCTCTTTACTACTTTTCCGCTTATTATTTTTGATAATTTTCATTTCTCTGTTAATTTACGCAATTAATTAATATAAAATGTTTTGTTGTTTTCTGCGTTGATTATTAATTAGTTTTGTTATATTCATTTACCTATAATTCATTCAAATTAATTTATTTTACAAAAATTAGATGCTCTACACAAATTCTATCGATATTGATGTCAATAGGTGTTTATGCATTCATTCAATTTCACAGGTTATTTTTTATTTTTGAAACGTTTATTGTGTAAGGTATCTGTTTTTGTTAGCCGTTATGGGGGCCTTTGGATGAAGATTGGGAAAAAGATTTAGAAAGCTTTACCGCTTGGAAAAATATCTAATAAAAATCAAAACAATTCTAAAAATTTTTAAATATCGTTAAGCTTGTTGATATTACATTGCAATCACTTCTCTATCAACGACAAATCATTCCAGAGCCAGTTTTAACTCTTTCAAAAGGTGATTCATATATATCTCAACAATTTAGAAGTGTTTATGAAAAGGTTTTTTTTAAAAATAATTTTAAATAAAATTTGAGAAATTTAAAGGTTGCTCAAATTTTACAAAAAACTTTTCGTTCACCAAATGCCAAACTTATAAGTGAATTTATTATTTTACTGGGAAGTGCGCCTTACTCACCTAAAGAAATATATAGAATTAAATGCAGAAATGATGAGCATGAAATAGAGAAGATTAGTATTCATGAAAATAATGGAGAGAAGAAAGAGGAAGTCAATTGTTGTGAGGAGTTGTCGGCAAAGTTTGAGCTTTTTTTTAATAAGATTAAAAATTGTATTGAAAAGGAGGCCGTCTTTTCTTTAATTTTTTCCAAATTGAGCAAAAAAATTAATCGGGATTGTTCCTTTGTTCTTGGGAATCTCTTTGGGGTTACTAACAATGTCTTTTTTTGTTTTTGGCCTATGTTAGTTCTCTTAATTTTCAGTCAAAAATTTTCCAATGTTTTTAACCACAATTTCTATCATTTTAGAGAGAAAAGGCTAATATTTTCTGCTATAGCTTTGAGTAAAACAGCTGTGGAACATTTTGAAATTTGTCCAATACCCGGAAAAACTGACAAAGTTTTTATGTTTATCAAAACAACAGATAAATTGCAAACTTGGGCAGAAGGATTAAATGAAGATTTGAGGTTTTGTTTAAAAATATTTTTAAAACATTTTTAAATAGTTTTAAATTGCCTGAAAATATTCCAAGGAAACGACAAATTCGACAATTAAGAATAAAAGGTATTTTTGAATTATTTTAAAGCTAGGGGACAGACTTTGGGGACACAGACATGGTTTATAAAATTAAAAAGTTTTTATTTTAAATTAAAAATAAGCTTATTTAAAGTAAAATCACCATATAACAAAGAAATAAAAGAAAATGAGAAAGAGGAAATAGATGAAAATTTAATTAGTTACTGGTACAGAATTGAACCTTTTTTTACTAATTTAAGTTGAAATGGTTTTTAAACAATTTTTTGTCTTTCATTTTTGAATTTTTTAAAATTATTTTTGCAATTTTTTAAACTAAAATGTAACCTAAACGAAGCATTTATTTTAAAAAATTGATTTTCTCAGATTCATTTTCCGATTTTATACATTTTAGTTTTCAATTTTTTATTTCTTAATAAAATTTTTGGAAATTTTTTTAAAAATTATAATTTGATCACAGGGAATCTTATCACCTTTATTTACATCATATTTGGGTTTTCAGCGAATTTCACTTGTATGAGTTTTCATATGCCTATGAAGATTACCGGACTGAAAAGAAACTTTAAAATTCATACATTTCATAATTTAACCTGAGAAAATCTCATAGCGCAAATAGCACAAGAATAAGGTTTCTGGCCTGAAAATTTATTTAAAAAATTAATTTTTAATAAGAATATTGATGTTTAGATATCTGTGGGGGTTTTAAGATTAAAAAAAGTACACTCAAATCTCGCTATAGGATACCTTGGGGTTCGAAAAATTTGTTCCTTAAGGCGAGGATTTCCTTAAATTGACGGTATCGCTTAGGTAAACCTCCTCCCCTCTACCCAATGACCAACCGAATTTTATTCTAAAATAAACAAGTCATCATCAAGTTTAATATTGGGGTTGTTTTATGATATGGCCCAACAACAATTTATTTTCAAAATATTAAAATTCGCGAATATTTTTCCCCACCCATTTAATTTTAAAATAGTTTACCTGTGTGTGTTCTTAAATGTTTTGTTAATGTTGAACTATCAGTAAAAGCTTTTTCACAATGTGGGCAGGGATAAGGTCTTTCTCCAGTATGTGTTCTAAAATTATTTTAAAATAATTTTTAATTTTATTTTTTTTACCTTTTATGCGTAACTAATGAAGAACTAAAAAATTAAAAAAAAAATTAATTTTAATTTAAAAAATAAATTAAAACCTTTGAGAAAACGGTCGATAACAAACTGGACAGCTAAACGGCTTCTCCCCTGTGTGTACTCGTCTGTGAGCTGTTAAATTCGCAGCTTGTGAAAAATGTTTACCGCAAATCTGTAAATATTTTTGAAGGTGTTACATAACCAAAAATTGATTGTTTGAGTCGGAAGGTAAAAAAGAAAGACAAAAATCCCCCAAACTTTAATGGTTATTTTTGGGGGTAAAAACAAAAATTACAAGTTTACAAAGAACCACCCCCCCCCCCACTTACCGGACAAATAAAAGGCCTTTCACCAACATGATTTTTCATATGTGCCTTTAAAGTACTTTTTCTACAGTATTGTCTTCCACAAATATTACAAACATAAAATTTATTTTTGTTTGGGGAAGAAATAAATTTTTTTGTTGTTTGAATTTCTTTTTTAATATTTTTTAATTTTTTTATTGAACGAAAAGGTTTTTCAGGAGAATATTGTTGTTGTTGTGTTTTTATTAAATTATTTGGAAGTTGTTGTGAGGATGTTTGAGAAATCTTGAAAAAATTTAGAAAAAAAATTTAAACATAAAAAAAGGTACTTTTCCGTTATTTGACCGCAAACGAGTGCCAGTCGAACTTGATCGGCTATAATTTTAATGGGTGATCAACATGAACCCTGAAGTTGGAAAAAGATATCGCTTATCGAGGGCTTTCAAATGATATAAAATTCATTTGTATTGGATCAAGTATCGAAAATTTATAGCTTATCAAATTCGGCTGGCACTCAGTTTGCGGTCGAATAACGGAAAAGTACCAAAAATCTTTTTAAACCTGTAAACAATTTGTGGATGTTCCAATTAAAGAATTTGTTGTTTGTTTTTGACAATTAATACCGAAATTATTATTTATTTGGGAATTGTTGCTAGTAAGACAATCAATCATTGAATTGTTGTTATTATGGTGGTGTTGATTAAATTGAGGAATCAAGTTGTGGTTACCTCCACTTCCTCCCATATGCCAATTCTACAAAAAAAAATTTTTAATCCGAAAAAATATTGAATTTTTGTTTTTGGATTTTTAAATTATTTTCCTTAAAAAGTAATAAACCAAGAAGGAATTCAATTAAAAATAACCCAATTTCTCGAAATCTACTATTTAAAAACTAAATATACAAGAGTGCGGGACGCATTTGCGGGATCCCGTAACGAGATTTTTTTCAGAATTTTGTAAGGGACAGGATCCCGCGGGATTAATCCCATAAATCCCGATAATCTCTTTCGTCGTTTAAAAGACGGAATTTCGGGACGGGATCCCGCAAAATCCCGTTCAGGATCCTGTCCCGTCCGCACTCTAAAAAATTTCTAACGTTCAAAACGCCAAAGTTGTTGTTGATTTAATGTGTTATTTTTGGGGGTTTTTTAATAAAAAAAACAACTTTTTAGATTTTCAATTTTAAATAAAAATTAATTTACATAAGCCGCCGATCCTCCAATAGAATTAGCTGTACCAATTTCGAGTGTTGCATCAACTCTTAAATATAAATCTCCCCCAGTTCTTCCACTAGTATTTCCTCCGCTCCAATCAACAACTGGCTGGGTAAAATTAGAATAACAATTTAAATTGTTTGGATAATTTTGTGGATGATGAAAGGTTGTTGTTGCGAGTTGGACAGAACGTTGGTAGGGAATAATTGAAGTGTGTAAACTAAAAGAAATGGAAGATTTTTGAAGAAATATAATGAATTCTAATACAGTTTAACTTGCTATAAGAAAACTCATCCAAATTTAGAAACGTATCTTTAAAAAAAGAAGTATCCGCAGCCTGCCGTATTTTAAAAGCGGAAGACGGGTGAAAGGGAAACAAGATAGGCAGCAGAAACAAAAGGATAAAAAACGGAATTATGCGGAAGGGAAAGAGATCCCATCCTTGGTTTGGGAGTATCTTTTAGTGAGACTCAACTATTTCATTTGTCAATAAATTGCTATATTTCAAAGAGGTAAACAATATCCTCGTAAAATTATTTAAATATTTTAAATCCCCTACCCAATATTCGCATTATGTTCAAGTTGATAAAGTCCATTACAAGCAGAAAGTTGTAATTGTTGTTGAGTAGAAGGGTCTGTTGAATAATTAGTAGCAGTACAGTCATCAAAATGCCCTCGATTTTGTTGAGTAAAATGGTTAAATGGTGCTGATGTGTTGTAATGACATAAATAATCTGTTAAATAAATTTGTTATTTTTATTTGTTTTGTTTAGTAAAGCCTTGAAAAAGTAAAACAATTAATTGCCTCGAGTATGTCAAATTGTCAACACAGACTCTTGTGTCTTTACATTTATTTTCAGACTCAACACAAACCTAAACCTTTAGGCTTGCTTGACACTAGAGTCTCAGAAACTTAGCATCAAAACGCCTTTCTCTATGCCATAGCTTTTTTTATTTCGATCATTTCCACAAATTTCCTTTATCATTTAGAATCTATATTTGTTTTTATTCTTTTTATTAACTTTATGAAAGGATTCGATCATTTCTTAGAAAGTTACACCCGCCTAAGTATGTTAAATCACGATTATTCGCAGTTAACGGCTTGTAACTTTTTTGAAAGACGGTATAAACTAAACAATTTTTGGGAAAAATAACCAGCATATCCAGAGCTTTTAATTAATGGAAAAATTATTTGGATTGATTTAAAAACAAAAAAGTTATGCCCCAAAAACTTTAGTTTTGATGCCATTTTTTGAGACTCTTTTGTTACCTGGTAGATTTTAGCCTAAACCTTTTGAAGCCTAAACCTTTAGGTTTTTGAACATTAGAGTCTCAACACGCCCCCAAATTTTCTTTTTATTTCTAGCTTTTTTTATCGTTTGGTCTTCTTAATTACTGTATAAAGATGATCTTTAACTGATACTCTGGTAATAGAAATCCCATAAATTAAGAAATTTATGGGATTTATAAACGGGATTAGATTTCTGTGAACTACATATTGTTTTTCACAAAAATGTATGTTTTCGAAAATACAAATACCGCCGCTTTGTTGCTCAAAATGGCATGTTTTATTCGAATAAAAATTAGAAGAATGTTGTTGTTGTTGGTCTGTTAAAGAATTGAAAGAGGAGGAATTCCTTGAATTTAAAGGAATCCCAGCTGCAGCAACTGCATAGGCTATAGCTGTTGTTGATGGTGAATTATTATTGTTTGAAGTGGAAGAAGAATTGTTGTTCATGGCTTCTAGGCAGCCTCAAAATATTTTTTTGAGTTTAACAATTAAAACAATTAAAAGGGCTTTAAAAGGAAAAGAGAATCCTTAAAGAAATCGAAAACCTTAAATCAAGATTGAGAACCTAAAAAGCAATTATAGTAGGTATAGTACTTAAATTAAGAATATTTTTAGTTAAATTATAGGCAGCCTCAAAATCTACATTTCTTCTTAACCTCCAACAATTAAAATTATTTTTTAAAAATATTTTAAATATTAATTCCCCTTCTAATTTACATATCGTAACATTCTAAAAGCTTACATAATAAGCCACTCCCATTAACGTTAGTGGAGGCTAAAGACAAAGAGATTAGCCGTAATAAGAATTTAATTTAAAATTTTTTTAAAAATATTTCTCGATTAAAATTAAAATAAATTCTTAGATTTAATTGATTCTGAAAAATAAGAACAAATATTTTTAAACAAAATTCCTTTTCTTAACAAAATTTTATTTTTTTTTAAATTTACTTTTTTTTTTGCTAATTTCAAGAAATTTTGCATTTTTTCAAAAAATTTCTTTCACAAAATTATTTATCTAAAATCTTCAAGTATATTTTTATCAAAAATCCTTCAGTTTCACTCTAATTTTCTATTCAGAATATTTTTATAAAATACAGTATAGAAAGGGGAAACAAAATTTAGAGGATTAACGGATATTTAAACCTTTACTCCCTTTTTTTAAGGCCACAAAATTATTGGGAAGACTCTACAAAATATATAATTATTAAACGTTTTCCACCCCCTCCCCTTTCATTCATTGCAATCGTCAAAAAAGGATTAGAAACAATATAAACTGCCATCTTTGGCTAAATAAAAATTCTTTTTTCCTTTAAACAAATATACACACCTGATGCTTATTGTCAGAATTTTTTTTTAGGGGGGAAAATAATCATGAAAAGGAAAAACTAATTTTCCGTAAAAAAATTTTTCCCAAATTTAAAAGTGTTTAAATAATTTTATTAAAATATACAAAATAATTTAAAATTGAAAAATTAAAAAAATAATTTTTAAATATTACTGTCATCAATTCCAACAACTCGAGATTTGTCTCCATTTCTCAGTAAAAATCCTTCCAAAACCAATTGTTTAATTGCATCTTCATAACATTCTCGATCTAATGCCTTTAGATTTTATAAATATTAGTGTAAAAAAAATTTTAAAAATTTATAAAAATATACCTATTTACTGTCGAGAACTAAGTTTAGATACTACCAAAATTAAATACTTCTCAATGAGTGATTTTTGAAATTGGGTATCAAATGAGGGAAAGAGCTGCCTAAACTAAACACCTTCCCCCCTTTAAAATACATCTCACAAGATAAAAAAATATTTAAGTAACAAATTCAGGGGTACCTACAAGGGAGATAAACTGTAAATAAATTTCAAAAAAAAAATTAAAAAATAATTTTAAGATTCATCTCTCTCTACCTTATCATTAATTCGCATATCCTTAAAAAGTTTTCCAAGAGAAAAGTTTCCTCTTTTGCCTTCCAATTCTTGTCTAATTTGTTCTGCAAGAACTCCAACAAATTGTTTGTGTTTTTCTGAATATCCAGTAGCAATTATATTTACTTCAACACAGCCAGTATCTGGATTGACTGCTGATTGTCGAAGTGCTTCACGTTGAAGTCTAATAAAAATTATTATTCTTTTGCTCATTAACAAAGAAAAAAAACTTACTCATATGCCATTTCCACATCATTTTCACTAACTTCATTACTTAAACGCATTTTTGCAAAAGCTTCAGAAAGTCGAATTAAAGCTTCTAATTGTCTTGGATATGCCGATATTTGCTTTACTTTTTTGCCAAGCGAACGCATAAATTGATATTTTTGAACAAGTAATTGACCAGCTTTTTCGCTTATTACAGGGCAAATATTAGCTTTTGCGTAGGCAATATAATCACGAAGAAAGGCCATATCAACACGTTGTTGCTGTTCTGCTTCGGTATCTGCTACCAAGTAGAAATTGACCTTTTTTGATAGAAAAAATAAAAATATATTTTGGATTAAAAAAGAAACAAAACTATAAATTTAACTAGATAGATAAAAAAACTGTAGAGATAATTAAAAATTATCATAGTTTGAGCGAAAACAAATCGTTAAAATTTAAAGAACTTTAGACATTTCTGGTTCCCTTTCCAAGCCCAACACATAAGGACAAACCCAAAAATATTCAATTAATTTACAAACTATTTATTTTTTCAAAAATCCATACCAAATGTTTAGCCAAACGTCTATCATACTCTTCATCTTGCGGATCCAGTACCAAAAAAATTAAATCAAAACGAGATAAAAGAGTTGGAGGTAAATGTACATTTTCAACAATATTTTTCCTTTTATTCCATTGCGAATCTACTGGATTTGCTGCTGCTAAAATTGATGTTCTAGCATTTAATTGACAAATAATTCCAGCTTTAGCAATTGAAAGTGTTTGTTGTTCCATTACTTCGTGAAGAATACTTCTTGTGCTATCATTCATTTTATCAAATTCATCAATACAACAAACTCCATTATCTGCTAATACTAAAGCACCAGTTTGTAAAACAACTGAACGAGAATCTGGATCTCTAGTGATTGATGCACTTAAACCAACAGCAGAAGAACCCTTTTTAAAAAATATTTCAGTTAAAGAAAAATTTTATAGACAAATTATGTGAAGGCAATGATCTGTCACATTTAATTAGTCAAAAAATTTCGTACCCTCAAAATTACTCAAAAAATCAAAATTTTAATTTTAAACCTTTCCAGAAGTAAATTGTGCCCGTGGAACAAGATGATAAACATATTGGAGAAGTTGTGATTTTGCTGTTCCAGGATCACCACAAAGCAAAATATTTATATCGCTGCGAACTTTAATACGTCTATCCCCAACAGTTTCGTCTTCTTCAATTTCTTCTCCATGTTTTTGTTCATCCCATTTTCGAGAACCACCAAATAAAAGACAAAGAATTCCTTTTTTAATTTCTTCGTGTCCAAAAATATTTGGGGCTGAAAATTAAAAAAATATTTAATCAAAACTTTAAATTATGAAAAACTAACCAACAGCTTTTGTCAAACGGTCAATAATATCATCACATTTTGATAAAGTTAAAACTTGCTGAATACGCTCTTCTGTCATAAACAACTTAAAAAAGGAAAAAATAGAAAAGATTTTGTTACTAAATAGTCTCCCCTTGTCAAATCTCTGAAGATTCAGATTAGTAAAATGTTAATTGTGGTGACTGCATAAACTTTGAAGGAAGAAGGTTGAGAATTAGGGTTGGGGCCCGATCCGGTAAGGTCCGAAAGATCGCATCGGGCATTAAATTTTGGCCCGAAAAAGACTCGATCGGGCCGGTCCGATAAAAATGATTCGAACGTCGGCCTGACTCGAAAACCCCAACCCTATTGAGGATGTTTTCCGGAGATTGAAAGGAATTGCTTTCGATTTATTGATAAGGATAATTTGAATCATTAAACCACGTTTTCCTACAAAGTATTCAAGAAAAATAAAAAAAACTTATCCATCAGTTGGCTCATGTAGTCTGTCTTGACTAAGTTTTCGAAAATGAATAACATCAATACTCGTTCGATAAATTGAATGAACTGTTCGTTGCAATGGATTAACACGAATTGGAGTAGCTCTATATATTCCAGTTACAGAACAGCGATCGCCGGGGTGAACACTTTCGACAAGAGAGCCGTGAACAAAAAGAGTGACAGAATGTTGGGTCTGTCCGGCTGGCATATCTCCTTAAAAATAATTTTTTTAATCTTTTTTAAAATTAAAAAACCTGGAATTTCTTGAAGTTTAACAACTTGTTTGTCAATAAAAAATGATCGATTATGGATTAATTGGAAGCTATAAGCATCATGACAATTACTACATTTGACTGGTTCTTCAATACGTCCACAATCGACTTCGCTTACGACCTAAAGGTTTTAACAATTATAATAAAGTTAAGATCCGGTATGGGGAAGAAGGCTTACTATTAAAGATGCAGGAAGGATGCAGGAAGGCTTACTTAAAGATGCGGGATGAGATAACCTAACAATAAGTTCCAGAAATAAAAGTCGGGGAAGTAAACCAGTTCTTGAGTAAAAGAGCTCCACTCTTATGCTAACGTTTGAACAATTTTCAGAAAATATAATTTTAATTTAATACCGGAGCATTACAAAGAGCACACTGAAAATAACCAGTTTTCATTTCAGGAATAATTGGTGAAATTCGTGTAACCATTCCACAAATTGTAACTAATTGACCAACATCTAAAAAAATAAATTTAAAAATTTATTTTTTAAAACAAAAAACCCTGAGGATTTAAATCACGCATAGTTTTTGTCTGTTCAGCATTGTAAGGACGGATCTCAATAATTGAAGGCAATTTCTTGTTGTAAGTCATTTCAAAAATTTCATCAATTGTGGCATCCAAATAGGTTAAAACTTCCTTTAAAACATAATTTTAGTAGAATTTAAAATAAAATTTACATCAGGATATGAAATAATAATTTTGTATAAATGCTCATTAAACTGCCGAACATGAGCCAAATTAAGATTTAAAATTGGAATTTCACTAGCAAAAATTCCTTTAAGTTTTTCCATATAATAAGGCAATGTTGAATCAACTGGTGCGACATTTCCACTTTCCATCTATAAATTTAATTAAAATTCAAAAAATTATTTTTCTTCAAATAAACCTCCACAGCATTTTCATCATCGTCAAGTTGTTGAGTAGTAAAATTAGTTATAAAATTACGAAATTCTTCTTGCATTTCCATCACACATACACGAGTTCCCCAAATGTATAAACGAGCATTTGGTCTGTCCTCAATATTTTCTTTGTTTGTTTGATCGATGCTTTCACTTTAGAAAAGAATTTTTTGTAAAAAAATTTTGTAAAAATTCCAAAAAAAACAAACTTTAATATATCATCATCAGCAGCAATAGAAATAGTTCTATCTTGTCTATGTTGAGTTGTTGTTACCAAATCTGCTCGTTTCCTAGCCGACTTATTCGGAGTTGCAATTGTTGATGCACTAATTGCAGAAACACCGCTCTCCGAAGCGGGATACCCAACACTTAAACCATTTAAATCATCTAAATATTTTAATTAAACAAATTAATTTTAAAATAAACAAACCGCTTTCCCGACTCGGTGATCGATGGTTTCCTAAAACTTGTTCTTCATATTCACTTAAAGGAACTAATGGAGTATCTCCACGTTCAGAATCTATTGGATCTCCAGGCGGATCATCAGAAGACATTTTTGTAAATTGTTAGAGATTAACTAGAAAAATAAATAAAAAATTAAAAAAAAGAAAATTTAGTTGAAAAAATCAAAAATTAACAAATAAAAGCGCGCAATAAATTATTGACTTAAATTTAAAATATTAAAATAGAGGCAATTGTCAAAACGTTATTTTAATATGACATTTCGTCCAAAATTAAAAAGCGAGAGAGTATGGTTAGAGAAAAAAAGAAAGAAAGATAGAAAGAAATGTGGAGACGGAAAGTTTTTGTAAAATTGTAAAAATGTTTTCGATTGATTGGATATTGGATATCTAGTATATCCTTTCTTCATTTTTCTTTAATCTTTATTGACATGCCAATATTATCTTCTTCTTCAAACACTCGAAAATATTCAGAACAAAGCTTGGCTAATTTCAACAGAGCTCAATTCTTCTTTAATCCTTCACATATTCAACCGCAAACTGATCGTCGTTGTCTTCAACGTCTTCATATAGAAAATTCATTTGCAAAATTAAATAGTTTTGTTATTTTTTGTAAGTTTAAATATTTTTTAAATTTTTAAAATTTTTTTCTTTTTTTTAACAGCTTGTGGAGAAGAAAAATTGCCAGCAGTTTTCAAAGAATTTTATGACGAATTAATTTATTTTGAAATAGATCCAGCACATTCATATCAACTTGTAATTAATTCTCTTACTTATTTTTATTCAAAGTATTTTTTTATTTTTATTTTTTAAAAAATTTTTTCAAAAAGAATAACTTGGGCAACTTCTGTACAAAAATGTGTTTTTGAATTTATTTGTGAATTTCTCGGAGAATTTCATTCCCATCTGGACAAAAAACATCTTATTGAATTAGAATTGGTTTGTTTGTTGGAACTTTTTATGATTCGATATGAATACAAAAATGGAAACGGAAATAACGTAAGATTTTTTTTATTTTTGTGGTTAATTTTTAAATTTTTTAGATTTTTAACATCTTGGTTCAAATTCGCAAAACTTCTAAAGGGGCTGATTGTCATCTTTCTGGTTTTGTAAACAATGTTATAATTAACCAGTGAGTTTTAAAACTTTTTCTAATATTTTAGTCCCTTCTATTTTTAGCCTAGTTTTTTTCGCCTACTATTAGGAACCCTAATAATTTTGATTTGACATTTTTTCTGTTAATTCCCTTTTTCACCTGTCCTTTTATTTTTATCATTTCTCTTAATATTTTTATCATTTCTCTTAATATTTTTTTAAATTTTTAAAATTTTCAGTTTTGGTTATACTCTAGAACCTTTACTACGTAATATTTGTGACCGACTTAACCTTCAAGTTAAATTATATCGTTCTTCTGATTCACTCCAAAATATTTCAACAAAACGAAAAAGTTCAATGACTAGTTCAAATCAAGAATCTCATACTTCTTCAATTGAACCGACGTTTAGTGAAGACGAGGAATTAATTGAAGAAGAGGGAAATTCTGATGATGAAATATCAAAATCGATTGGTTAGTTAGTTTTTGACTTTGAGGTTTTTTACAGAGATTATCAGGTTTTTACTATTTCTACTTGATTTTTAAATTTTTTGTCGAACCTTAAGTGAAAAATATTAGATATTGAGGGCATAGCCAGAGGGCCGATTTCAGGGGGGACTAAAATTGGGCATGCGCCGAAATTTTGGCGTTCACCCCTGGTTACGCCCTTGTTAGATATAAAATTTTCTCTTGCCTCTCTAAAAATTTACCTTTAGTATTTTACTCTTTTCAGAAAAGAAAAGGTCCAAGTCTCATGATAAAATTAATAAATTAGCAAACAAAAAACTGAAGACGACTGACAAGGTTTTTTTCTATTTTTAAATTTAAATAATAAATAATTTATTTTAATTTTAAGTTAAAAATTCGGAAGAAAGCTTCAAGAGTAAATTTTAATTTTTAAATTAATTTTTAAATAATTTTAAGGGTCGTCGACGTTATTGACTCTATAAATTTGGAAATGCTCTCTTTTGACACTTTTTGTAAATTTGGTTTTAATTGACTTTTAAATTAGGGTTGTTCACTGCCGGTTATTAACCGGTACTCCCGGTTTTCGGTTAATCCAAATTTTAAAAACCCGGTTTTCGGTTTTGAGTTTTAGACAAATACCGGTTTGATTTTGGGGAAATTTTTAATAAAATCACAAATTTCCGGTTTTCGGTTTTTAAAATTTTCTAAAAGCGGTTAATTTTAGGCAAAAAATTTCAAAAATTCCGGTTTTAAAACCGGTCGTGAACAACTTTATTTTAAATTTGTAAAAATACTCAATTTAAGTTTAAAGACACTAAAAAGCATAATTTCTCCTTTTAAATATTCCTTTTCTCTTATAATTTTATTTTACCTTAGGTGGTTTCTTTAAAAAAATTTTTTTTAATTCTAATTGTGACTTTTATTAATTGAATTTTTAAATAAAAAATGGAAAAAAAAATTTTTAGAAAAGCCTTTGGAAACCACTTAAAAATATATTTCCGTCCAAATTTATTTTTTTTTAAATTTCCTTTTCCAGTTTTGAATATTTTAAATAAACTAGTCTTTTAATTGTTAGTTTAAAAAACCTCTAAATTTAATTTATTTTACTCATATTTAATTGATAAAAATATATAAATATTTACATATTTAAGAATTTTTTTGTTTAAATTATTTTTGTTTTTTAACAATTTGTTAATATTTTTAGATTTAAATATTTTTCTAAAATGTTTTTAAAAGAATGTTCAGAAAACCCAAAATTAAAGCAAATCTGAGAAAAAAGACGCTGGAGGATGATTTTAATGTGACCAGCATTGAGGATGAACAAAAGGAAATTGAGTTGGTTTTTTTTATTTTATTTTTATTGGTTCCTATATTTTTGTTTTTATAAGAAAGGAAATAAGATGTTTATAGAAAGTTTTTTAAATCAGAGCAAATAAATTTTATAATTTTTTGGTGTTAATTAAGAGAAGTGATTTTAAGAAAGGGATCCTCTGGGTCCGTTTTGTAGAATAATTTAAAAATAGTTTTTAATAAAGATCCAGGATTCGAGATATTCAAGAAGCACAAAGAGTAAGACAACGCCGTAATGGAATGGATGCAGTTGAATGTGCTGTAGGTAGAGAATTGGCTAAAGAATTTGCAAGATTGGATGAGGATCCGTTTAGAATGAGTGGAGGTGCAATGCTTCGATTGACTGGTTTGTTAAATATTTTGAGGCAAATTTTAAGATATTTTTAATATATTGACCGTTCTCCGAGGATTTTTGTTTTTAATAAATGGACATTTTATAAGGGTAAAATGTCGAGGAAGTACCCATATAATTTTTAAATCTCTTCAAAATTTAGATACTCAAAGAGCAGCCTTAAATGCGGCGGATATTGAAGCTGATATAAAAGAACAATTTAAAAAAGAAACACTTTTACGTGATGAACATGAAGAAATGCGTCGATATGTTGAAGCGAGGCTAAAACGTCAACATACTTTGGATGATTCAGCAGAAGATAGTAATAATAAACGAGCAAAACTTTTGTCTCCGGAAGAGGAAATTTTATTTAAGGTTGGGAATTATTTTTAGTTAGGATTATTTTTAGTTTTACTATGCGGGGAATATGTAATATTTACACATCTGTGGGAGTGCGGGTTGAATTTTTAGCTTTTATAAAAGTCTAATGAAAATTTTACTTATCCATAATAATTTCACATGGACGGGGAAGTCGAATTTAAAAAAAGTTTTTTTAACTTTTTCCATATTTAGCTTCCTTCTTCGCTTCCACGTGGACGAAAATTAAACTCTATTTATTTTATAGGCTGCTGAACGTGTAAAAAATTGTTCGAGTACAAAAAAAGAAGAGCTTTTATCTAATCAAATGCTTGTTGGAATACCAGAAGTCGATTTGGGGATAGAGTAAAATTTAAAAATGAATTTTTATTTTTTTCAATGATTTTAATTATTTAGAGTTCGTATGAGCAATATTGTGGCAACAGAACAAAAGAAAGCGGAATTACTCAAAAAGGGAATAATACCCCGTCCAGTGGCGGATAGTTGGAAAACATGAAAATAAACGTATAAAATACTTTTATTACCTATTTTGTAATTTAAAATGTTCATTAAAATTTAAATTTCTTCCCGAAGAGAGGAGGGTGTTGTTAGGGAGATTTGACATGATTTGAGGAAATTAAATTTTGGGGAGCAATCCAAAAAAATTTTTTTAAAGAAAAAATAAATTTTTATTTTAAATATACATAAAAAATTAAATATGAAGTGGATGGATAAAAAAATATTTTCAAACAGCTAATTAATATTTTATGAAAGGAAAACACTAAATAATGAGTGTTTCATTTATTTTTTGTTGCATTCAAAATAAGGCAAGATTTTTGGTTTCAATAGAGGTTGAGGGAGTGAATAACTTCACAGAAAATGGCATTTCTCTATGCAAATGTTTTGGTAGCATTTTTTGGTTGTAATGAAAATTGGCGGTGTGAAACTTTTTGGGTATCAGAAATGTCATGAAAAAAATCCTTTTCTTTAACCAAAAATATTTTAAATTTTCACGACAAACTGACAGTCCAAAAAAGTTTAGGAATATTTTAATTAAAGTAGTTAAATTGGCTAGAGATTTTTATGCCCCAACAATTACCATCAACTGAGCAATTGAGTTTCACATGCTGGGTCCACCATGTTTTCGTGGTCCGATTGGTCTTTTAACATTTGTAGTGTTTCACTGTCCAAATGCAAATCTTGTAGATCCTACAAAAAAAAATTTTTTTTTGAATTGAATGCGAGTTTTTAAAGAAAATGGGGTGCTTTTATTAATACTTCCGCCCTTCCAGCCTTATTTTAAAAAAAATTTCCATTAAAATTAAAAAAACCTGAAAACAATCAACGTCAAGAGAACCATCTGTACCGGTCACACAAATATTTGGAACTTCCATTCCATCAGGGCTAGCTGAAAAATGTCGATGTTGTGACCACTGATTATTATTATTTAATTGTCCTTGCATCATCTTTCCTCCAGGAATTCCAGCTAATGGATGGTAATTTTCCATTGAAGAAGAGGAAGATAAAGTTGTTGGACTTGTTGGGGCAGATCTACTTTGTGATAATAAATTTGTTAAAGGTGTTGTTAATTGTTGTTGAAGTGTATTATTGTTGTTATTATTTGTTATTATATTTTGACTAAAGTATGGAGGTGGTGGAGATATTTTTGTGTTATACTAAAAAGTTTTAAAATAAATTTAATTTGAAAATGAAGAGTTTTTTCAACGAAATTTGGAAAAAAAAAACAAGTAAAAGTTATGAAAAGTTGAATAAGAAAACAAAAAATATAAAGGCAAAAGAGCATACTAATAAGGGTCCCGCCGAAACAAAAATCACATTTCTGATTTTTAGGAAACGGGAATTTATTTAATAAAAATATGGATGAAATTCGTGAATTTGTTCATGTCTCCTTAATTTGCTCAAAAAGATTTTTTGACCCTTTCCCACTGATTTCTCTCTCAAATTTAACCACTCCCAACTTTCAAATCAAATTTTTACTAAATTATTGGGGAAAAATAAAATTCAAAAAATAATTAAAATACCAATTGCTGCTGTTGTTGTTGCTGTTGTTGAAAACCAACTCTATTGTTTTCAAGCATTATTAATTGTTGTTGTTGATCATTATTCCCTATTTTTGGTTTTGTAACAAAATTATTATTATTATTATTATTTAATTGTTGTAAAAAAATAATTTGTTGGGAGGCAGGAGAACCATTATTATTATTATTAATCATAAAATTTTGTTGAGAAGAGCAAGAAGCAATAGGTGATGAGCATGAAGGTGATGAGCCAATTTGCTGTATTGGTAGGCTAACTGAAGGTAATGGAGGAATTGTTGTTGGATTGGCAGGTATATTAAATATTTGATTTTGAGGTAAATTAGGTTGTTGGTGTTGGTGTCGATTTTGGTGTTGATTAATTGAATCTTTAAAAAGGGAAAATTAAAAGTTGGATGAGTAAAAGATAAAAAAATCCCAAGGCGTCAGTTCGATTTTTAATAAAAAATTTTTATAATTGAAAGCTTTTTGATTAAGCTTTTTTGTTTTTCTCTACAAAATTCCCAGTCCCAACAAACCCATGAAAATAGTTTCAATTGAGTGGGGTTGTCGGTTTAGCAAATTTTTCAGTTGACCGAATCGAAAATTTTGTTTCCGGTTCGTTGAAAATGACAATCCCAAGCTCGGAGGTTATAAAGAGTCCCCACAAAAACTAATCTTTGTTTTTTCTATGAAATTCACAGTCCCAACAAAGTACAAATAAAAAAATAATAATTTTGTAGTTTCAAATCAAAAATTATTAATAATCAATATTAACTTCTTGCTAAAAATTTAAATTTTAAGAACCTACTATTTGTTTGATTCAATGGCATATTTGGTTGTCCCAAAGGATAAGAAGGAAAGAATAAAACGGAGGGTTGAATCTGTGCTGTTGGAGGTGCTGTTGCAGGACCATTAAACATTTTTGGTGTTTCATTGTTCCACGAATTTTGAACCTCCGAATAGAATGGATAAGAAAGGAAATTTGGATCAATTAAGTTTGGGTTAGTTGCTGAAGTATTTGTATGAATGGCAGGATCACTTCTTGTTCTAAAATAAATTATACATATCACGATAAAACATAAATTTGTGTTTTCTAGCAAGAAAAGGAATATTTTATTTTCGAGACATTTTTTCTCAAAAAATAAATTTGAAGGACTACGCCATAATAATCGTAAATTTCCAAAATATCGGTCTTATTAATGGGACCTTAAAATCCCAAAAAATCTTTTCATCCCTTAATTAGGTTTGATAAATTCAAAATTTAATACTTTGACCACGTCGGATCTGGTGGTTGCAAATGCACGCCTCCCGGACCGCCAGATTCCACCATTTTTGCCTCATGCCCGCCACTCGGAGATGTTCCATTCCTATAAGGATGAAAATGTGTGGCGCCAGGTGAACGTGTTCTAGCCGCCCTTTGTTGCTGCTGAAATTGGTTGGAAGCTGCTGCGGCCGTTTGAACATTTGTCCAAGAAGGTGACCAACAATAATTGTTGTTCACTGCACAGTTGTAAGGAGAAGGTGGTGTTGAACCCATTGCAGGTTGTTGAACAACCATTTGATGAACGTTAGGTAAAGAACCTCCAGCTCTGTTCCAATTTGTAGTAAGCGGATGAGGGCCCTCGGGGGACAATTTAGAGGAAGAATCGTTGCTCTGGGGGCCATAATTTAAAAGTTGTTGAGGACTTGATTGTGGAGTAGTTTGACGTTGTTGTTGTTGTTGAACGTCATTACCTTTAATAAATGAAGAGTGCGAAATAAATAAACAAAAGAAAACTTGTTATTGTCCGAACATCTCGCATTACATTATTAAACTGTTCTTGTTCTTCGTTTTGCTTTCGCTCCTACAAAATTTTTAAAAATTAAATTTAAAAAACAAAAAAAAAATAAAAACTCACCAAAATTGCAATTTTCTCGCTAAATTTTCTTGGAGTTGCCTGTGACATTTGTATTATTATCCTCTTCTTTTTTAGAAATAATTCTGATTAAAAAATATTTTTTGTAGTTTTTACAGTCCAATAATTTTACATGAACTGAAAAAATTGGATAAAGTTAAAAAAACAGCACGTGAAACGGTTTACTCCACCGATTTGGCAAAAAAAAGATGCGGGAAATTGGGAAAGAATAGAGACTAGCAAGCTAAAATGGATTACAAATATTAAATAAAGCTACTAAAATAAGCGCCAAAAATATCATCAACACGTCCCACAATTTTCACAGCAGTAAAAGCTCCTTTATGGCAAGTGTAGCAATTGTATCCCCCCACAAAAGAAAGAAACATGATGCCACTTTCATAAAAAACCAAGGCCGCAGAACAAACGGATATCGTGGTCTCTCTACTACACACACCGTGTGGCGATTAGAAGCAGATTTTGTGCTGCCACAAGATATCTAATTTTTTACACTTCTTGGCCTAATCTTTCTCTCTCAAAAAATTCTCAACACGCTCTTTCTGCCCCTGTCAAAGAAGAAAAGCCCCCAACAGAGAGGAAACCAATCTCTGCTGTCGGCTGCATTTAAAATATAGAGACGGGTTCTTCTCTTATTTCCACCTCTCTTTTTCAATCCTTACTTCCCAGGCTGCCTTCAATTTCACACGCATCCATACACTCACCAGTCAATAAATGTTGTAAAATATAAAACCCCATCCTAAATGCTGCAAGCTAGAGAAGGGGTTGAAATATGTATAACACAAAGTTAGTAGTAACATGACCAGTATATGAAGAGAAGGAAATTTTGGTGTTAAAGAAGAAAGTTAGTGAATGTGTAGTATAAAAAGAGAAATCATTATTTGTTTTTACTGCCCACTTGTGTGTAGAAAAACAAAAACGGCCATCAACAATAAAATTGTCGATAAAGGAGAACTGGATAAAAAATCATAAAAATACTAAAATTGGCGAAACGCCAAACTTTTTAAAAAAATTTTTGCAAATCAATTTTTGCAAAAAATATTTTTCTTTTTTTGGGGATGGGTTACGTCATTTCTTATTGGATTAGATTATAAAAGAGTTTTCTTTTTTAAGGAATTGAGGTTTAATAACAGCCAAATAGTACTACTTTAATTTATCTAGTCGCAAAATGCCTGCTTCTGCTCTGGAGGAGGATTTGTTAGAAATTTCGAAGAAGCTTACACGGATGAGTAAAGATGTTGATAGACAGGTTAATAAATAGTATTTTTGATATAAATTACATCTGACAGTTATAAATAAAATTTATGTAATTTTGTCTGCAAAAATCCGTCCTCCAAAAATATTTTTTTTAATTTTTTATTGAAATTTCAGCTCGGTGGTGCCATTGATTTGATTGAAGCTCTCGAAAAAATGCCCGTTAATATCGAAGTCTTAACTGTATGTTTGATTTGTTATATTTTTAAATTATAAATTTAAGAAAACTCGTATCGGAATGGTTTTGAATGATTTTCGGAAAAAAGTTGAGGACGAGAAGTTAGCTAAGCGTTGTAAAGCGCTCATTAAGGTATTTTAGAAGGTTTCTCTTTCAATTTTGTTTAAATTTTATTAGCGATGGAAGGCTTTGTTGGAAGAGAAGGCAGCTCAATCTCGTTCAAGTACTCGTTCTAGATCTCCAGATGAATCAAAAACGCCTGTTGTAGAAAACAAGAGGGGCGATATGAATGCTGTTGCTTTAAATTCAAAGTCAAGGCCCCTGATGAATGGAATCTCGTCTGGTGCAACCGATGTAAATTTTAAGTTTAAAAAACTGATATAAATTTAATAAATTAAAGGTTCGATCTAAAAGTGTTGAAATGTTGTTGAATGCTTTACGTTCTGGTGAAATTCCGGATGGTTGGCTATTTTTATTTTTGAGAATAGTTTTAAGTTTTCTTTAAGGTACGTTGGATCCTGAAGATTTGGCTAGACGAATTGAGAAACGTCTTTTTGATTTTCACAATGGGACAGGAGACAAATACAAGTCTGCATTACGCTCGCGCGTCTTCAATCTTCGGGATAAGAAGAACCAGGCTTTACGTGAGAATGTTCTTACTGGAGCTGGTTTGTTAATTTTATATTAAGTAAAGATGTTCCCTCCCTTGTATGGGGATAAGAAAAGATGTTGGGAGATAATTTGTCATAAAAGCGAAAAATATTTATCTTTTTTAGTGGGTGCCGAGAAATTTGCTACAATGACGACTGAAGAAATGGCTTCCGAGGAAATGAAAAAGACTCGTGAAATGTTTACCAAAGAAGGAATTCTCGAACATCAAATGTCTATTCAAGAAGGTTTTTAATTTTTAAAAATTATTTTTTAAAATTATTTTATATTTTCTAGGAACTCCGACAGATATGTTCAGGTCAGAAGTGTTTTCACATTAAAATTATTTTTATATATCTACAAAAAAAAAGCAAAATCCTTTTAAAAACAATTGGGAACTTTTAAATTTGGCAGCGCAACGCTCTGATTTTTTATTCTAAAAATTTTAAATTTTGTTATTTATTGCAGAGATGTTTGAAATTTTATTTCCGTACCAAGAATTTTTTTGTTATAACCCTAGTTAGGAGATGTTCGACTGTATTTTAATTCTATTCAAAAATTGAAATTTCAAACATCTCTGTTTTTATTCCTCTCTATCAATTATAGATGCGGAAAATGTGGACAAAACAACTGCACATACTCTCAAATGCAAACGAGGTCTGCTGACGAACCGATGACTACTTTTGTTTTTTGTCGAAGTTGTGGAAATCGTTGGAAGTTTTGTTAAAATGGAGTGTAGTTTTTTTTGGTTTATAATTGTATAATATTAAGAGAAAAAAATTTTTTGTAAAAAACGGGGAGGGTAAATGAAAAGAAATTAAGGGGTACTTACTTGAAATTGAGTATCACTTTTTAAAGCTTTAAAGCTTCTCAAATTTCTGTATTTTTCGAGAGGTTAGAAAGCAAAAATTACAAAAAAATCTTGGGAAAATTCTATTAGAACAATGTATTATGTCCTAACTGTTTCTTTTTGTTTTTCTTTTACAGAAACGTGCTTATTCTTAACTTTGCCTAACGAAAATAATGACACGTTTTTAGTTTCATTTTTCTGTTTTTCCTGAAAAATAAAAAGTGTATGAAGGTGATATTCATTTCTAGTAAGAACATTCATTTTAGATAGGTCCCTATAATAAGTTAATTGTAAAAAAAACATTTTCTGTTGCGCTGCCATTTCCCTTTTTCTACATATCTTTTTAATAAATTTTAAAATTAATTTTCTTCTTCAATGGACTAGAAAAGATAGAAAGGATTTTGTTTCACTTGTAGCTTCCATCCTTACAGATATTTGTCTTGCTGTATTCCAAAAATAAACCAATTTATTTGGTCTTTTGATTATTTATTTTATTTTTGAATAAAATTTAAAAAAATTTAAATTTTTTAATATCTTAATAATAATTTAGTTTTTTAACTTTTTTATTTCTTTTGATGAGTTATTTTATGTATGTTCTTTTTTTTGTCAAAGGATGTTGATTTTTTAGTTTTTATCTTTTAAAATTTCAACTACTTGGAGAGCATTGAACAAGCATTTCTCTAAAATTTTTAAACGATGAATAATCGAATTGTGATATGTGGTGGAGGATTAATGGGGCTTTCTGTTGCTTATAACTTGGCAAAGAGAGGTTTTTTTTGTTTTTTAAAATTCATTTCAATTTTTGTTTAGGTGTCAAAGAACTTTTTCTCTTCGAAAGGAATTGGTATGATTTTTAACTTATTATAAGTAAAAATATTTTTTAAGTATCGGTGCTCATAATTCTTCACGGGTTAACACCGGATTATTTGGTTAGTTTTATTAAATCCGTCAAATTAATTTTTATTTTGTTAGTAAGTCCAATGTTTTATTCTGAGCCTTCTCTCCGTTCAGTTGCTCGAAAATCATTAAATATTTATAATGAATTGGCTGCTACAGGAGCATTTGGTTTTTTGTTATTTTGAATAAAATAACACTTAAATTATATTTTTAGACTTCAATAAATGTGGTCGAGTTTATTTATCATCCAGCGATGAATCAGAAACGCAGGCACGAAGATTACTTACTCGATTAGTTACTGACCCTTCAAGTTCTTTTCAAGTTGAAGCAATTGACTGTCCTAGTGAAATGTTGGCAAGATGGCCTATGCTTGCAACGGAAGATGTTAAGGTTTTAATTTTTATTTAACAACCTTTAATTTTAATAATTTTTAAAAATTCTAGTTAGCCGTTTTCTCCCCTTTGGATGCAACAATTGACGTTTCTGGACTTTCTCGTATTTTGGCAGACAATTGCAGAGAAATGGGTGTTCAAATTTTTGAGAATTGTTCCATTAAAAAAGTTTTAATAAACGAGGAAAGCAGAGTTTATGCTGTGGATACTGATGAAGGTTTTATCGATGTAATGGCTTTTGTTGACGCTGCGGGAATTGTAAGTATAATTGGGAATTTTAAAAAAGTAACTTAAGAAGATTCGTTGAACCAAATTAATATCATATCTTTAATTTTTAAGAGTGGCGTTTAAGGTTACGTCAAATATTTACGTATCCTGTAATTAGTTGCTAAATATTTGTAATAATTTTGTTAATTAAAGTTTTTTAGGATTCTAGTCTTGTTGATGTTTTGGGCCTTCCTGATGCTGACCATCCAGTCAGAATAGCTGCTCATCCTTGTTCATTTACTTTTCTTTCTACTGATCCCTTACCTCATTGTCAATCATCTAGTCAATCACAACCTGTTTTTGTTTGTATGGACGAAAATACTTTTATTTGCCCTTTAAAGACAAAAACAATTTGTGGAGGTTTTACAATGGAAGGTGGTGATTTACAAGCATTACCTCCATCTTCACAAACTTCTAAAGGATCGGTGACTGAATGGCATATGCCAACACCCGTTTGGGATAATTTTCGTAAATTTTTTTAGATTTTTTAAACAATAATCTAAAGATAGAATTTAGGCATAATTCTTCGCCATTTGATCGACAGATGTCCTGAATTGGCACAATTATCTCGTGGGGAACTGATGACTAGTGCAGAAATGTACACACCAGATATGAAGCCTCTTATTGGAGAATCCGATCAGGTAACCTATTTTTTTAATAAAATTAAAATTCTATTCGTAAGGCTAAAGGTTTTTTCCTCGCTACTGGTCTTAATGGACAAGGTGTCTCATTTGCTGGAGGTTTGGGTTCAGTGCTTGCAGAATGGATTTTGAGTGGATCAAGTAGCATTCCTGTAGATAAATTGGAATTAACTCGATTTCTTCCTTTGCATTCTAATCCGCATTATCTTTATTTACGTGTGCCGGAAATTGCATGTAAATTTTATTTTTAATTATTAATTTGCTTTTTTTGAACGTGGGTCTTGAAAACCCGTTTCTATAATAATTTTAATTACAAAAAAAATTTAAATTTTTATTTAAAAGCAATTTTTTCATACTTTCTTGTTTTTAGTCAACACTCTAAAGGTTTGCTGAGAATATCCTTTCTTTTATTTAAACAATTCATCAGAATCCTCTCTCATCACATCAATGCCATACAGCTAGAAATTTACGTACTTCCCCAATTCACCACAGTTTAAGGGATGCTGGTGCTGTTTTTGCAGAAATAATGGGTTATGAAAGGTTTCTTTTTTTGACTTTTAAAATTATTAAAAAAATATTTAGGCCTCTTTGGTATAATACAGCGTCCCATTTTGATCAAGATAGTGATGGACCAAGTAAATTTATTTTAAAATAATTCCAAATTTTTAATATTTTTTGAAGGATTGCCTCGCCCATCAAATTTCTCTGGAGAAGATCAACTTGTTGGAAAACCTAAATGGTTTCCACTTGTCTCGAAGGAATATTCAACTTGTAGAGAACGAGTTGGACTTATTGATATGACAAGTTTTTCAAAATTCGACATTCAAGGCGCTGATGTTGTTCCTTTATTGCAACGCCTCTGTTCTGGAAATATTGATTGTCCAGTTGGAACGTGAGCAAAATTTTCTTTTCTTTCGAGGTTGAGGTTGAAATTTTTTTGTCGAAAAATTTTTTAGAAAAAATTTTAAGAATTTTTATAAATTTAATTTTTATTTTTTTATTTATTTACAGGACAGTTTATACTGGAATGCAAAATGATCATGGAGGATACTTGACTGATTTAACTTTAAGTCGAATGGGATTGCACTAGTTACTCTTCTTTTTTAAATCTTATTTTCTTAATTAAAAATTTTTATTTTTCAGTTATTTTATAGTAGCTCCAACTGTCCAACAAGTTCGTTTAGCTCTTTGGATTAAAAAATGGGCAAATGAATGGAAAATGAATATTCAACTTCAAGATGTGACAAATGCTTTTACAGCGCTAGATATTGTTGGACCAGCATCTAGAGCTTTAATGAGTGAAGTTACTGGAAAAACTATGTCTCCTAATGAATTTCCTTCATTTTCTTTTAGAGTATTTTTAAATAATTACTTTTATCAGAATTTCTTCCAAGGAAATGCATATTGGATTAGCTGGTCCAATTCGAGTAATAAGTGTTACACATTGTGGTGAACTTGGTTGGATGCTTTATATTCCGAATGAGGTAATTAGGATGAAATTTAAAAGGAAACTAAAGCGGATAGAATTTATGGAAATTAGTACATAATCCCATAACATAAGGAAAAACCTAAAAACAAAGGAGTTTGTCATTTTCTCCTAATGGGCAAATGAAAGTAAATAAAGCGGAACCGGCTCTCGTAATCTATATCAAACATTTTTTAAAATTATCTTTTATTATAAAGGTGGCTCAAAATGTTTATGAACAATTAATTGAAGCTGGTTCTCTACATGGATTAAAGCATTGTGGATATTATGGTTTTATTTTTAAATAATAATCTTTAAATATTTATTTTTTCAGCACTAAGGCATTTACGTATCGAAAAATTTTATGTTTACTGGGGTCAGGATATTGGTAGTGGAACTACACCTGTCGAATGTGGCCGGGCTTTTCGTGTTGATTTTGATGTAATTTTTTAAAGGAAATATTTTTTTAATTTATTTTTCTAAATTTAGAAAGAATTTATTGGAAAAGAAGCTTTACAAAAACAATTAGATAGAGGAGTAAATAAACGTTTTGTCCAACTTTTATTAGAAAATCATAATTTGGAAACTGACCCGTGGCCACAAGGGGAAGAACCAATTTATCGGAATGGAAAATTGGCAGGTTGGACAACAACAGCGGCATATGGATTTACTCTTGGATGTCACGTAAATAATTTTATATTTTTAAATAAAGCTTATTAATGCACTAAAAATAGAAGAAAAAAGAAGAAAAATAATGCTGAATAAATAATTTAGAAAAAATTATAATTAATGCAAAATACACAGAAAAATAAATTGCAAAAAAATATAGGAAAATTTTTTGAAAACAAAGTTGGGGGTGGGGATTAAATCAAAAATAACTTTTTTTATAAATAGTACAACACCTGATACTTTAAATGATCTTTAATCTTTTAAGGGTGGTATGTTTAGGCGTTGTAAAACATTTTTTGAGAGCGGTTAAATTTAAGAGGTTTTTCCCACAAATTTTCGAAATATAAACGATTAGATAAACGAACTAAAACATTTTTTCGTTGAAATCAGAACTACAAAGGTTTTTAGATATCCAAGAGCCAGAATCCCTTCTTTTTAGCACCGCAGGCGAAAATTTTCGTTGGGAATTCAGGAGAGCCAGCTCTCGCAATTCCAACCTACAACAGTTCCGGGAACAGGACCCAAACCTGGAGAACATGGTTTGAAAAATTCTAAAATTTACCAAAGTCCAATTATCAGCGCAATTTTGGGAAGGATATTTGGCTCTACTCCAGTTTATGCGTCCAATAGACTTTTATGCGTCCAATGAAAGTTTATGCGTCCAATAAAAAGAAAATTGGATTTTTCTTGGTATTACAAAGTTGGGATATGGTTCCGATGCATTTCTTCATGTGCGGGACTTACGCCCACTGGGTCTGGGACCGTTCCTTACCCTATCTCTCGAAATTTCGGAAAGTTACGGCGATTTTTTTAAAATTTTAGAAAAACGATTTTAACTTTCAAAAATTTCGAGGAATAAGGTAAGAAATGGTCCTAGACCCAGTGGGCGTAAGTCCCGCACATGAAGAAATGCATTGGAACCATACCCCAACTTTGTAATACCAAGAAAAATCCAATTTTCTTTTTATTGGACGCATAAACTTTCATTGGACGCATAAAAGTCGATTGGACGCATAAACTGGAGTAGAGCCGGATATTTTTAGCAAAAATTGAAAAAAATGCATAAACTTAACATCCTGAATCTTTAGAATATTATTAAGTTTTCTTTTTTAATTTAAGGTTTGTTTGGGCTATATAGAGAACAAAGAATTTGGTTTGACAACAGAATTTTTGAATAAAGGAAGTTATGAAGTTGAATTAGCAGGAAAGCGATTTACATGTAAAGTTAATTTACACTCACCTACATTACCTATGTTTTCATCCGAACATCCACAACATTATAGACCTACACAATAAAAATAGATTGTATTTTTTTTAATTTGACAAGGAAATAAAGATTTTCGATATTGTGTAGATAAATTTGTGCATTTGAAATTAAAAACAATTAAGTGAAAGACCTTACTTAACAAAGAATCTTTGGAGCCTTTGCCGTATTTTCTCGATTAATTCCCTCCCTCGAATAATTCCTCACCCCCAAATACCCTACTGCTCGTTCAAATGCCAAAACTCGAAAAATTTCTCTCCCTCATAATTCCCCATCACACGTATGGGTTGAAATATTAATTCCCCAGGGGAATTAATCGAGAAAATACAGTAACTAGGAAGTATTCAAGTCATAAAAAAGTAGTTGATCCAATTTTTCAGTAAGCCCTAATTTTCAAAGGGTTAATTCGATTAAATATTTCACGTAGAAGCGTGTTGAATTCAATTTTTAATATTTTTAAAATTAATCAACAAAAATGTATTTTTATGAAAAAAATCAGTAAACAAAAAAATAATAAATGCATATTTTAACAGAGAACCCAATTTTTTCGCAAAATAAAATCTATTCGTCTTCAAATAAAATGACAAATAATAATGACTAAATAGATGTACTTTTTCGTTCTTTTTTTTTAAATTGATTTTTGCTTCATCCTCGAGCACTTTCCACCACCACCACATTTTTATTATTTTCTCATATTTATTAAAACGATCAATAATTTTGGGTGGATGCAGAAACATAAATAGTAAATAAAACCAAAACACACAAAAACACAAAGGGCAGACGAGGCAGAAAAGCTCCTTATTTTCCCGCCCAATTCTTTTATTTATTTTTTGCATTTATTTTTCATGTAAATAAACAACTTCCCCTCCAATCCATTATAAAAATAAAATTCTTTTTTTTTGGGAGCAATTTTTAGTATACGACGGACGCCTTTCCTATTTTTTTTACTATTCGTCCTATGATGTCGTTGCAATTTAATGATGGAAGAAAATAGCGTGGGGAAAGAAGAGAGTTTTTTCTTTCCATCCAATTTTCTCCGAGCACAAAACCATAACATTTCTTTTTTCTTTCACAATTCATTCCACAACCAACAGCAGCACAGTAGGAAAAAAGGCCATCTATTTCATCTCAACACACACACATAAACATTACTTGCTAGCCTTCGTCCTTTTTACCAATGGGCAGAAAAAAAAATTTTTTTTTCATCGGCTTTGACTAACAAACATTTGTGGAGAGGTCCTTTGTGGCGTGAGACTTGCCTACTATTTTTTCTCTAAAAATTTTAGATGGAGAGTTGGAGTATGGGGAATGGACAGGATTAAAGAAAAGGGTTGTTTGGGAAATGACGGATGGGGAATAGTTGTTTAGTTGAATGAGCGGGCGATGAGAAATGGTCGTTGAATGAATAGGAGCAAAATTGGAGCAAGCAAGAGAGTGTACAAAAAGAATAGAGAGGAGTAAGGAAAAGGGTCGTTTAAAAAATTTTACGAGGGAAAGTATGGGTAGCATTGTAAAATAAATATGAAGACAACAAGGTCGGCGCCTAAATGGCCTTTTTACTCTCTGTCACTCATCTTACAACACACTCTTTTTTAAATGCAGGCAGATGGATGTTTTGACGCGCACGCAGTCAAATGAAATAAATAACGACTGACGGGTTGTCAGGAGCAGCCGCCACCGACTGTCTTTTCTTATGCATTTCACAATAAAAAGTAGAGAAAATATTAATGTTAGAGAAGAAAACAGAAAAAGGATAGAAATAAGAGGCTTTCAAAGGTTTTAAAAACACGGCAAACACAAAGCTGGTGATTGTTGGCGAAATGGTTCGATGTCTTTTTATCTCTTACTTTTTCTTATTCTCTCATTTTTCCTTACTCTCTCATTTTGACAAAACATCAAATTTTTTCCCTTGAATGCGCCCGCGGCGCAAATCGCCGACTCTTCTGGCTTGGGTAGTGAGAGCCTTTATTTTTTCACTCTCTCTCATCGACATTATGCGTTGTGAATAGATACGTTGGATGGTCGTTGTCACAGCCTTCACCTTCGATTGCCTCTGCCTCTATCTACCCTGTCGTTTCTCCATTTATTTTTGCTACTCCCCAACCAAACAAACAAAATTGCCTGTCGTTTGGACGCCGACCATTTCTTCATCCTTTTCAATCTTATCCTTCTCAACATTTTTCCCCATTCAAAGTCGGCCGTCTTCGTTTTAAAAATATCGCTCCTCTCTACTTTTTAGCCTCGGCAATGTAAAAATATAAAATGAGTGGCGGGAATGAGGAGAGGAATTGGTCGGCTGTTCGGCGGCGGTTAAGTCCTCCACGTCCTTTTTCCCCTCCTCCTTTTTTTTCTTCCATTCAGCTTTCCACCCGCCTCCTCACAGAGCAGTTCGGCCTCTCCCCTTCTCCATTACTAATGGTAACCTTTCCTTTTTTCCCCTTTTTAACATCATCGTTGTCATCGACGTAACACTAAAATACATTTCGCAGAAACACAAAAAGACATAATTGTGTTTTTCTGTATTTTTCTGGGCAAGCTCCGAACACAAGAAACAAAATGGCGACAATAAAAAGGGGGAATAGTAATAGGGGGAAAGGCTCTTTCATGGTGTGGACATTTGGCTAGAATTTCAGACCAACCACCACAACTTTGGGGGGATAGCGAGAATGAAAAATGACTAATTTTTATTTTTAAACTTGCCTTTTATAGTTTTTCTATTTATTTATTTTCTTTTGTTTCCAATTTTGAAAAAAAAACTTTTCACACGTTTTTAATTTTTTGTGAAAAAGCTTAATGAACCGCGTATTTTAAATTTTTATTTCTTTTTATACCGACCCCCCTCTTTTTTCCAATTGCACTTTCAATTACACATATATATTTAATCTTTCCTTCCTTTTCGTGTTTTGTGTGTTGTTTTTGCCACTTTTTTAAATTGTTTATTTTTTTGTGATGGCGCAAAAAAGACCACCATCATCGTTTTCTCGGTCATGTCCTTCTCCTCACTTTCCGCGCCTCTTGTACTCTTGTCGCCAAAGAAAGGTGGGAGGAGGGTGGCAACAAAATTGGAGAAAAATGAAATGGGAGAGAGGCCTCTGGGAATAATTTCCTTTTTTGGGGCAAAAGTCTATTTTCATTTTTTCAAAAAAAAAATAAAAGAAAAATGAAATAAGGTGGTAGGGGTTGTGGGGGTATAGTTGACTGACTTCCTCGTGGGGCATTCGAACGTTTTTTTTGTTTGGCGGGTTTCTGGCTAGTGTTTTTGTAAGTGGCAGAAGGGGCCAATAATGAGGGGAAAAAAGAAAAATTGCAAGGTGGAAAGGGGAAGGAGGAAAAAAAACAAAAAAAAAAGTGAAATGGGCGGATTTCAATTGATGACGAAGTTGAACTTTGAGAGCTGTGCGGAAGCACGTGCAAAAAATGCGTAAACATGCAAAAAGGTTTTTTTCGATTGTCTAGTTTGTATCGTGAGAGAAAATGTATTTATATTTAAGATTTGTTAAATAAACAACAATTGGACAAGGAAGGGGTGGAAGGGGGAGGGAGGGAAAGGGGGAAATTCTTGGGTTTCTCTAAAAAAAATAAGACTTTTTTTTAATACGTTTTAGCACGTGTGTACTTAAATAAACTAAATTTAGAAAGGCTTTTGATATGTAATTGGAAACGAAAAGGGAAAAAATTGTAGGTAGGAAATTAGTACATATTTTGCAAAGATCAATTTTTCACGCCGAAAAAGAAGGGAAAGGATATCTTTAATTTTTAAGTCTTTATAAAATCAGAAAAAGAAAAATCGGAAAAAAAGAAATTTCTAAATTGCCCTTTATTAGGTTTTCCCTTTATTTTGATGTTTTGGATAAACTGTCATTTTTTAATTGTTTTAAACATTTTGCCAATTTATTTTCTATTTTAAAATTGGATCAAAGCTTTTATCAGCTCCTTTATTATTTCTTAATTTCATCTTTATCTTCTTTAACATTTTATACATTTATTTTAGTTTTTTAGATTATTCGATGTCTCTCTTTGAGCTAAATCGAAAAATACAAAAATCTACGTAATTTAATTTTGCTAGGCCAAGTTATGGTCATAAATATTGTCTTCAACTTATTTTATTAGAAAATACTCTTTCTTATATTTTTTAATTAAAAATGTATCCTTTTCAAAATCAACAACAGCAGCAGCAACAACATGTACCTTTGCCACCTTCACAACAAACGGTTTTTAAATTTTTCTGATTTTTTGTCCTTCTTTAAACCTGAAACGACTTTAATTTCTATTTTTTAGCATTATCAACTTCGTTACCCTCCAGCAATGCTGCCGCCCAATCACGCTGCTGCTGCAGCTGCAGCAACAATGGGCCAACCTCCTCCCTTCCAACCACCACCAGCAACAGGCCAAGCACATCAACAACATCCCCTTCAGCAACAAGCGATGTATCAATATCACATGGCAGCACCACATCCTTCCACATTTCCGCGTAAGTTTTTAAATATTTTTTTGGGGTTTCTTATTGGGAAGAGAATTTTCTTATTGACTCATTTCCCTTAACCATACCCTTAACCATATCCTTCATTCCATGTTAAAATAATTTGTCTTTTTTTTTAGCCCATCCAAGTAATATCTATATTGCTTCATCTTCCTTACAACAACATGCTCAAGCACCACAACAACTTCCTTCTGGGGGGCAAAATGGAATAGTTAGTGGTGGACATCCATCACTTCTTGGAGGTGCTAATATTCATCCAGGCATTAAACCTTCTCAAAGAGAATCAGTAGACAAATTAGTAATGCAAATATCCAACCCAAAACAACAAATAACTCCAGAATTGGCATATGAAAGACGTTTCTTCTTTGAAAGGCTTATAATGTTAAATGAACAACATGGGGAAGTTTTGAGTGGTCCACCACAAGTTTCTAAATCGCCAGTGGATTTATACTCGCTTTATTATGCTGTTAAATTACGTGGAGGATTTGAGAAGGTTAGAAAAATTATTTTTGATTTTTAGAAGTTTAAAATAATTTTTGGGGTTATAAGTTTTTGGGGCTTTTTTCTGGCTTTCTGGAATGATTATAAAAAATTTTTAGACATTAGGTGATTTTTGGGAAGTTTCTAGAGTTTTTTGGTTTTTAAGTTTTGGAATTTTTAAACGAAATTTTTTGGAAGGGATTATGTGGTTGTTAAATATTTAAAAATATTTTTACAGACAATTCGCGACAAAATTTGGAAAAATTTATGTGTTGATGCAAATACTGAAATGCAACAATCATCAGCAGCAGGCTTTCAACTACGCAAGCATTATCAAAAATATTTATTAAGATTGGAGTGCCTTGAAACTGGCCAAAATATAAAAGAATTGGTTGATTTTGCTGAAAAACAAAAAAAGAAGAAAAAAGAAAAAGAAGTTATTCCCCCAACAGCAGCAACGCCAATACCTACAGCTGGAGGTCCTGGTACTCCTTCATCAAGTACTTCATCTTCTGTAGCTGGGAAAGAGGAACAACAACAAATTAAAGGAGAACAACAACAACAACCACAAAGACCTTCTCCATTTGGAGGTGTTGTTAATGCTTATCCTCCAACACAAGGTTCTTTAAAATAAATTTTTTTGAGATTGGGTATCCTAACTTTTTACTAGAGGGAAGAGATAAGTACATATTATTAATCAGTTGGACCTCACTATAAGAGGTTCGACTGATTATTAAAAAGAAGAGAGAGGGTTTTCTTTGGGCAAGAAAATTTCATATTTTATAAAAGGATAGGTAAATTTATGTGGAGATTAAACTAGCTCCCCAACACAGGTGCCAACTAAATTAAAAAAAAACGTGTCTTAAAATTGAGTTTGTTTTCTAATTCTATGGGTATCCATAGTTAGGTTTGGTTGTTTAAAAAAATCTGAAAATGTTTTTAAAAAATTACAAATAATTTAAATGTAAAATTATTTATTTGGTAAAGTAAAAGTTGGGAAACTCAATCAATTTTTGTTTTTAAAAAATTAAATTAATTAAAAATGAATTGAGTCATTTATAATAGAAAAAAGAACGAAAAAAAATCGTTGCTTTTTTGTAAAAATAAAATGAATAGATTTATAATTAGGTTTTTAAAAATATAATGAATGGGGGAAAAAAGAATTTTTTTATTATTTATTTTTTTTTCTTTTTTGAGTGCAAATGTACTCAATTTCTCTAAAAAAAGAAGATTCTCATTTTTTTCTTGCTTTTTAAAAAATATATTTATTTATCGAGGCATTTAATTTTTAAAACGGAAGAGGAGGGGGGAAGGAAAAAAGGAGGAAGTTTTTATTTTTAAAAATATATTAATTCTTTTTATTGAGTGAATGAAAGAAGGAAGAAAAAAATTTTTATTTTTGGAAAATAAGTATTTTTATGGAAGGGGAATTAATTTAAAATAATTATGAGACAAGAAAAAAAGAAGAGGAGGAAGGGGGGGGGGGGATTTGAAACATCAAATGGTGACAATATTAAGTTTTGAGAGAAATATTTTTTTTTAAATTATAAAAAAATTTTTTTTATTTATTCGGAAAATTCTGTTTCGAATTGTGAAAGAAAAAATAACCAAAGAAAAAAAAATAGAAAAATATCCTCGTTTTTTGGGGAAAAAGATTTTTTGATATTAAAATAAATTTTGGAAATATTATTTAAAAAAATAGATATTTTGGAGGGGTTTTTTTATTTGTGAAATTATGGTTAAAGTATAGGGTTGTCGGTTCTTGGAAAATCTTCGGATATCCGGATCCGAACCGAAAAATCCTCGGTTCTTCGGTTATACAAAAATTAGGGAAATTTTTCTGGAAAATTTTCTGGTCATAATTTTACTTAAACTACAAAAAATTTTTTTTTAGATTTAGATTTTAGATTTCTTTTTGGAAAATTTTTATTATTTTATTTTTTGAGAGATAAAAATTTTTTATGCAGGTGTTCATTTTATTTTATATCATTTAAGTATTTTAGCTAGTATTTTAAATAAATAAAAATGAGAAATTGTAAATTTTAATAAGCTTTACTAAAAATGAAAATTAATAAAAAAAATTATGAATGGGTAATTATTTAAGATATTAATGTATTTGAATATAAAAATTATTAACTTAAAAACTTCCTCTTTTTTTCGTTTTCTCTTTTAATTTTTTAAATTAAATCTTTTCTTCATAATTTTATTATTATTTCACTCATTGCGTGATATTTTATTTATTTTTAAAAATTTTTGTTTGTGGGAGAATTTGAGTAATTAAGTAAGAAAAAAGTCAGTTATTTTATTATTATTGTTCACACGTTTGCCAAAAAAATTTTTTTCTTTCTTTAAAATGCCATGGAACTGCGCGATATATTAAGTAAAATCATTTTAAACCATCTGGCAATAATTGAGAAAAAGAATTTTTGGTTGCTACGGGTTTTAATAACTTTTACTTTTGTATATAAAGTCAAAAGGAATTAGAGACTTAAAATTATTAGGTGGTAGAATTAAGGAGGGAAAAGGGATATACAGTGGAGGAAGGGGTGAGTATAAAAAAGTGAGAAAAGAATTAATTTTCCAACAAGGGGACAAAAAGCATTCGCGCGAGAAGGAAGGAAAAAAATGAATAGTTTTGAGGCTTTTAAAAATTGGGGGGAGTGTGGTATTGGTGGGGACAAGAAGTTGTTGTGGTGCTAGTTCCGTTTGAAAGAAATAATAATAGGAATGGGGAAGGGAAGTGGGGAGGGGTGTGTGTAAAACAAAAAAGGAAGTGGTGGGGATTTGTATTTTTTTTCATAAAATGGCATCAAAAAAAGAAGGAAAAACCGTCGTTAACACGCTCCTCAAAACCCTTTTAGAAATTTACTTTATTAGAAAGAGGTGCCACACAACAGCTATAAGTGGAGGGGGATTTACAGTGCCTTTAGTGCGCGAAGTTGTCTTTTTAATATATTAAGGAATTAATTTTGAAAAAAAGGAGGAAGGGGGGATCATGTAATTTTCTCTTTTTAACGGCAATTGAAGAAAGGAGGGGGGGGGGGGAAAGGTTTTTGTTGGCATGACACACAAGACTTTTCACTTTTTCCTTTCCTCTATTGGACATTTAAAAATGAAAAATAAAATTGCCTTTTACTCTAATATAAAATGAAAATTGTTTTAAAATTAAAAAATAAATTATTATTATTATTTTATGTCGCGCACCCTCAAAGAAAATTAAATAAATAAATAAAGAAAAAAATTTATTCAAAAACATTAAAGAACAAACGAAAAATATTATTAGCTCAGGAAATAAATTATTTTTTTTATTTTTAATCTGCTTTCCATTTTTTTTTCATATTTTTTTTCCTTTTTTGTCTATTAAAAATTTAATTGCTTTTATTTATTTTTTTCTTGTTGTTTCTTTTTCTAGTATTAATTCCCTTTTTAATTTATTTATTAATCAAAGAAAAAGTTTTATTTGATAGGTTTTAAAAAGTTTTTAAGAAAGAAATATTAAAGTTTTTAAAATTCCGCCTGTTTTTTTAAAATTCCGCCTATTTTATTTTAATGCAACTTTAAATGAAACAAAATAAACTTGAATAAAAACAAGTTTTAAAAACAAGTTTTTCTCTTTATTTAAATAAAAAAAACTTGGCAACAATTAATTCAAGAAAAACGGCTAATAATAATTCTAACAACGACAATTCACCTTCTACCAACATTTGTTTTAAAAATTCAAAAGAAACGGCTTCTACCACTGCCATTCAACAACAACATCAATTTGTGGCTGTTGGAAAGGATCTAGTAAATGGCGGAATTGCCACAACATCTGAGGGATGTCAGGCTGTTCCGAGTACTTCCGCTTCGGCCCCAGCTTATTCTTCGGCCTCTACTACCTCAACTTCGACTCTCCAAAACCAGCAGAGAGCTCAGAATTTTTACCGATATTGGCCTCATCAGCAATGGCCCCAATATTCTCCATATTTTGCTTCAAATGGCTATCCTTCTTCAGAATCGAATTATTATGCCTATTCTTCTTACCCCGCTTTGAGTTATTGGCCAACAAATAATTGGGGGTGGCCTGTAAAAAACTGGGGGGCAAATTATCAACAACAACAACAAAACCAACAGAAACAACAACCTCAACCATCCACCACAAATTCTGTTAATTCTCCTTCAAAAGATACTCCAGTCACAACAACCATTCAATCCACCCTTCAAAATACTCAAAGCTTAGATTCTTCTCCCTCAACATCAAAAACCCCCGATGAGGCTAATAATGCCTCCTCCTCTTATGCTTGGTATCATTACCATCAACAGCAAAATGCTGTCAGATTGAAACTTTATCAAAGACAGCAACTTGCTGCACGATATTTAAGCGGCGCATCTAATAGCGGTTTTTAAACAAAAAATTTTTAAACTAAAAATTTTTAAAAATTTTTTTAAAATATTTTATTAAAAATAATTTTAAAAAATAATTTTACTTTATTTTAGGCTACTCTTTTCAACCTGCACCAGGCGATTTTGGAGCATCTCCAGCTGCTGGCTATCCCCCACCTCCACAACATTTTGGTCCTGGCGGTCAATATTTGCCTTCTTCGCAATGGAATGCTTACCAACAACAAATGTTTCTTCAGCAAAGAATGAGGGGACCTCAACCATCACCTACAAATCCTTCAACTGTTTCTGGAAAGCAACAGCAGGTATTTTACCTATATTTTTAGTTGCTAAAATTTATTAAAAAATATTTCCTCAATCTAAACAAATAAAACAAAAAATTTTTCCAAAAAAATATTTTTCTTCTCAAAATTTTTTGCTAAAAATTAATTAGTCGAGTCAAAAAAAAATCAATTTTGAGCGTAAAATAATTATTTAATGTTTCCTTTTAGTCACGTGTCTCGAAAGGGGATTCTCTAAAATAAAATTTTTTTATTATGGGAACTTGTTTACACGAAAAGAAAAAATTGTAAATAAATAAATAATTCACATGAATAAAGGATGACTAAAAAATAAAAAGGAAAAAAATAAATATTTAATTATATTATTTATTGAGAATGTTTTTTAGGGGAGGGACTATTAGAAATTATTTGTTTATTTTAGTTTTTTGAATGATGTAATTTTTTTTATAATTTTTTTTCTTTTTATTTAATAGAAAACCTTTATTCAATAGAAGTAGTGTTTCCTTATTGTATTTTTTGCATCGTCCGAGAGTAAAATTATCCAGCTAGGTATTGGCCTGAAATTGTCCTTCATTGTCATATTTTCGTGAATTATCTATATTTATGTTATGTAAGAGGTATCACGACTTTTGCGCCGATAACATTTGCGCCTCGACTTATGCGCCGCGACTTTTGCGCCGGGCGACTTTTGCGCCGCGACTCTTGCGCCGCGAATTTTGCGCCGGGCGACTTATGCGCCGCGACATTTGCGCCGCCATAGTTTAAAAAATCCGGATCCAAAAAATGCCGGATATCCGAAGATTTCCAACTATCCGACAACACTACTAAAGGGAGGTCCGGCTGTAGTTATTGATATATTTTTAATGATAGTGGCGGCGCAAAAGTCGCGGCGCAAAGGTTCCCCGGCGCAAAAGTCACTCGGCGCATAATCGCGGCGCAAGAGTCGCGGCGCAAATGTTCTCGGCGCAAAAGTCACGGAACCATGTAAGAAACCCCTAATGATATCTAGATAAAGAAATTTCAAAGATCCTGGTGTATTTTTAAATTTATTCTCCGCCGGACAGTAACCATGGTCGTCCGGTTCTCTTACCATATTTAATTAACCGTTAATAATTTTTAATGTTTTTTTTCAATTTAAAAAAAGGCGGAAGATGAACATCTACAATTACAACAACAACAAGGACGTATTATCCCCTCTTCAACTTCATCCTCACGCTTGTCATCGACTCCAGCGCCACCCGATGCCCAACAACAAAGCAGAGCACCCTCTACAGTCACAACAGATTATCAACAACAAAATGAATCTTCTAAAAGGGTTGATGGAAGTGAAATAGATGGAGGGGGAGGAGATACTGCTCAAAAAGAGGCTAAAGGAGGGAGTAATAATCTGTCGACTTCAAATGCTTCTACCTATCCTCCAAATGCTATGGGGTTTATTAAACTTTCTAATTGTTTTAAATTTTTTTAGAAATCCATCAAATGCAATTCCACCATCGTCTGCCGGTTATTACCAGCATCAGATACCGCATCCTTCACTTTATGCCCCTCGTTTTTCTCCTGGAAGTTTGCCGTCATCTTCTGATTATGCTCAGGGAATGTATGGAGGCACCCCTAGAATGCCACAACAAGTTTGTTTGATTATTTATTAGAGTTGTTGTTAGATCCACTGGAGCTGTACAAGAAAAGATTTTCCAGGACCGAGATAGAATAGACATAACATACATAAGACTAGGCATAGGTCGAGCTAGCCTACTTTTTATTGTAATACATTATTAGGAGTCTTGCTGAAAAACGCTTCCCAAACTTCCACCTAAAATGTGACAAATTCATGGCGTCCTCATTAGCTTTAAAAAATTCCCTTTTTAAAGCCACCACCAATGTGGTCACCATATGGAGGAATGCAAAATCCTGCAGCTGTAGCTGTACGTTATCACCAACAACCACCGACTGTTGGAACTCCAATTAATCGTTTTTCACATCCTTATTCACAACAATCAACGTCTCAACAACAACCAAATATGCCTATTGGGGCTGTGAATTCCCCGCAACTTTTGGCTGCTTCACAGCCGCAACTACACCCGCAAAGTTCTGGCAAGCACCACACAAAAGGGAGGAATGCAGGTATATATATAGTATATTTTTTGATAGTTAGTCGACCATATATACCCTTTGGAGCAGGGCTGTGCGCCAAAATTTTCGCGTGGCGCGCCAAACGCCAAACGCCAATTTTTTAAATTTTAAAAACACGCCAAACGCCAAAAATCGGCCAAAATCAACGCCAAAACGCCAAACGCCAAAATTTTTAGAGTCTATAAAGACTTAAAAACCACTGTTCATTTCATTTTAGCGCCGCAGGCGAAATTTTTTGAATTTTCAAGATTCCCAGAAGCCAGAATTCATCCTTTTTTTGCCGCCGGAGCGAAATTTTTGAGAATTTTGGAGGCAAAGATGCCGAAATTCATCCTTTAAAAAATTTTAAAAAATAAAAAATTCATAGAACTCCTTGAGATTAAGGTGGATATGAAGGGATAAAGGGAGTAATGAGTATAACAGAGGTCATGAAGAGAGTAAACGATTGACGGGACTAAAGTTTTTTTCAACCATCTATTAGTTTAAAATCCTCCTTTAAGCGCCGCAGGCGAAAATTTTGAAAATTTTGGAAGTCCAAGCAGTAGATTTATTCATTTTTTATGCGCCGCAGGCGAAAATTTTGAGAATTTTGGATGACTGTACGCAGAAAAATTTCCTTTTTTGATAATCCCTTTCTCCATTTATTTAAAAAAATTCCATCATTAGGGGTGTATATTTTTGGCGTTTGGCGCGCCAAAATCGGAAAATCACGCCAAACGCAAAACGCCAAAAATCGGCCAAAATTAACGCCAAAACGCAAAACGCCAAACGCCATGACGCACAGCCCTGCTTTGGAGCCTTTATTATAGCCAAATATAGTAATGAAAAGAATGAAAAGGAAAACCTTATTTTAGTTTCCGTTCTAATAATATACTAAAAATCATGTGCCTTTCCTCTTTTACTATCCTTGATTTACTTAACTATCCCATAAAACTAACATAAGTTGGATAAGCTTTATTTTTACATTTAATATATTTTGGAATAATTTTTTTTGTTATTTTTTATAAAAATTTCTTTCCAAGGTCCTGGAATGTTACCAATAGCTCCATCTGTTCCAGTTGCTGCCTACACGAATCCACAGCCTCCCCAACAATTCCCAGCTTGGTTTGGATCGTCAACATTATCAGCACAACAACCTCCTTTTGGTCCTTATACATTAGAGGCTCAAGCAATTACACACGTTCAACAACAACAATCACAAATACAGCAACAGCGATATAGGAGACCTAAAGTTTATGCACGTGATTTGCAAGGGGTTTGGAAATTTTTTTTTGTATTTTTTTTGGATGTTTGACAAATGATTTTGGGATTTTTAAAAAATTTTCTAAAATTTAGAAAATATTTTTAAAAAATAAAAAAACTTTTTTACTGTTTTAGGTCACCCCTTCACGTATTATTATGGCTTTACGAAGTGCTTTACATGTGGAAACATGTTGGGCATTAAATGCATTAAATATCCAATTATATGATGATACAACTCCAAATTGTTATCCTTCATTTTCACAAACACCTGAATTTCTTAATTTGTTGGTTGAACATTTTGCTGCGGTGCTAAGCCTTTTATTTCCTAAAAATTTTGATGTTTGTTTTTTTTAATTTAAAAACAATTTTAAAAATTTAGGAAAATTTATTAAATTTTTCTTCATCAAAAATTTTGTCAAAACAAAATTCTATAACAACAAAAAATTCAAAAAATTTAACAACAAATCAGCCAAAAATCGAGCCAGTCTCTTTAATGGTTCGCCCACCGCCTTTATATCCTTCGCCTTCAACTTCATTTGCTAATATTGGAACAAATAATGTTTCTACTACAACACCTAATTTTACTTTAGTTTCACGACTTGGACGGCAAGTGAAATTAGACATGACAACAGAAATTCCGCCTGAATTAGTTTTACAGTTAGAGAAGGTAGAAAATGAAGAAACATTTGATGACGAGAGAGAAGAACAAAATCAGAATTTAGGTTGGAATTTGTTTTTTTAATTAAAACTTGAATAAAAACTTTGATTAAAACACGGAAACAAAACAAAATTAATCTTTAGAATGAAACTTTAAATAAAACATTAAAACATGCTGAAATAAAACTTGAGATTAAACTTGAAAATAAACTTTAATTTCAACTTAAAAACAAAATTAAAACTTGAAAACAAACAAAATTAAAAACAACAAAAACATTAAAATGAAACTTGAATAAAAACTTTAATTAAAACACGGAAACAAAGTAAAATTAATGTTTTGGAATGAAACTTGAAATAAAACATTTAAACATGCTGAAATAAAGCTTGAGATTAAAACTTGAAAATAAACTTTAATTCCAACTTGAAAACGAAATTAAAAACAACAAAACATTAAAATAAAACTTGGAATTAAAACTTTAATTAAAACATGTAGAATAATTAAAACTTGAAAAAATTAAGCTTAGATTTCTGTTTAAATTCAAGTTTTAGGAAAACTAATTGTTTTATTCCAGAATATTCAAAAACAACTTGGAGAACTGCTTTTATAGAACGAATAAGGCAATCAATGCTGGATCACATCAATTCTCGTCAATCATTGTCTAAACTTGCCCCTCGCTTCAAAAAGGAAAAAATTGAAGAAAATAATTTAGAAAATGAAGAGAAGGAAAATTTAAAAGAAGATAAATTTAATAAAGAAGATTCTGTTAAGAAGGAAAAAATTGAAGAAGAAAATGGGGAGAATGAAAATAAGAAGAATGAAGATGATTCAACAACAACAAAAACAACAATACCTTTCTTTTACAGAAAACCTCTTCAATGGGAAAATTGGGATCGTTATAGTATGGATGAATGTTCTTTAATAAGTAGACAACCTGTATTGTGTAATCAACGTTCTATTACCTCTTCTGTTTCTTCAGCAGCATTAACTCAAGAATTGATAGATCGTTGTTTGGCTTTGTCAAATATTTTCCGTGGTTTTTCATTTCTTGGTGAACAGAAAGTTTTGTCTCAGCATGAAGGATTGTTAAGGCTTTTGGCTGCTATTTTGATGCTTCATTGTAGCGATCAAAGTAGAAAACGAACACCTGGAGAGGTTGGGGAAATTTATTTTTTATGGGGAAATTGAAAGGCGTCTTGATTAAAATTTTGGGGTTGAAAATAGTTTTTTGGAAGTTTATAAATATTTTAAAAAATCTGACAAGCCTTTTGAGCACTAGACATTGAATTTAATTCTTCTTTATTTTCCAATTAATTTTTCTAATTATTTTTAGGCTCCTCGTCAATTTTCTTTCCCTCGCCCTCCACCTGAGGAATCAATTAAAACTGAACCTGGTGATAACAGCAAATCTGTCGTTAGCAGCACAAGTAACACTTCTACTGTCCCCGCCGTCCCAGCAGAAAAAGATACGCAAGAAAAATGGTTGTTGGAAGTGGCGAACCAATTACGTGATGATGCTTTTACTATTCTTGCTCATATTTCTCCACAGGTCTAAAAATTGGGAGTAAAAATAAAAATAAAAGTTTTATTTTTTAGTTGGACTTGTATGAGGTTGACAGCGAAATTTCTTTCCCAATTTTCGATGCCCTCCTCCATTGGTCTGTCTGTACAGATTTGGCAGCAAGGGATCCATTACCACCTTTTGGAGCTATATCCCCCAAACATTATGTATTGGAAATTTTCTGCAAAATGAGTGTTCTTGAAAGAAATATCGATCTTCTTTTGGCTACAGGGCCGTGGAGCCGTATTGAAGAATTTGTGAGACAACTTTGTTCATTAATTTGTGAAGAACCTCCAGTACGAGAATTTGCCATAGTTATTTTGAATGCTTTATGTGCCGCTAGTGAACCTGTTTGTCATGTTGTAACTGATGAAACTTCATTGTTGGATCATCTTGTTTCGTTTTTGGAAGCGGCAGATGCTAACATGACACAAGTAAATTTTCAAAAAAAAACTTCTTGATTTTTAAATTTATTTTTTTTTAGATTGCTCAACATCAGGGCATCCATGCTTTAAGAGAAAATCCTGAAATTATCGGAACTTCTGTTGGAATGCTCCGTCGATCAACTTTGATTATGACACATATTGTAAGGCATGAACAATGTCGAAAACATTTTCAACGACTTCAGCATCGTTTGCTGCAATTTACTGTTTCACATTTTGTTAGTTTTTTTTTTATTTTGTTAGGAATTTGGGAATAGAAATTTTTATGTTAGGAATTGTCAACCTGAGATTTTGGACCTGTTGTTAGGCTAGAGAATGTACAGAAAATTTTTAGGAGGGGGACAAAATTTTTTTTGCTGGGAAAAATGAAAAACGTCAATTTGGAATTTACTTTCAGTAGGCCAAGAAGCTTCCAAAATCTCTTGGGTATTCTTGGTTATCAACATAAAATGTGTGTAAATAATATTCTAAATTAAAAATTTTTTCTAAAAAAGATGGATTCACGAGTTGCGGCTATGGTGTCTGACATTCTTTATGAAATGCAAAAAGGAGAAAATGGAGGAACAGGAGGGGATCCAAATAATGAAGAACTTGTAACTTTAACTACAAATAAAAGAACAGAAAAAAATATTGGAGATGAACAACAGGAACAACAACAAAAATCATCTCCAAAATTATTAAATGGGGGTGAATCTATAAATGAAGGAGGGGGAAATTCTAATAATTCTAACAATAATAATAATAATAATTGTGGTGTTGGGGGATATGGACATCAAATGGATTTTAGTAAACAAAAAATGGAATTTCAATCATCTACTAGACATTTGTAAAATTTTCTTAATCTTATAAAATAATTTTTAACACTAAATCTAATTTGAATATGTTTGTCAGAGTTTAGATTGTTCGAAAAAATCTGTCGAATTTTAAAAATTTGAGTATCGGTCTTTGGGGGTTAATCCAATCCCCTAACCCGTCCTATCCCATATATTTATCATGCTAGTTACCTCCGAATTTTTAAAATTTAAGTGGATAACACTTATGACATAATTTCTCTAATAAAGAGAATTTAGAAACTATCTAAAAGCTAGCTATAATACATTAATGATTTTTATTTAAAAAAATTAATTTTTCAGTTCTCTCAATTCTTCAGACGATTTAACGTCAGCTTTAACTTTAGCAGCTCCATCATCTATCTATTCAACATCTTACTCTACTCCACATCACCATCAGGCAACTTCTAAAACAGCTCTTTTAGCATTATATAATGGAGGAACAGAAAATTGTTATTCCAATAAAAATCCACAAGAAGCTCCAACAGAAAATAAAGGAATAAAAATTATTCCTTCAACACAACAAAATGGGTGTGATCCATGGATGTATAAAAATGAAAATAATATAATTAATAATTCTACGACAACAACAAATAATGAAACTCCAATACCTAAAAAGAGGGGTAGAAAAAGACCAACAACAACAGAAACAACAACTGTAACTCCTTCCCCTAAAAAAAGTTGGTCTCAGAAAAGACAAACAAATAAAAAAGTTCCGGAAAATCCAACAATGGAAAATTCATCGACAGACAACAATACGTCAGTAAATTCAAGTTTTTAAATAAATTGGTTAAATGTTTGAAGAAAACAAGTTTATTTTTAATTTCAAACTTGTTTTCCGAAAAGTTTATTTAAAACAAGTTTATTTTAGCATTTGTTTTCTTTAAAATAAACTTTCCGGAAAACAAGCTTGAAATTAAATTAAACTTGTTTTCCTCATAATTTTTTAAAGTTTTTCATTCCTCTTGCGTGTTTCCTCTTTTCCTTTTATGTACATAGTAATTTATTATTATTTTTTTGTTTCAAATATTTATTAACTCCTATTTCCTCATAAAAAATTTTCTACAAAAAAATTGTTTGCTCAAACGCTTCGTAAACCCTTTTCCTCTAAAAATCTGTGTGTTTGTTTTTGATTGTTATCTATGTTTAATGTTTAAATTTTTGATTTTTAATTTCCGAAAAAATAAACACACTTTTGACCTTTAAAATATCGCGGGCTTATGCATAGCAGTGTTCTCTTTAATTTCATTTCCTCAAAATTTCGAGTTGCACGTTACCTATTTGATACACAGAAAATTTAAAACAGCTAATTTATTCTACAACTCTAATATAATTATTTTTTATACTATATTTTTAATTTATAGGAGTGTCAAAATAAAACTTGTTTTTACAACTTGTTTTTATTAAAGTTTCTTAAAAACTTTTAAATAAACTTTTTTAAAACTTGAAGCATGAAATAAAACTTGTTTCTGAACAAATTTTAAAAACAAGTTTAAAAGTTTTCTCTCTCTCCAACTCCACCCAATAAAAAAATATTTTTTTATTCCTCAAAAATGTAAATTATAAATATTGCGTACTTTTTATTTCACTCACTTTTTTTAAACGTTAAAATATATATTTTTTTAGAAATTTCGTTTTTGGATTTTGATTTTTTATATTTTTCATTTTCTTTAATGAAATGTTTTGTTTTTTATTTTTAATCTTTTCCAAAATTTGTATAAAAAAGTTGAAACTTTTAAATGTTATTTTTTTAAATTAATGTAAAGAAAAATAAATATATTCAATATTAACTTAAATAAAAATATTAAAATGAAAATATGAAGAAATAATTATAAATGTACCGTAAAATCTCTAATAGAGTGCCCGGGCATTCTATTTTTCAATCACCCTCGTAGGGTCATTCAACTTTAGGGGGAATTCTAAGAGATTTTACCGTAGTTCTGACAAATTTAAAATAATTTTTCCGAAAAATTCTCAAGTTTTATCGTTCATCACAATCTAAAACACCTCTTTGTTTCAACTCCCCTTCTCCAATAATAGCCAATGGAGGTAATTGACGAGCACTTCCAGCAACCAAAGGTTGTCGAACACCTCTGGGTGAAGATAATGAAACGATTTGTTGTTGTTGGCCATTTGATTGGTGATGATTATTATTGTTGTTATTATTTTGTTGTTGTTGTGTTTCTACTGGAGGTATCATTGGACTTTTTGGTTCAATTCTGTTGTTTCCTTCCAATTTGTTATTAAATAAGTGACAAAAATGGCAAATTATTATCCTCCTAAAAATAAGAAGGGAAAATTATAAAATAATATAAAATTCTGAAATTTATAGATAAATCAGAATTATTACTTTTCCGGAACTTTCCGGAAAGAAATATAAAGATGTATAATAATTAAATCAAAAGTTTCCGGAATTATATAAAATATTGATTCTACTACAAAGTCAGAATAAATATTAAATCAGAATAAATTTCAGAAAAGATAATAGATGAATATTCTTTTCCGGAAAAATATAAAAGTTTTAATATCAGAGGAATACAAAATCAGAATAAATTTTTCGGAAAGATATGTAATGTAATTTTCCGGAAGTATTTCAATATTAAAATAAAAAAAGTATTTCAAACCAAAGTAAATATGCAATAGCAAAACACCACAAATTTAAACATATTTCTCTAAATAATTGATAAATATCCATTTGTGGAACTGAAAATAATTCTGTAACAGTAAAGGTTTCAAAAGAAATAGATGCCCGTGAAACATAGTCCTTAAATATTTTAAATAAAAAAAAATTTTTTTAAAGAATTAACTTGAGTATTTCTGTATTCTGCTGGCAAATCTCTTTCTTGGATTTTTGTGGGGAAATATGTTGTATGACAAGGTACAGAAGATTCTCTATTAAATTAAATGAATATTTTCTAAATTATTAATAAAATAATAAATCAGAATTTCATCTTTCCGGAAAAACAATATAATCAGAAATTAACTTTTTCCCGAAGAAAATAACCAATACTCTCATAGTTATTTTTCCGGACAGAAATAACTCTTATTTTAAGAGTTGTTATAACCGGAAAAAATAAAAGAAAATAACTCTGAAATACAACTTTCCGGAAAAAATTTATAAGAGTCTTTAAGTCAAGCTTTTCCTAATATTTTTACAATTAAATATTAATGTTTTACTTTCTGCATTTATTAATAGCTTTATTAATTGTTGATAATGCAGTATCAGTTGGTAGTTGATTATATTCACTTCCATAATAATCAAATTCAATAAATGGACGAACACAACGTTCAAACTCGCCCACTGTACAGATCGTGGATGCATTAAAACGACGAAGGAAATAACTGAAAAGAAAATTTAAAAATTATTTTAGTTACTTGTAAATTTAAAAAAATATAAATCTACCTATTCAAGTCATTCTGAAGTGTCCAAAGAACTAATAACATTGGAACACATGAACACGTTTCTTTAAAAATTGATAAAATTAAAGAATAAAATTGGGCACCTACCCACAGCTGTCTCTAACATACAGAGAAAACCAGCACTAGCTTCCGGAACAAGTTTCTCTGAATTAATTGCATAATTATCTGTAGAACGGCATGAAGATATTGTTGAGTAATGATCGAAAACACGATTCTGTTTTCAGAATTATAATAAAATATTAATAAAAACAGAATTTCCGGAAAAAAATAAAAAATCAGAATTATAATATTCCGGAAAGAAAATAAGTATCAGAAAAAATAACTCTGAAATACAACTTTCCGGAAAAAAGTTATATTAATTATTATTAAATTTTCCGGAAAGCAAATACAAAATTATACCATTCCGGAAAGAAAATAAGTATGAAAAAAATAACTCTGAAATACAACTTTCCGGAAAAAGTTGTATTTATTATTATTAAATTTTCCGGAAAGAAAATAAGTATCAGAAAAATAACTCTGGAATACAACTTTCCGGAAAATGTTGTATTATTATTAAATTTTCCGGAAAGAAAATAACTATGAAATAGAAATATATTTTTTCCGGAACATAAAATCAGAATATAAAATAATTATTCTACCTCTCTTCTAATATCCATCCTCAACGATTTTTTATCATTTAATGGATGTGCCTCTCCATGCATTATTGCTACCAATAACCGATTCTGTAGTTCTGCTGGTACAAGGAATATATCAATTCCAGGATGGACAGATAGAGAAGAGGAAAGGAAGGAATTACGAGAAATCTTTTTAAAAAAATATTTTTATATTTTTTAAATTAAAGTACTTGAAATGTTATTTGCATCCCTCTAGGTGATTCCATTGGGGTTTGCACTGAAGAGAGATTTCCTACAAAAGGCCAGCAAATACCTCCTCTGGGTGTGGCCAGCCATGGCTGTACCATCTTACAACAATCAAATCCCCCCATTTGTCTAGAACCAATAACGCAACTGGAGACCTATAAACTATTTAAGAGTTTTTAAATTCTGATTTTAATTTAGATAAATTTTAGATAGTTCAGAATAAAATTTTCCGGGAAGAATATAATAAAACAGAACCAAGTTTCCGGAGAGAAAATAACTCAGAATTGTTTCCGGAAGGAATATAATAAATTAAAAATTTCCGGAAAGAAAATAATATGTAAATTAGAATTATAATATTCCTGAGGGAATATAATAAATCAGAAAAGTTTCAGAGTTAAAATTCTCCCGAAAATAACATTCAAATTATTCGACTAGCCATTTCTCCACATTGAGGCATTAATTGTTCCAGTCTTTGTTTTAATCTCCCGTTGGGCAATAATTGAGCAATTGTTTGTTCTGCTTGTTGTCTATCCAGTTCGGATAAGGGAACAGCCAAAGAATCTTCAGGAGGATTTGCTCCCAGTGAAGGATCGAGCCATTGACGAAGATATGAAAGAACAGAGTCACGGTTGAATTGTTGTCCAAGAGAGGAAAGTCCGGCTTGAGTAAATGGGAAACGATTGCAGAAAAGTAGATGAGGGAGTGTTAATTCACTGGCAATATGGCTGAAATTATTTTTATTAAAAATATTTTTAAATTGAGTGTTCTTCTTTTAAGTATTCCTTTAACTAGGTATTTACTTAAAATAAACTTGGAAAAAATAAACTCTAAATAATGTTCAGAAACATGCTTTAGAAATGTTCAGAATGTTTAGATGTTTGTTTTAATGTTCAAAAACAAGTTTTAGAAAAAGTTGTTTTAAAGTTTATTTTAAAGTTGGTAATTGTTTCTAATAAAGTTTTGCTAGTTTTAATGTTGTTGAGAACTAAGTTTTTAAACAAGTTTTATTTAAAGTTTATTTATTTTTCAAACTTTAAATAAAACTTGTTCAAACTTTGTTTTGAACAACAACCCTTTCAAGTTTTAAAACTAATAAAAACATTTACATCTTTTTCAGTTCAACATGTTTTCCATCTAAATAAACTTTAAGTAAAGGCAAACTCTGGAAAACCCAACATATTGTACAAATGATGAAAAGTACAATTTTTGCAAGTTTAATTAAAAAAGAAAATAAATTATTTTGTTGAGGGGACATTTCTAAAATAATTTATTTTTAAATTTAAAAATAAAATATATTTTCTCTCCTTTTATTTTATTTTTCTTTTTTTAGAAAATAAATAATTTTAAAAATAAATATTTTATTTTTATTGTCTTGTATTTTCTCAACAAAACTTTAAAAATATTTTTCAAAATAACAACAATGGACATTAAAAATAATTTTCTTTTTTTTTTTATTTTCTTCTGTTGTCCAGGTAACTTCTTTAAAAATTCTTTTCTTTCAACTTGACCATCGGCTGGTTCTAAGAAACCCCAAAATTTGTGTGTGCCAACAATTTTGTTGAGAGAAAAAAAAAGAATTTTTGCTTTAAAAATAATTGGCGCCGTGCTAGGCAGGTGGTTTGGGGACTGACAGAAAAAAAAATAAAAATATATTTATTTTGCACTTCCTTTACTAAGTCTTGACAATACTTTTATGCCTTTCCCCTCTCGGTCAGTCATTAATAATTAAATTGGAAAATGACCAGAAAGGTTTTCCTTTCTTTTTACAATGCGCGGGAAATGCTAATTAAATATTTTCTAATCTTTGGACAAAAAATTTATTTTATAAAAGGGGAAAAATTGAAAAGTTAGAAAGGGAGAAAATTAAAATTTGGAGTAAAAAGGGGAAAGAATATTTTCTAAATTTAAAATACCCCCCCCCCCCCTAATTTTTTTAATTAAATTATGCTATAAAATTCTTTTCTCAATTTATTTAAAAATAAAAAAAATGCAAAAAGACAAATCAGAGGACATTTTATAAGAAAATTATTGGAAAAATTTTTTAAAAATTTTCTGTCCAATTTCCTGTTCCAAAAAAATTTTTTCCAATAAAAATCAATTTATAAATATATTGCCAATTATAGTCAAAGAGTACTAGAATAATAACCACCATGAAATATTTACCAAAAAAATATTTTAAAATAAAAAATCATTCTAAAAATTTTAAAAATTCCAGAAAATTCATTAAAGAAAATAAATAAATTTTTTCCTTTAAAAAAATACCCCCTAATTTTCCCTAAAAATATCCTCTAACTAGAAAAATAAAATTTTCAATTCTTCAAAAAAATTTTTTCTTGGTAAAAATTTCATAATATATTTAAAAATGAGAGAGATTTGTTAAAGAAAAAGCTTGATTTTTAAGCAAAAAAAACTACAAAAATCACCTACATCTAAAAACTTTCCTTCAAAAATTTTTTTTTAATTTAAGGTGATTTTAAATAATTAAAAAAAATGCATTTTTAAGTAGATATGTGGCGTTTAAAATTAAAAAAAAAAGAAAATTAAACAAGAGAAAACGCCGATAAAATACTGAAAGAATCGAAAAAAATATCATTTATTTTTAAGGTTTTTTTTCATTTTTTAGCGCCAAAAAATTTTTTTCTGAGCTTGAAAAGAGGAGATTGAATTGTTGTTGATTGCGTCGGTCAGAAAAGTCATTTTAGTGACAAAAAATACAGCGAAGAAGGTTAACAAAAGCACTAATTATAATCAAAACTACAAAAAGTGCAATTAAGAAAACGGCCCAATCCTGAAAAAAAATAAATAAAATAGATTTTTTTATAAGAGGAAGAAAGTTATAAAAATAATTTTTAATCTTTAATTAAATTCTTTTCAATCTTACTGACAATTTTGTAAAAAAATGTTTGAATTTTAAAACATCTTTTGGATCAAAATAAGGGCTCTATCTGAAAGGAGTGCCTGGTTGCCTTTTTTTCTCACTTGCTTAGAAGTCTTTTTTTCTTAATTTTCCTAACGATCGGGTGAAGGGCAAAACAAGGAGTACCAAAATACGGAACAGACATAGCACGGTCTGGTCGTTTTGGCCCAGAAAAATTAAATTTAATTCCCAAACAATTTTTTGGATATGTTTTAAATAGAGGATATACAGACTAGGCTAAAAAAATCAAAAAAAACTTTTGATCAGGCTTCTTTATATTTTCTTGGTTTATACAAAATGGACAGACTGTTTAAAAAAACACCCAAACCCTACTACTTCCAAAACTTAATTTTTTAATCAAAAAAAAGACCTGCAGTCGGAAACAACAATTTGTATTAAGCTCCCCACAACAACGAAAATAGAACAGCCAATTAGATTCTGGACATCGTTCACCTACAACAGGTAATGGACAAGCATAAGAACCACGACTTTAAAGAATGTTTATTTAAATTCAAAAAATTACAAAAATAAACTTGATATAAAAAAGATCCATATCTTTAATTTCATCCCAAATGTCACGTTGTTCAGCCAAAACTGGAGAACTTGAGAATTGGAAAATAAAAATAAAAGTCAATAAAATTGCTGGAAAGTTGAGAAGCATTTGGTGCAAATTTTTGTAAAAATATTATGCAAAATCTAAAATTAAATTATAAAAAATGTTCACAATTCTTTATTCGATCGAAAAAGCAATGAGTAAATTGAATAAATGGCTTTGATAACTTGTCAATGGAAAAAGGGGGAGAGAACCGGTTAGAGAGATGGAAAAAGACTCTTTTAATGTAGTTTTTTGTAGAATAAAAGTTATAAATAAATGTTTGTTACACATTCTTTGTTTATTGGAGGTTATTTATAAATATATTAAAAATAAATATTAATTTTTTATTGAATAGGGGAAATGACTGTTAAGAATTTTGTTGTTTAAAAAAGAAAAATAAAATGTTTGTTAATTTTAAAAAGAATTTATTTTTTGAAGCTAAAGTTTGCTTATTTTTAAGCACTTGAAAAAAATTTTAAGGATCAAATTTTGTAAAAGAAAGTTGTTCCTATTTAAAAATTTTCTTACTTTTGACCTAATTAAAAGTTGGTCAAATGAAATTTTGAAGAAGTTACCAAATTGAAATTTATTTGCAAATTAAAAATCATTTCGCCAAATTACTATACAAAGGCGAATATTTAGAAAGTTTGAAATTTTCTTTGTCTTAAAAAAATTTTTTTAGTGAAAATTTTGTTTTTCTTTATATTAGGGTTGCTGGCGACCGGTTTAAAACCGGCATTGTTGAAATTTTTTGTCAAAAATTAACCGTTTTTAGAAAATTTTAAAAACCGGAAATTTGTGAAAATGAGCGATTTTATTAAAAATTCCCCAAAATAAAACCGGTATTTGCCTAAAACTCAAAATCGAAAACCGGGCTTCTAAAATTCAGATTAACCGAAAACCGGGGGTACCGGTTAATAACCGGTCGCCTACAACCTTATCTAATACTTTTTTTTAAAATTTTTTTCTTGTTTTTATAGTTAATTGATTAATTCTTCGTTTATTTGAAACAAAAAATGAGTGATTTTGATATGGATGATGAGGATTATGGTTTGGTAACTGAATAAATTTGTTGAAAATATTTTTGAAATTTCCCATATTTTTAGCAATATTCTGACGATTCTGGAAGCGAACCTGATGTTGCTTTGGAAAATCAATATTATGCAGCGAAGGCTTTGAAATCTGAAGGGAATCAGTCTGCTGCTTTAACCTCCTTTCAACGTGTTCTTGAATTGGAAACTGAAAAAGGAGATTGGGGCTTTAAAGCTTTGAAGCAAATGATGAAATTGACTTTTTCTATGGTTTATTTTTTAATTTAGAAATTTTTTTTGAGAGCAGTGTTACGCAAATATATTTTGACATCTATTTTGACTTATTGTTAAACTAGTGAACTCTTGTGACTCCCAAAAGAAAAATTTACATTGGTCTTATAATGGTAAGAGGCTGCCCCTCCCCTCAAACGGCAGGAGTGCCAAATTTAATTAGATAGTGCCAAATTTGATTAGCAATATTCTGCTGCTTCTGGAAGTTAACCTTTCACTACTTTGTTCTCATTTTGAAATTCTCCATTTTCTATTCCATTTTATCACATTTATTAATTTTTCCAGGGAAGATTCGAACAAGTTTTGACACATTACAAACAATTGCTTACTTATATTCGTTCTGCGGTAACTAAAAATTATGCAGAAAAATCTATTAATTCGATTCTTGATCACATTTCTGGTTCTAAAAATAAAGAATTGTTACAAAAATTTTATCAAATAACGCTTGATGCTTTAAAGGTTTTTTTTGTTTTATATTTAAAAAATTTATAAAAAAAATTTTTAGGAAGCTCGAAACGAAAGACTTTGGTTCAAAACAAATACAAAACTCGGGAAACTTTATTTTGATATGAAAGAATTTGACAAGCTTAAACAAGTACTTAAACAATTGAGGAATTCGTGTCAGGTAGTGAATTTGTTTTTGAGTTTTATTTTAAAAATTGCAATCGGGTGGGAATCTTTTGGGCGACTCTAAGAATTTTAGGAGTTCGGAAATATATTTAGGAAAGGTTTAAAAATTTTGTTGAAAATTTCCCCGAAATTTTCCTTCATTTTTACAAAAATTAAAAAAAAAATAATTAAAATTTAGACAGAATCTGGAGAGGATGATCAAAAGAAAGGAACACAACTTTTGGAAATTTATGCTTTAGAAATTCAGATGTATACAGAGCAAAAGAACAATAAAGCTTTACAACAACTTTATGACCAATCAATTCATGTAAAAAGTGCAATTCCTCACCCTTTAATTATGGGGACAATTAGAGGTTTTCTTAGAGATTTTTTGCTAAAAATTTAAAAAATTTTTAGAATGTGGTGGAAAAATGCATTTAAGAAATGGTTCGGAATTAAAAAATTTAAGTTTAAAATTTAAATTTATAGCTGAATTTGATAAGGCTCACACAGACTTTTTTGAGGCGTTTAAAAATTATGATGAAAGTGGATCTTCTCGTCGAATACTTTGTTTGAAATATTTGGTTTTGGCTAATATGGTAATAAAAATTTTATAATTTGAAAAATATTTTTGACTTTCTTTTAATTTGCAAGTAGCTAAAAATACACATTTTTCTGTTATTTTAATTTAAAATTAAAAATTTCTTAATTTTCTCACTTAACTTTTGTATCCTAACAATAAGGAATAGTGCCTCAGGAATAACCCCCGCTTTGACCCTGTGTTCTTTTAATAAATTGGCCATTTTTAGACTATATCTCTCAAAATTTCTCTAAAGCTTTTTTTAATTTTGAAAATCCCTCAACTTCTTAAAAACTTTTTTAATAATTTAATTTATTTTAACTAAATCTTTTATTCATTTTCAGCTGATGAAGTCAGATATTAATCCTTTTGACAGTCAAGAAACTAAAGCTTTTAAAGATGAACCAGAAATTTTGGCAATGACACAAATGGTTGCTGCTTATCAGCAAAATGATATTCAACGTTTTGAACAAATTTTGGAAGCTAATAGAGCTTCTGTAATGGATGATCCTTTTATTAGAGAACATATTGAAGAACTTTTGGCTAATATTAGAACTGAGGTATTTATTTCTTAGTTTATATTGTTTTTTGACTTTTAGGACCTCTCTAGTTATATTTAGGTTTTACATCCCTCTAAACTTAAGATTTTTTGTCGAGAGAATTTGTGACCAGTTACAAGATTTAAATTGTTTTCCGTGAGAATTGGGATTAAAAGGAGCTCAAACCCCCAGTTTTAAATTAATTTTTTGTTCGGTTTTTAAATTCCGGTTTTGGGTTCAGTCTTTAGGTCAAAAACACTAGTATTATTTTTCTTTGGTTAACTTTGGGTAAGAAGAGCTGTCCAAAATTTAAAAAAATTTAGAAGAAATAAAATATACATTTTTTTAGGTTCTTCTACGTCTTATAAAACCTTATGTTTGTATTCGCCTTTCATATTTAGCTGAAGAATTGCGTATTGAGGGAAAAGAAGTTGTTAGACTTTTAGTTGAAATAATACATGACAGAAGGAGGGATTTAAAAATTGATCAAGTCAATCAAACACTTGTTAAAATTGGACATAATAAAGAATTATTAAGTACTGGAAGAGCACAAGCAATGAATAAAGTTTGTGAACAATTGGAAATTTTGACTAAAATAATTGCAGAGAAAAGTATTTGAAATATTTTTGGTAGAAGATTTTTTCTGTTTTTTTTTAAATTAAGGACGTATTTAGTAAGGAATTAAAAGTTTAAAGTAGAGTTCGACATTTTCAATTTGCTGGGCCCGGCATTCGGTTTTTTTATTCCAATCCGACCCGGGCTGGGTTTTCCGGGCTAAAACCCCGAAAACTCGGAAGTCCCGTAAACCCGGTTTTTACTCCCCAGCTCGGGTCCGAACTCTAGTTTAAAATAATTTTTTCTTTTTCTCTCAACCTGAAATTCACCATTTTATATATAGTAATTTTTCCTTATTCTTTGGGAGAATGATGTAACTGCATATGACTGATAAATTTATATAAGCACGCATTGCTTTTCCTATTATTTTTTGTTTTCTTTCGATTTATTATAAATATTTAAATTAAAATATTTAATAAAAATTAAAATATTTAATTGTTGATTGATATTTATTTTTTTAATAAAAGAATATTTTTATTTTTACAAAATTTTTAACTTTTAAATATTTTAGAGTTTTTAATAAAATTTAGAATTTACTTAAGTTAGATGCCAATATTAAAAGTAGAACAACAAAATAATTTATTAGATTTATACGCGGAAGAAATATGTTCAAGAATTTCACAAAATTTAAGTTTAGAAGGACTTGGACCTCTTAAAGAATTTTTACATGAAGAAAATCTTTTGGAAATACTTGCTTCTGATGAGGGAATTTTAGGTTATTTTTAATTATTGAAAAATAGTTTTAATTTTTTATAGAACAAAATGATTCGGATAAAGGAAGTAATGGTAGTGAGGCGGGCAGTGTACAAAATTCGGAGGATAGCGAAGATCAGGTTAAAAATTAATTTTTATGTATTATTTTTGTTAAGGGGTATGTAAGAAACTAACATTGTTTTTTTGTTAAATTATTAATAATTAGAGATCGGGAACATACCTGGCCTAAACGTTTCGTGTTTCCCTCTTCTTTTTTAGTCAAAAGGAAATTATGAATGGCTCTCGTCTTCTTTTTTCTCCTTCTTAACCTGCAGGCGTCTATTTTGCCCACGAAACGAAACGTTTTGCCCAGGTATGATCGGGAATTACTTGATTTTAGTTGATAACCTTGACCAGATTTTTGACCCCGAGTTAAAGAAAATCTATTGAACATTGAAAAATACCTTGATTCTGGATCCAAAAATTTTTTTATTGTTTTTACATTTAATTTTCAGGAGGAAGAAGAAAGAAAGAAAATATTAAATGCAAAACGTTTAGTAATCGCTACAAAAATATGGCAAGAAATAACAAATTCGGCTTTACGTTCAAGGCTTTATAAAGGAGTTTTGGAATTTATTAGACAAAGTATTTTTTTAAAAATAATTTTTAGAAAATATGATTTTTTAATTAAAAATTAGTTGATGATGAATTACACAAATCAATTTGTGTGGAGGGTTATACTACAGAATTTATTGCTGGATTTTCTAAATTACTTAATCATTCGACTGAACTTGTTGAATTTATTTGTGGAGGTTTTTTTTATTTTTTTTGAAAATTTTCAAAAAAATTTTTAGAAAAATTAAATCTCGATGAAAATGAAAGAAAAAATCGTTGGCATCAATTCGCTGAAAGTTTAAAATCAAATGTAGATTTTGATGTTTTGGTCGATCCTTTATTGAAGCGTATTCAGTCTGATACTGTTGATACTAAAAGGTTTGTTTTTAGAGTTATTGTAAATCAATTATAGGGTTTTTGGGTAATCCTTTTCAGTTTAGTTCTTAAAAATAACTTTTTTTGGTTAGGGTGAAACTGCTATTTGTAAAGTAGGGTAGCACCCCAAGCCTTCGGGGGCGGGATCGTCGGGGTTTGCCAGGGTAGAATCTTCGGGGGTTGGGTCGGAGTTTTGCCCGCATTGGGGTGGGGATCGCGATTTGTCGGGGTTCATGTCGGAGAGTTCGGAGTCGGGGTGCTACCCTACTCTAAATTTCATAATAAATGCTGTATTTGAATCCTTTAGTCTTAAATCTTTTTTTAAATGTTTTTAAATTTTATTCAAAGATTCTTAAATTTTCATTTTTTCTTTAGAAAAATTTTTCAAATTTATTTTTTAGAGCAACAAAAATTCTTTTACGTTCAATCCCAGTTTTAAATATGAATGGTTATGAACATATTCTTTTTTCTGTAACAAAATGTGACTTCCAAAATGCCGTAAATTTTGTACAACGAATTTATCCAAATTTTTTCAGAGAATATGGTTTTTTCTTTAAATTAATTTTTAATTTTATACTCATTTATTTTCAAAGAATATATAAAATCATCAGCTTCAAATCGACACAATTATTTTTATGTTGTTAGACAAAATGATGATATTTCTGCAGTTATTGAAATGGCTATGAAAAATGATGTTCCTCCTCCTAATGCAAATATTTTTAATGCTCGACTTGGAAATATTCCTCAAATACATGTTAGGGCTTGTACTATAGATACTTGTCAAGGTTTGAAAATTTAAAAATTAAAAATGTGTTGTTGAAAAGAAAATAAGGTTTTTGAGAGTGTTTTGAAAATTGTTGTTTGAAAATCTCTGAGTTATTTTATGTTGAGTGAGAAAAAATAAAAAAATAGAAGTGATAATGTGAAATTTATGTTTAGGGTAATTTTCCGTTATGACGCAAAAAATCTGTGTTTTTAATTCACAAATTATAATCGCAATAAATATTCTGTATTCAAGACAATGTGTTTGAATTTTGTGTAATTGTGTCAATCATTTGGGAATTTCACCGAGTAAATTTTTTTATTATTTTTAAAAATTTTGTAGGAGTTTTTTATGGCTGTTATGTCCTAGGATGTGGTCTAACCTAGTGACAAACAGCAAATGGCAGGAATAACTCAGGACAGACGGCATCCCGAAGTCCCGCGGACACTCCAGTCACTCTACTTTGTTAGGGCCTAAAAATTGGTGTAGTAGTGGCTAAACATTTTTTTTTATAAATATAGTTATCGATTTGCGGATTTCACGGATTTTTGCGTCATAACGGAAATGTATATAATTCTTTTTATTAAAAAATAATCCATTTCTGTTTTCAGAATTTCCACTCAATCTTCGTCCTTATCAAAAGGAATTAGTGAATGAAGCCGTAGCTGGTAAAAATGTAATAATTTGTGCACCGACAGGTTCTGGAAAAACAATTGTTGGAGCTTATATAATTCGAGAACATTTATTTAAAGCTTTACAAAAACAACAGAGAGCAAAGGTTTTTAAAAAAAAAATTTTTGAAAAATTTTTTTAAATTTATTTTAAAGGCTTGTTTTGTTGTTCCAACAGCTTCTTTAGTTACTCAACAAAAACGTCTTTTTTCTAAATATATTGGACACTTTGCAAAGGTTTTTTAAGAAAAATATTTTTTTAATAAAGAGTTTATTTTTACAGGTTAGAGGTCTTTCTGGGTTGGGGAAAGCAATGTCATTAAATAATCCAATTAAAATGGTTATTGAATATGCTGATGTTATTGTTATTACACCGCAACTTTTAATGTATTTAATTTTTTAATTAAAAAAATTCTGAAAAATATTTTCTTGTATTCCTATCGATTGAAAAACATTTTGGAAATTTCAAGAAATTCTCAAAAAAAATTTTACAAACGAAAAAAATCTTTTTTAAATATCAATAATTTTTTAGTAACGAATTAGAACGTGTAAGTACAGAAATTGACGAATCTTCTTTTGTTCCTTTTACTTTGGATGTTTTTACTCTGATAATTTTTGATGAAACACACCATTCAAAAGATGACCATCCATATAATGTTTTAATGAAAACTTATCATGAAATGAAATTAACTGGGTCATATAAAGATAGATTACCACAGGTTTTTTTTTAATTTTAAAGACATATCTACATACCCAAGAGTATGAGGAAGCCCGAATTTTAAATTTTTATTCCACCGAAGGCACCAGGCCTGTAACCAGGGGGAGAAGGGATTCCCCACCACTGAAACGGGGAAAAGGAAAAAAATTCGGGAAAGGATTGAACAAAAAAGTGACTGTTTTGGCCTACGCTTTCCAAAATTCTAAAAATTTTTGTCCGCGGTGCTAAGAATTAAAATTTTTTGGAAGGCACGGTGAACTTTTATAGATGCAAACAAAAAATATTTTTTATAAAAAAGTAGGCATAAAATTTTTATTTTTTGCGTTACCAATTTTTTTCTTTTCGCTATTTCAAAGAAATGAGGGGGAGGGGCCTTTAAAAAATTCATTTTCTTAATTTAATTTTAAAGATAATTGGAATGACAGCTTCTCTAGGTATTGGAGGCTCTGTTTCAAAAAATTTAGACGAGGCTGTTCGTTACACTTTAGAAATTTGTGCAAATATGGATGCTCAATGGATTTCTTGTATTCGAAAATATCAGGATAGTTTACGTTCATTTATGCCTATTGTGTCTGAAGAAGTTAAATTTGTACAGCAAGCAAGTGATTGTGGATTTTTGTGGGCATTGACTACACAAATTGAAAAAATTAAGAATTTTATGAATGAAATTCCTGAAGGTTTTTTTTTTGTTTTTATAAATATTTATAAAAAGAGAAATCCTTTTCCTTAATCATGAAAGAAAAAATATTTGAAAGATTAGAAAATTTTTTTTGTGATTTGCAAAATTAAAGAGCGTTTATATTGAATTAAAAAGGAAACCTAATGTGGGAAAAATAAGAAAGTATGGAAGTTTGCGACCGGTCAATTTTCGCCTGTGACGGCTCAAATGGAGAATATTAAGGAATTGCAGTTGCTACGGGCGAAAATTAACCGGTCGCTAGAAAAATAAATGTAACTTTTTATTCTTGTATTTAATTTCTTATTTTGAGTATTAAAAATTGAAATCTGAGAAAAAATAAAAGAAATCTAAAAGCTTTAATTTAAATTTATTTTTTAGCAAATCAAAAAGAAGTTTCACTTCCTCTAAATGACTCAAATTCACGTGATCCTTTAGTACAAGGATTTGAAGCTTGGTTGGGGACATTAAAACAAAAGTATTTTTTTCCAAATAACAATATTAAAATTTTTAAAGTTTTATAAAAACAACTTCAACACTTTCTGATCACTCACGTGCTCGTTTAATGTTTTGTGTTGAACAATTGTTAATTTTTTATAATGCAATAATTTGGTTAAAATTGTTTGGAATTAAAGTTTCTTTTAATTATATACAAAAAAATGAAGTGGATAAATTAATTTGTAAATTTGCAATAGAATCTAAAATAAATGTGGAATTAAATAATTGGATTAATTCTTTACAAGAAATTGTTAATAAAAAAGGAATGGATAAACAAAATAGTGCTTTATTGGATAAATTAATTTTGTAAGGATTTTTTAAAATTAAATTATTTTAAATTGGGAAAGAAATTTTTTTTAAATCGAAAAATGGTATTTAGGGTTCGTAGTTGAAATAAAAATGAAATTAGCCCCCAAGGGGTTCGAACCCGGGAGCTTCAAAAAGGGACAAATAAGGGGAGGCCTGAGACAATCCCACTTCACCACAAGGGTCATCTACAAAAAATTTAAAGCCTTTTCATATGCCTTGAAATTATTTTGAGTTTCGTTTGATATAAAATTCTAGAATAAAAATTCGACAGAAAGAATAGATTTTAGAAATATTTTTTATCTAAAAATATTATTTTTAGATTCAAATAATTTAGGAAAAATTTTTTTAATTTTAACACTAAATTTCAATATTTTTTTAGAATTTTAAATGAACAATTCCAAACAGATAGTAACAGTCGTGTACTTATTTTTTGCCAACAAAGAGACCATTGCGAAAAACTTTCAACGCTTTTAAATGAACAAACAATGTATAGAACTGATTTTTTTACAGGTTTTTTTTCTTTGAATATAAAGATAATTGTATTTGATGATTTTTTGTTGTTAAGCGAACTTGGGACTTTTAAAGAGGAGAAACCTCTCCTTATTTAATCTTAAAATTAATTCTGTTAAATACCCAATCCTCTCCTTTGATTAACAAAAAATTTAAGATTAATTTTGATGAACAGGGGGAGTCTTACTCTTTAAAATTTTTATAAAAGGTCAAGCAAGTCGTGAAGAAGGAGGTCAAAATGCCCGAATGCAAAAGGCTAAATTGGATGACTTTTCTAAAGGTGAAATAAAAATTCTTTGTGCAACAACGGTTGCTGAAGAAGGAATTGACATTTCTGCTTGTAATTTAATTGTTCAATATAATTATGTAACTAATGAAATTGCTAGAGTTCAAAGAAGGGTTTTTTTCTTTTAATTTTTTTTTATTAAAATTATTTTTTAAAGGGTCGTTGTAGAGCTAAAGGTGCTCGAGCATTATTATTAACTTGTGAAATAAATATAAAAGAAAAAGAAGAACAAAATGCTCTACGTGAACGTTTAATGCATTCTGCATTGGAAGAATTGTCAAAATGGTCGCCAACAACTTTTAAATTGAGGGTTTGTTTTTTAGTGAAAACATCCATTATTGGGCATACCTCAATTTAAGTCCTATTTTTTAAAATTTGGTTGGGCATTGAGTAGGGAGAGGGTGTCTAAGCGAATAAATACCCTCAATCATGTACAACCCTAAAGAGAATGCGTACCATTGGGGTTCAATCATTCATTTTTTAAACCCTGACCTCAACTTCGAACGATTTGTCTAACACGACCATCCAACCACGACCTTGAACTTTTCGACCTTGAGAGGTCGTTTCCTGAAAATAATTTTTGTAAGTTAAGAGATCCTAGACACCTCTTTTATCCAATTTATTTTTCAAGAAATATTTAAATTTAAAAATAAATTTAAAAAATTTAAAGGTTGAAGATTTAGTTCAAGAATTAAATAAAAAAAGAAAGGAAAGTGAAGCACTCGAAATGGAAAAAAGAATTGAAAGGCGTAAACAAGACAATTTATTTAAAATTGTTTGTAGGTAAATAAATAATTTAAATTAAAAAAATTTTCTAAAATTTTTTCAGTTCTTGTAGTAAATTTCTTGGATTGTCAACAAAAATAGTTTTGGTTGGTTCAATGTATGTAATTGTTGATAAAGAATTTTGGAGGCGAACAAAAGGATGTGCTTCTGAATTACCTCCAGAAAAGGCACAGGGAAGGGAATGTAAAGGAAGTATGCCACACATTGGAGAAGTTTTTTTTTAATTTTTAAATTAATTTTTGAAAAAATTTGGAGTTAAGGGCTTTACACTTTAGAATAAATAATTTAAAAAATGTTTTTCACCGTCTGGGTTCGAACCTTTCCAATTCAAGTTGAACAACAAAAAGCTTCCCACTACGCCACAAGCGCATTTAAACTTTTTTGCTTCTCTAAATAAATAAACTCAAAAATTAATTTTTTCCTTATTTAAAAAACAATTTTTATTTTCCAGCATAGATGTTCTTGCAACCAAAAATTGGGACGAATAATTCAATATAGAGGTGGAATAATTCTTCCAAATTTGAATGTTGACAGTTTAGTTTTTAATTTTAAATTGTTTTTTTAATTAAAAAATTCTAGGAATAGTATTTATTCGGTGTACTTCTGATGGAAATGAAATAATTAAAGATGAAAGAGTGAAGGAAAGAAAATGGGGAAAAGTTTCACAAAATTTGTTTTTAATTGATAAAGGTTTGGGAAATTTTTTTAATTAAAAAAAATATTTTTAATTTTTTAGCAACAACTTTACAATTAGTAGAGATGAAGGATGCACCTGATAAACCGGAATCTTTGCTGAGAACAGATTTGTTAGAATAGGATGTTTAAATTATGATTATTTTTGATTATTAATAACTTGTTTTAAAAAATCTAATTTTGTTTTTAATTTATTTAATGCTTTTTAAATAATGTACGACTTAAATAAAATGTTAGACTTAAACAAGCTTGCAAAAATTTGTGGTTAGGGGTCAGGAAAAGTATTTTTACATTTTTTGTTAATAAAGTGGTATCTGTTTTGAGTTTAGTTGATTGCTGCTTAATGGTAGGGACACCTGTTTAATTTCAAAAATGGATAATCATAAACGATAGGGAATAAGGATTCTGCTAAGCTGTAGATTGGTGTAACCCAACAAGTTTGATGAAGACAATTTGCGAACGTAAAGTGTTAAAGAGCTAATTGTAAGAGATTGGATGGATATAAGACAATAATTCGGAAACGGAATTTACTATAGGTTAGTCATTGGGATGAGTAGAAAAAAAGCGATAAGGTGAATAATATTCGAAGCCAAACTAATCCTAGCAAAAGCACAAAAAATTGTTTAGCATTTTTATTTATATCCAATAAGATTAAAAAACAATACGCGTAATTTTAGGAAACAATTGCGCATTAAAGTCATATAAGGCATATTTTTGGACAGACACATAAGGAATATTAAGATTAGAGATCGGATCGAGACGAGATCTTGAAGAAAAATATAGGTTATCAAGATCGATATTTTTCGAGATATATCGATCTTGATTCTTTACGACACTCCCAGTCCGGTCTCCAATTAATTTTGTCCACGATATAATTTTAAACCCGAAGTTTTTAACAAAAGCGTATCCAACTAAATATAAGAACCAGGTGGCCAGTTAAATAAAAATAATCGTGGACAAAAAAACTAATCAAACAAATACTACAATAAATTTATATTTATGGGGAACCTTGAAGAAATGTAGTGTCATGTACCTGATTTAATTTATTTTCTTCCTTCTCATCATTTGGGTCAATATTTAACAATGCCTGCAATTCCTTAAAGAACGATATTTTTAAATTGCAAATAAATTTTTAAACAAGAACCTTCTTCTCATATTCAAGTTTGGTATTGTCCACTCCCTTTTGAATTGTCAAATCAATCAAATTGCGAAGAATATAGAGCATTTCTTGAGGGATAGCATATTGACGAGAGAATTGGAACATTAAAGAATCTAGATCCTTTACACCATCATTAGCACACGGAAATGCCAAAACAGACATGCGACGCGAAGTAGAAGGCTCAAGACAAATCTGAAAAAACGAAAGATTTTTTTATCATAAAGCTATAAAGAATTATTCAAAGAAAAATTCTTTAAAAAATTCAAAAAAAAACCTGCTCATCAGTCAAATCCACAATTGTATTTTGTATATTTACAATTTCTTGCTGCACATAATCAAGTTTTTGCTGAGTACTTTCTAGTTGTTCTAATACTAAAGTACGAGTGGAAGGATCTGTTATCGAAGAGAAATTGGTTTGAAGACGTGACAGTTCATCCTGAAGTTTTCGACGTTCATCACACTGTCGATCCATAGCCTTCTCTTCACGTTCAATTGCATTCTTTTTGACAGTAAAGCCCTCAATCTTAGAAAATTTTTTAAAAATAATTTTTGGAAAATTTATTAACCGCTCGTTCAATAGCATTCCATTGGCGTTTTGTACGAACTGGAGTCTGCTTATATTTTGGAGTTTTGGCAAAATTTGTAGGAGTATGAAAAGCCTTCTCCTTCTTCACATCCTCCTCCTAATACAAATTTTTAAATAAGAATTTAAAATAAATTTACCTGAATAATATATGTTGTATCCAAATCAGGAATTGGTGGTAGACGAACCTCAGGAAGAGTCTCTAACTTAACTCCACGCCTAACTTCATAAATGGTCTGACGACGAGTTTTGACAGCCTAATAAAGAAAATGGTTAAAACATTTTCCAAAATAAAAATGTAAAAACCTTTTGAGAATCCTTCAGTTTCTGAACTTCCTCCACCTTTCGTCTTAAAGTTTCAGATTTAAGTGCAGATTCCCTTTCAAGCTTTTGTATTTTATTTTGTTGTTGTCTTTGAGTTTTTTCATATGTGGCCACTTTTTGATTATTTTCAGCTTGAATTACACGAATTCTTTTATTTTCTTCCTTTAATTTTTTCATTACTTCAACTTTTTGTCGCTTTATATTTTCCAAGTCGTTTCTCATTCGAACAAGTTCCATATGACGTTTATTTTCTTGTGCTTGCATCTTTTTATTATCACGCTCGGCCAATTCAATTCTTTTATGTTCGAGTCGCATATCAGAAAGACGCCTCTCATATTCGCTTTTAACTTTATCAATCTCCTCTTTCAGTTGTTTGGTCTGTTTCTTCGCTGTCATCTGTTCAAGAACTTTGTCCCGTTCCGCCTCTGTAGACTGAATCTTCTTGCAAAGTTCTTCCATCTTTTGTTCATAATCCCTCCGCTGTTCCTCCAAACGACGTTGACTCGCTTCTAGCTCGGCTACAAGGCGTTCCTTGACGCCAATGTCTTCGTAAATTTTAGCCAAATCAGAGTGAATTTGATCAATACGCTCTTTTAAAGAAAGGTTAGAACATTTCAAGTTCGGAAAAATATACCTAAACTTTGTTTTTCTGCCGGATCAGCCTCCTCATCCTCTTCATCATCATCGTCACTATTCTCTTCTTCGCAAATCTCATCCAAAACGTTTTCTTTTTCATCGAATTGGTTAAGACCTAGAAAATTGGTTAAATCCTATATTAAAATTTTTTTCGCTTACATTTAGCTTCAACCTCATTCAACGCCTTTTTTTCCATTTCAATTTCTTCCTTCGCCTGATTTATTAAACTTTCGGTAGGATTAGATGATTCTTGTTGATGAACATAAGGAGAGCCATACAAAAGTTTATCTGCATATTGGTCATTAATCAACGCCTCCTCGCCTCCATTTAATAAGCGCTTGCCCTGTTGATATTCCAATAGTTGAGATTCAAGAGAGGCGACACGATCACGGAGCTCCGTTATTACTTTATAAGACTTGTTTGATTGATATTCCAATAGTTGAGATTCAAGAATAGCAATACGAGTACGGAGCTCAGTTATTAATTTGGAAGACTTGTCTTGATTAACCACAATCTAAAGAAACAAATTTTCAACAAAAAATTAAGCAAAAAACAGCAAACCTTGTTTTTGATGTTTTTGGCCCGATTCGCATAATTTAATGTATTAAGCGTTTCAATAAAATCAACGTCACAAGGACTGGCACATGCAATCATTAACGTTCGACTGTTTCCACCAAGCGAGTCTTGCAACAAACGAGTGAGTTTAGAATCACGGTAAGGAACATGGGTGACCTTTCCACTACCCAAAGCAGAGATTACGTTCCCGAGAGCAAGCTAGAAAAGATTAATTTTTAACTTAAGATTTCGCAAAAAATACCAGTCCAGAATTGATGCTGATTCCTTCCTTAGCACGGTCACCAGTTGCACCAGTTCTCTTTAATCGCTCAGAGCCAGCCAGGTCGACAAAATGGAATTTCGCATGTAAAACTTCAAGTTCTGTTGTTTGTTGTTTAGGAGAATCATCCTTAATATAAAATAAACTTTTATTTACTCCGAAATATTGGAAAGAAATTTCCAAGTTAAACAATTGAAAAAAATCCTTGCCTCATTTTCTTCTATTGGCACAACTCGACTCTGTTTAATTTTAATAGTGAAGATTGCATGTGAGCGACTTGACTGTTGATTCATATTTGTCGCAGCAGTAGTTCTATTCAAAGACCCAGCTTTTAAAGCAGTCATTACATCCAATGCGCTCTTTACACATTTCCAAGTAGCACCTTTAAGACCAATTTCATTTCGAATATGATCTTCTTGAATTCTGATTGTGTTGCGAGAACGACCGTCAGACAGTAAATCAATTATTTCTTCATTATAAAGCTTAAAATTTAAATTTTTTATTAAATATTTTAAAAGCTTAAAAACCTCAATAAATTGGACATTTAATTCGAAAGTTGGCTCAACAGCACCATTTGTCTTGGCAGCAAGTTTTCTCTCCTCCATTCCTTCAAAAAGATGCCTAGCTGCTCGCGGGATGATTCCGGCAGTAATGTTTGTGTCCAAATTGAATTGATTCACATCAAAAGAAGTCCCCATCGTGTAAGTTTTACCACTTCCAGTCTAAAATTTAAAAATTTATTTTTCTTCAATACTCCTAAAGTCTGCAAATTTTATCAGCAAGCGACGCTATTTGCTTGTCATCATAATTAAAACAAAAACTACACTATAAAACATCAAAATAACCTGTCCATAAGCCAAAACAGTCGCATTATAACCATCAAAAGCGCCAGCTAGTAAATTATGAATACATTTATTGTAGACACCTTCTTGGGTTGACTGGTCAGAGAAGACGAAATCTTAAAAATTATTTAGCAAATAAAAAGATTCAAAATTATAATACCATAAGTGAAGGATTTATCCCGTCCAATTGTGATTTGTGGTTCGTCTTGAGAAATAAATACACAAATCTTCTCTTTTGCAGCCATTTCCCTTGCATTTTGTGGTCGAATTCTAAATTACAATTTAGAAAATAAAAATTTGTTTTCAATACCTCACTGCAACAGCAACATTGTTTTTCATATCGCGGCATTTATGCCGTTGCTCATCCTCACTTGAAGCCATAAATTTTAATATAATAAAAAATTTTGTCTTTTCTAAATTTATAAAAGCATTAAAATGCACAAATAAAAAATATTAATTTAAACAACACTAAAAAAACTCACAACCTAAGAAATACCTATTCTCTGCAAAAAGAAAGGCGAAAAAATGGGCTTTTATAGTAAATTTGAACGTTTAAATAGTAAAAATTTTAATAAAAATGGAAAATTTGGCATTATGTTATTTTGGAAAAATTCAAACTTTTTCACTTGATCTAATTTCATTTTTAATAAACTTCTTTAAGGGGAATGGTCTGATTTTACGTAAAGTGTATGGGGTTTTTTATTTTATTTTGACTATCATTTTATTTTTTCTAGTTAAAGAAATGTATATTATTCCTATTCTATCCAAAAGATTTACAACAACAACTTCTTTATTTAGTCAAAAATGTAGATCGCTAAGTTTGAGTTCTCAATTAAATGCCGCTTTGACCGTTCGAGACGCTTTAAATCAAGCAATGGATGAAGAATTGCAAAGAGATGACAGAGTGTTTTTGTTAGGGGAAGAAGTTGCTGAATATGATGGGGCTTACAAAGTAATTTTTTATTTTATTTATTTAAAAAAGAGATCACTCATTGTCAGAGGTATCATAATCGCAATAAGAAAAAAAATTTATATTGAACGTAGATTTAGAAAAACGAAAACAGAACGGCGTTATTTAAAGAAATATTCTAAAATTCATTCTTCGAAAAAAGAAAAATTTAGTTTAATAGTTGGAACTCGATTTTACTTACGCCCTTAGGGACTGCAAAAGTTGCGTAAAAATAAGATTTATGGGTGTATCTCTTAAGTAGCTTTCCTTGCCCAACCTGACAAATTAACTAATAATATACTTTAGTTCAGGGTGTACACATTTTGGATGTACGTAAAGTTAAAGTCCTGTATTTGAGAAGGAATGAAATTCTAGGAGATTTTTTAAAAATGTTTTTATAATTCAATTTGAAAATTTTTTTCTTAAATATTTAAGGTAAGTAAAGGCCTTTGGAAAAAATATGGGGATAAACGGGTTGTTGATACTCCGATTACTGAACAAGGATTTGCTGGTATAGCTGTCGGTGCTGCTTTTGCCGGTCTGAGACCAATTTGTGAATTTATGACTTTTAATTTTGCAATGCAAGCAATTGATCAATTAATTAATAGTGCTGGAAAAACTTTTTATATGTCTGCTGGACGGGTATTTTTTTATTTAAAAAACATGAGAGATTCTTCAAAAATAATTTTAAAAAATTTTTTTCTAAAATTATTTTTTAGGTTCCCGTTCCTATTGTCTTTCGAGGGCCAAATGGGGCCGCTGCCGGTGTTGCTGCTCAACGTTTTTTTTATTTTTTCTTTTAAACAAAAAAAATTTTCCTTTTAGATAGTCAAGACTATGCTGCTTGGTATGCCCACTGTCCTGGTCTCAAAGTAATTTCGCCATATTCTTCTGAAGATTATAAGGGTATTTTTTTAATTATTTGGTTATTTAAAATTTTTTTAAATTTAAAGGTTTGCTGAAGGCGGCGATTCGAGATGATAATCCTGGTATTTTTTACCTACAAAATTCACAATTTATTTAAAAAATATCTATTTTTAAAGTTATTTTCCTGGAAAATGAATTACTTTATGGAACATCTTTCCCTGTAAAAGAGGAAGTACTTGACCCAGATTTTGTTTTGCCAATTGGAAAAGCTAAAATTGAAATTGTTGGAGAACATTGTACTTTAGTGTCGCATTCTAAAGGTGTTCAAAATTGTTTGGAAGCAGCGGAGAAATTAAAACCTTTGGGGGTTAATGTTGAGGTTATTTTTTCCAAATCATTATCTAAAGGGAAAATCGAAGGGTTTCATTTCTCCCAAAAAATTTTAAAAATCCAAAAATTTAAGTAAGGATATTTGTTAAAGTTGAATGCGTATTTTCTTTAAATAATTTTTTGGGTAACTAACAATGAGCTACCCATCACAGGACCTCTTTTTTTGAGTTAATCGACAATTATTAAAATGCTCTAGACAATAATGAGAAGTAGTTGTGGGTTAAAAAAAATTAAAAAAAAGCGCTTTAAAACTAAAAAATTTTTAAAGGTAATCAATTTGCGAACTCTCCGACCTCTTGACTTTGACACAATTCGTGATTCTGTTAAAAAAACAAATCATCTGGTAACATTTGAGACTGGTTGGCCTTTCTGTGGCATTGGAGCTGAAATTTCTGCACAAATTTCTGAATCTGATGCTTTTGATTATTTAGATTCTCCTGTTTTGAGAGTTACAGGTTTTTTTGAAATTTTTAAACTTTAAAAAATTCAAAAAAAGGTGTGGATGTTCCAATGCCCTATGAAGCTAAATTAGAAGAAGCTGCACTTCCATCGACTGATGATTTGGTTAGAACAGTGAAGAAGAGTTTAAATATAGCCTGAGAGACTTATTTTTACACAAAAGGTTTATATAATTGTTTTTTTTTTGTTTGTTATTTTTAAAATACATAAAAGGGAGAACAAGGAAGGCATGAGCTTATCCAAGGATGTGATTTATGTAAAAAAATGTTTAGTGGCTTCCTCTTCTTTTTCTCTCTTTTAATTTCATTTAAAAGTTGGCTAAATATAGATTAAAGCCCGGTTATTCTTAAATAGGACAAATTCTGTAGACTTGGCCGGAATCCAAAAACTTTTTAGGGTTAGTTGTCATTCTTTAACGGATAAATTGTGAACATGGATAGGATCCCTCCAAACATGACCACCATTCTTAGTCGCAAAAATCTCCCAAAGATATATAAAAATATATGTTATACACTTAAATTTGTCTGTTTTTGTCGTTCAATTCTAATTAGGAAAAAAAATAAAAGATTTTTAGATGTGTGGAATTTTTCTTTGAAAATTGAATCCAATTTTAATTTTAATAAAAAAATTACATAAAAAGGGAAGAGTATATTTTAAAAAATAAGAGAAAATGCCAAAAAAAAAAAGAGTAGCAACCTTAAAAACAGGCAAAGAAGAAAAATACAAGAGGCATAATTTTTGTGTAAAAACAAACAAAAATAATGAATTTATGGTACTATTGCCGCCCTTACAAAACCCTCCTTTAACAGATATCATTTTTTTCAATATTTCAACCAATTACTTAAAAATTATTTTGGTCTTTTGAAGTAATGGTTTGACTCATACAAAAAATCAAAGCAAAGGGTAAAAAAGACGACAATAATACCAAAATTAATTTCATATGAATGCAAAAACTATCCAATAACCGGATTCTATACAAAAAGATATTTTCTTAAGTAGATATGTTTTTATTCACTTTGGACTTAACCATTGTGGACCTTTACCAAAAACCCCTCACCCACCAACACAAAATTAAATCCCTAATCCAAAAAAAAATAAATAGCAATACATATTTGATGAGCATTTTTTGAGAGTAATTAAATCCTTCAAGTATTTCTTTTTTTGTTATATACCTTCTTATTGTGATAAAGTAGACGATGAATTTAAGTTAGGACATGAATTTTCTGAAATTGACAAAATTATTAATAAAAATTGGATGGTAAACAACAAAATCCCCCTTTTTCCTTAATTCTAAAATTCTTTTGCAAAGAAACTTCGAAAATTTAAAAATATTTGAAAATTAAAAGAAGAAAATTCCCTCGAAAATCAAAATTTCAAAACAAATTCTATCCCCTTCCCAATTAAATTCCAAAATCAATTTTTAGCTTATTAAATTAAAAAAACAAAAATCAGACCCCAAAACTCCAAAAAAAATAGAATAAAAAATTAACCTTCATTTTCCTCCTCATTGTTTTTACAACAAGATTCTTCCTCACCAAAAAGTAATGGACATGTAGCCATTTCTAAATTTGAAGGCCTTAATTCACTCATTAATATTTCTTCTTTAATTCTTTTTTCTTTTAATTTTTTGTGTGGAGATTCTCCATTTTCTGCTAATATATCTTCTCTAGTTGATGAAATTGAGGGAATTATTGTTGTAGATTCTTGTTGCTGTCCTTCTTTTGTTGGTGTTCGTTTTCTACGTATTCTTTGAAGTAAAGAACGGAAAATGCTGCCAGGAAGTATTTGGTGTTCACAAATTAAATTGTTTACCTAAAAAAATTTTTTCCCTTTGAGAATCAGATTTTATAAAGGTCTGGTTTTCCTCCATAAATTGGGCAAAGTCGAAGACATATATATTTTCTAGACAGGAATTATAAGACTATCAAAGTTTTTTGAAGAATTCGGACTAAAAAAGACAGAAAAGATACTTATTCTATCTGCATTAATGAAAGGAGAGCTTGAAAGGAAATTAAAATTGAAAGGACACAACATCCCAACTAGAATGAAAGTCTCCTACAATAGGGTTGTCAGTTATTTGAAAAAAATCTTCGGATATGTGAAACCGAACCGTAAAACCCTTTTTAGGCTGGGAATCGAAATAACCCTGTCCTAAAAGCCTCAACAACCCTTTCCTAAAGATTCCCTAAAAAAGTCTCCTTATAAAAAAAAATTTTTTTCTAAAATATATTTACCGCTGTTTCAACTTGATTTTTCACTTCTTCAGGTGTACTATTCAAAGAAAACTTTAAAGGTCTCCCCAAATGTGTAACCATTTTGACTGGAAAACCTCCATAAATTGGGCAAAGAGGAAGACGTGTTTTTTCATAAAGAGGCCTAAATAAACGTCGGCCCCATCTGGGAGTTCTGAAAGCATCACGACCTAAAAATAAAATTAATTTTTCAAAATAAATTTTAAATAAAACAAACAATTTTCTGTAAACATGGGAATAACAGGCTGCAAAAAAATGAAATAAAAAATTATTTTAAAAAACAAGAAAAACTAACAACATCAGCTCCAATCACAACTTTAGCAAAACCCAATCGATTCCCCCAAATTGTTTCATAATTTACAGGATTAGAAAAAAGTGCTTCTCGAACACCTCCTGGCGCTATAATTAATAAATGCCCGTCTTTGAGTGTTTTAATACAATCATCAACTGTTCCGGGCGTCATTCCAAAAACTTTGCACATTTTGCCCCAACCTACAAAAAAATAATTTTAAAATATAAGAGGAGATAAAGAAATTGGAGGGAAAAGCCTCGGATTTTTTTAATTTTGTAAAAAAATTATTTAAAAAAATCCAAAAAATAAAAATTTTAAAAATCTCAGTTTGACCTCAAAGCTTTAAAAAATTTTTTTCAACTTATTTTTAAAAATAATTACATAAGTAAAAAATAATTAAAAAAAAACCTGGTATTTTAAAAACAAATTTATCAGCCACACAATGAATTGTTCTCTTTTTAAAAAGAATTCCTTTAGATATAACGTAGTATAAATCAAGTGGAAGAGTTCCATGATATGTTACAATAAGTGCTGGGCCTTCTTCTGGTAAATTTTCTAATCCAGTAATTTCATAACCTAAAAAAGAGAAAATTTAAGTTTAAAAATTGTGTGAGGAATTGTTGAAAATTAATTTAAAAAATTCTTTCCTTACCATGCCAGAAGAGACCAACGCCGTCCCAAAAACTAGCAATACTCGTTCTCGCCCCGTCCCAATAGCTGGATGCATACTAAAAATAAATGCTTATTTAATAAAATATTTTTAAACGTAAAAGATAAAAAGAGGTTAGTTTTCAATGTTTCTACTTTCAAAATAAGCAAAATAAAAAATAATATCCCCAGTGAGAATCGAACCCCAACCCTTTCAGTCAAAATCCAAAAACCCTATCCACTACGCTAAAGAGGCAACTGACTAAAATTTTTAGAAATCAATTAAAAGAAAAGGATTTAATTTCAAAAAAAAATATTTTTAAAGAAAAAATGCAGAAAAATGACACTAATTTAAATGCATTAAAGATGAAAAACTTAAGCTTAAATAAACAAAAAATCTTTTACCGCTTCACGTATTCTATTTCTGAGTCCATAGCAGTGAAGGAAAATTACACTTGCGTAAATTAATAATAAAAGAAATATTGGCAAAATAAAGGCAACGAAAATTGGCAGAAAAAGCCAAATTAGATACTAAAAAATAAAATTAATTTATTTAAAAAAAATTAAAAAATTACTTCAAGATAATCCAGATCCCAATATTTTAGTACACCGTCTAGCCACTGTGAAAATGAATCTGAAAAAGATAATAAATTTATTTGAGGAATTTTGATTTAAAAAAGAAAAATTAATTCAAAAATTTAATTAGATATATTGCCTTTTTTACTTTTAAAAATATTTTTGATAAGAATAAAATTTAAAAAAATTTGAATTAGAATTTGTGATATTTGGATGCGGAAAGTTTAAACGCGCTCGCTTTTTAAAAATTAAAATATGAAGACTTCTAATATTTAAATTAAGTAAATATATCCTCTATAGTGTTATCCACCTCGCTTAGAAATTTTAAAATTTCTTGTCCGTTAATTTGAAAAATATAAATAAACAAGGACTAATTTTAAAGCAATCTTAAGTCAATTTTCACTACTTTATTTCCAGAATTTCAGAATTTTAAATCAGAATTTTCTAAAATTTTCAAAAATATTAATTAATATTATCGAGGAAACATTGGCAAAAATGTTTCAGTGTTTATTTTTAAATTATAAAGCCTTTGCCTTAAAGATTATGCGAGCTGTCTTTAAGTGGGAGGAGATTAACTAAAACAAAATAAAATTTTCTGTCTGAAATTTTATTTTTTTTTTTAAATAAAATGTGTACTTTTCAAAAAAACACAAATCCAGACAAATCCATAAAAAAAGAAAATATCGATTAAATAATAATTGCGTAAAAAAGAGGGAAAGGCAACCACCCCTTCCCCTCCCCCCATCTCTTCCCCCTCATTTCCTTCCCTAAAACCTTCTTATCTCCTCCTCCCCCAACCCCCTCCCTCCCAAAAAAGACTCACTCACCCACCAATGTACAGTTGCAGCCATTCTGGCCAACCCATGTTTTGAAGCAATTCTTTAACAAATGTGGCAGCCACCAAAATGGTTGAAGAGAAAGACATTTAGTTAGAGCCACTCCTTTCCTTCTTTTTCCCTCCTCCCCTTTTTTTGTTTGTTTGATTTTAAGGCCCTCCTTCCCTTTCCTTTATTCTTTTTATTTTTTGTAGATTTTTGGCCCTTTTTAACTAGTATTTTAATAGATTTTTGCTCTTTTTCTGTGTTCACAAAGTAATTTGTCTTTTTTAATTTCTTCGTCTTCTCTTTTGATCTCCTCTCCTTTATGCACGTGTCCAATTTTTTTTCAAATGATCGTCCACCTGTTTTAAAAATTTTTGATTGAATCATCAGTTAGGTAAATATATAAATAAATTGATTACTTTCCAAATTCATTTTTTAATTTTTTAAACGAAGTCCACGAGGTTTCTTTAATTTTCCTTTTATTCTCGCTCCTCAACATGAACGAGAATATTCGGCAAATTCTCGACTTCAAAGAATTCCCCAAAGAAGGAGGAACCTTCCCGCCCCCCCCCCTAACCTCTCCTTCTAACCCCAAAAATCCCCTCCCCCGGTCTCTCTATTACCAAAACACATTTAATTTGGAAAGTAATTATTTAAATTTAGAAAATAAAATTGATAAAAAAAATTGTTAAAAACAAAATATTAAAAACTCTAAAATGGCCATTATTTTAATTTATTACTGCGCATAAATAAAAATAAAATGTATGAGTCAACAAGGAAATATTTAAAAATATTTAGTAAAACTTTAATTTTAATTTATTTGTCACAAAAAAACACAAAATTTAAAAAAGGTATAACCATAAATATTCTAATTGGGGACTAGACTAGGAGGGTCATACGAGAATTGTGCAAGATATGGTCTCGATAATCGGGATTTCTCTCTTCGCGATTTTGTCTCGATCCATTCACTAATTTAATATAGAAGTGCATTCTAAAAATTGTTTTCCATTCCCCATCCCTATTTGAGGTTCTTAGCGGCCGGTTAATTTTCGCTTGTGACGGCACAGATGGGAAATGAAGAATAAATTTGTGTTTATTTATTACAGTTAAACTGCCTTATTCAAAACAAAAAATTAATTATCAAAAGTGGGGGGATAGCCTTATCTCGAGAGGAGAATTCTTTAAGGTTAACATCCTTTCCTTTTTTTCAGCTGGCAGTTTTCCTATAGAGGAGGGATTAACATCTTAAATACAACATTTATTAAATTAAAATTAATTTTAGTAGACTGACATTTGCGGACAGTCACTGATTTTTATATTATACCAAATGTAGATTTTCTGACGTTTATAAGAGAATAAACATGATATGACATAAAAAATAGTTAAAATTAGAATAAGACTAAAAAACCTCTTCCACTTACTCCAATTTAAACAATTCAGTGTTGTCCGCAAATATCAGTCCGCAAAACCAGAAAATTAATTTTTCATAGGACAAGACCAAGGGCGTAGCCAGGAAGGCTTCTGGGGCTAAAGCAAATTCAAAAAAATTTTCGTTAGGAACGCCAAAGTAAACGCCAAAATTTTGGCACACACCCAATTTTAGCCCCCTGAAATCGACCCCCTGGCTACGTCCTTGGTCAAGACTAACACAAAAGAATCAAAAATGGCTGTCTACAAAATAGAGGTGAATTCTAGGAAAGGGATAAAATTAAAAAAACCTTCATTTTCTCTAAAATTTTCTACAATTATTCTATTATGCTCTACAAAGTCTTGGCCTTTTTTGTTTTGACAATTTTGGGGATTCTTCAATCTCTTCTGATCTTGTAAAAATTAAATATCTGTCTCCTCCGGATGTTTCCAATTCTAATTTTTCTAATAAAAATTCTGACAAATTATTTTCACGTTTAGCAAAAACAGTTAAATAACCATCACAATTTGCACCAAATAGTGGAATTAAAAACTTGAAAAAAAATTTAAAAAAAAATTTTTTAATTTAAAGGAAATTTTAACATCTCTCTTCCTTCTACAAATAAATTGACTCAATAAAATTTAAATATTCGAAAATGGAAATAGAACTATTAAAAATCTGAGTTCGGTGGGAATTGAAAAGCTGTTTTGTTTCGTATCAGAGGGGTCGGAATTCCGATTTCCGATGTTTTTTTTCCTTCCGATTCCCGAAAAAATTTTAATTTCCGATTTCCGACTTTTGCGCCAGTTTCGATTTCCGGCTCTTCCTATTTCCGACACCTCAGACTGTTCCGACCCACCTCTGCTTCGTATAACGGGGACTGAAATTGGAAAAATAAAAAGAAAGTTTTCAGAATGTCTTGGTGGGCTATAATGACACGTTAAAATTTAAAATATCACGAAACCGTTTTTTTATCGTCCCAACAAAATACCAAAAAAATTTCAAGAATGAATTCCCTCAAAATTTTACCCATTATTTCCTCAAAAACTCAAAAAAAAATTTAAAAAAAAAACCTTGGATTCAATTTTTCCAACATAATTATTTTCACGATCATAAACATCAGCATTTCCAACCATAAAAGGTTTTCCCAACAAATTTCCAACTTCTTCATGTTCCAATAAAATTTCCACAGCTTCTTTATAATGCTCAATTTTCTTCATTCTCCATTGATTGATTTTCTCAATTAAATAAATTCCACTAACTCCAAATACAAAAACATTAAATGAGGCAACCGCTAAAGAACTAATTCTTACTTGACGATGAAAAGTTATTAGCCTTTTAAACATTTAAAATAAATCTAAAAAAAATTTTTAAAATGGAGGGAAAGAAGCAACTTTCCCAGTTTTGGAACAACTTTTCCTCGTTGTTTGATAAAATTAAAAAAAATTTAATGTCGATCATATGCTTTCGATTTATTTACATAATTTTATGATTAAATTGATACTTTAATTTTTGTAAGTACAAAACCACCCAAACTTTCTATGTCCAAACATCGCCTATTATGAAAATTTTTTTCAGTAAATTCTCTTCTTAAAAATATTTTTTAAATCAGAATTCTCAAAATTTATTTAATTTTTTTTCAGATTCATTTTGTCAGTGGAAGTAAAATTTTTAAAAAATTTTAAATTAAATTAAAAATCAAACGAAAGTTTTTACATATAAATAAGCAGACAACTACATATAACTAGACTTGAAAGGAGTGCGGAAGGAAGAAAAATATCGCTAGAATAATTAGAAGTCCAGTGTTTATCTCTTTTTTCCTCAATCGAAAAGGTGTAGCTTTAAGCTACACCTTTTTCTTTTAGCAACTCGCTTAATCATCGTAACCATCCAATCATAGTCGATTTTGTCAACATAATGAAGCTTAGCCAAATACGACACAATGTAACGGAGTTCAGATATTTCTTTTTCTGGAAATAATTAGGTTGGGTCGCCTAGTGCAGTTTGTTTCATTTCGAGAACTACATCGACTTGTGTTTCGGAATGCCAAGGTAACTTTGAACGAAGAATCATATCAACAATCATATAAATCCAACATTCGCAGTCATCCTTTCTGTCGAACTCAAAACCTTTATGCAGGGCGAGGGAAATCTAACCTGAAAATCTACGAAATGACCTAAAAATCTAAAACTACGAGATCAGAGGTCGCCCTGCATAGAGGTTTTGAGTTCGACAGAAAGGATGACTGCGAATGTTGGATTTATATGATTGTTGATATGATTCTTCGTTCAAAATTACCTTGGCATTCCGAAACACAAGTCGATGTAGTTCTCGAAATGAAACAAACTGCACTAAACGACCCAACCAAATTATTTCCAGAAAAAGAAATATCTGAACTCCGTTACATTGTGTCGTATTTGGCTAAGCTTCATTATGTTGACAAAATCGACTATGATTGGATGGTTACGATGATTAAGCGAGTTGCTAAAAGAAAAAGGTGTAGCTTAAAGCTACACCTTTTCGATTGAGGAAAAAAGAGATAAACACTGGACTTCTAATTATTCTAGCGATATTTTTCTTCCTTCTGCATTCCTTTCAATAATTGTCTTGTTATATGTAGTTGTCTATTTATATGTAAAAACTTTTGTTTGATTTTTAATGTAATTTAAAATTTTTTAAAAATTTTACTTCAACACTGCCTGATCACTGCAAAAATGAATCTGAAAAAAATTAAATATATTTTGAGAATTCTGATTAAAAAATATTTTTAAAAAATTTACCGAAAAAAATTTCCATCATAATATTGGATTGGCGATGTTTGACGTAGAAAGTTTGGTTGGGTTTGTGCAAGATTTATATTTAAAAATAACCAAAAGATTAAAAAGAAATAATTTAAGAGCTTTTCTTTTACTTTTCATTTAAATGCTTCTTTACTTATTCATCGTCAATATTTGAATTATGCGAGGAAGTAATTTCTTCGATTGATGATTGTCTTGAAGAAGAAACTGGAGTTTCTGGTGATTCAACCAAAGCAATTGTAACAGCCGAGAGAAATGCCGGAATTGATTGATAACGAATCTAAAAGTTTAAAAAATATTAAGAAGATAAGACAGTGGACAAAAATCTCTAAAATAGAGGGGGGGGGGTAAGGCTTAATGTTAGCACTGGGCAGGATCCTGCGACACCTTGGCCAGTGAACTGCTTTCACCTTCCCTTTTAATAAAACCCCAGCCTAATAATCATTTTTATACAGCCATTATCCCTTGTTCCTTACAATTTAGGATTGTCAGTTTCACCAGATTCCTCAGTTAATCGAAACCGGACCAAAAATTCTGGGTTTTCGGTTAGGTTTGAAAACAACAATCCTACGTACAAAGTATTTTATAGTGGTGCAAGGAGCCCCTTGGTTACGCCTATTATAATTCTAAAAATTGTGGACAGTTTATCCCATTTTTAAATATTAAAAAAAATAAAAATTCCAAACCAAATAATTCTCCAAAACATCCTTCCATTGTCGAGCACTTTCACTATCCAAAAGATCAATACCTGCACCAGTTGTTATTTGTGTACTACTAGTACATTCAACATCTAATGGAATTTGTTGTTTTTGAAAAAGAAAAGTGCAATCTTTTGAAAGAATATTTTCAGCTTCACAAAAACCATCTTCTCCAAAACGAATATCATAACCACACAAAAGTTTAACAAATTCTTTGTATTGAGCCAAATATTCAGAATTACTTTGTTCATTTTGTTCAACCAAAGTTTTGACATTTGCTAATTGAAGACGAAGTTCACGAATTGTAGAAGGATCTTCTTCGTTTTCTTCTTCTTCAACCAAAAATGTTAAATCCGAATTATTTGCAGGTTGTGAAGAATCAATATCGTCTTCCTTTAATAAAAATGATAAGAAAAGGTTTTGAATTTCTTACAAGATTCAAAACGATTTCTTTTCTTACAATTACATATGAAAAATCGACTTGAATGACAAAAATCGACTCCCTTATTGTTTTTGCCTCTAGAAAAACATGTAACTGGAGATCAAACGGAGTTATCGTACGAGATACCCCGAAAAATCCCGATCTTGATAATAAGATTTTTGTGGGAGATCTTATAGGTCCGAACTCCAGTCTCCACTCGTAACTACTACAGTCATCGACATAAAGATAGGGGCAAGTGTAAATGAAATGAAAATTGACTATTTTTCAGTCAAAAAATACGTTCTATATAGCAATCGAAAGCTCTATTCGTATCTCAGGTGACATGTTTCTGCATTTTTCATAAAAATTAAAATTGGCCGAGATAATCCGGATCTACCGGATATACCAAATCCCATTTTCTCGTAAAAATTTTTCGGAACAAATTTAATAAACCCAATTGATAAAGCATATTTTTCTGAGTATTTTCCACAAAACCGCTTAGAAATATCTTTTTCCGGTCCAGAGATATGATTTTTTGAAAATGGCATTTTTCGCTTAAAAATTGAATTTTTTGCAAAAATAGACGAAAAATGCCATTTTCAAAAAATCATATCTCTGGACCGGAAAAAGATATTTTTAAGCGGTTTTGTGGGAAATACTCAGAAAAATATGCTTTATCAAATGTGTTTGTTAAATTTTTTCCGAAAAATTTTTCCGAGATTATGGGATTTGGTATATCCGGTAGATCCGGATTATCTCGGCCAATTTTAATTTTTATGAAAAATGCAGAAACATGTCAACTGAGATACGAATAGAGCTTTCGATTGCTATATAGAACGTATTTTTTGACTGAAAAATAGTCAATTTTCATTTCATTTACACTTGCCCCTATCTTTATGTCGATGACTGTATTTATGTCCAAAAAGAAAAAGATTATTAGAGTATTTGAGTTTTGTCACCAAAAATTGAACAAAAAATTCAGTCCTAACCAGTCAAATCTCGGAAATAAAAAAAAATAAACTAACCATTTTGCGTCTCTTCAAAGAATTAACACCAAACTTCGCAGCAGCAGTAGCTTCAGCAGCTACTTGTTTAACTACATGGTCGTCATGTGCTTCATCCAAAGGATTGCGTTGAACAAAACGACAAATTCTTGTTGTATCAGAACCTTTCTCCTAAAAATTAAAAAAAATCAAAAATTCTAAAAAAATAAAAACAAACATATTCTTCAAGTTTGCTTCGAAGTTGTGCCATTTCCTTTTCATATTTCTGCTTAAAAATTTTGGCAATACGTCGAGATTCTGCCAAACTTAAACCTTCCCTTTGATCTTCTAAAATCTTTAATCTTTTTGTTAAATTCTCATTTCTAAAATTTTTAAAGGAAATTATTTTTTAAATAAATTTTCAAAAATACTTTAATCTAAGTTGTTCTTCTCCACCAGAAAATGCTGATTTAAATTGCTCTTGTTCGTCAAGTAATTTTTGATTTTGTCGAACAAGTATTGAAAGTTGCAATTTTAAGTCATCTTTTTGTTCTTCCAACAATTCTACATTTTTAGCACGATCACTGGAAAAATTTTTAATGGAAATAGAAACAGACATGCTGTAATTAATCCACAGAATATTTGGGGAAAAATCTTCTAAAATTAAAATTACCCAAAAATAATCAATTGTTCACGCATTTGTGCATTCTGAATTTCAAGTTGCTCAATTTGCCGTTCACAGTCAAGAAGTCGCAGTTCATTAGCAGACATTCCCTCACTAGAATTTTGCGGAGGCAACGGCTTTGCAAATTTGTTTTCCTCCAAAGGAGTTCCTTCAGTTTGTGTGGATATACCTAGAAAAATAATTTAAAAATATTTTTAAAATTTTTTACAGTGAAATCTTGGTCGATATTCTGAAGCTGTTATTCCCTCAATATTTTCAATATTTCCTGGATAGTTGATAATTGATCCATTTGAGAGTGAAGCGACCATATCTAAATTTAAAAATCTCAAAATAAAAATCAAAAAAAATCTCAAACCATCAGTAACCATTTCTGGAGCAATTCCTCTATAAGCAAAATAAATCTTCAAAAGAAAATATATTAATTAAAAAAAATAAAAACAAACTCTATAACGATTTGCTTCTGTCCATCCACCAATTTCTTTCAAAATAACCTTCATTTCATTCAATTGCTTATCAGCAAATTCCGTCCAAGTTTTGTATTTTGACAAAGCATTTCGATAATCGCTTAGAAGTAACTTCTCTTTTGACTGAAATTTTTAATTTTTTAGTTTAACATTTACAACAAAAAATATCAGATGAAATTTAGGCTACGGAGTAAGAGAGCCTAAGTTTAGGCAGCGGTTAGGAATCGAACTATGTCTAGCCGGCATCAATTTCTAGATGTTTTGCGCTTATAGTGTTTTCCTAGCTAATTTTAATTTGCTTCTACAAATTTTAAACCCTTCGACTAAAAATAAATTTTAAGAAATAGACAGAAAGATTTCCCTTCCTTATACTTGAAAATTAAATTTGCTCATTGTTGTGTATGGGCGTTAGCCCTATCCTCATTAAAGCTAAGACTTTTTTTTGTTTCCTTATTTTCAATCAGTTCAATTGATTATACAAAGTCCCTTCATCGTCTAAAACTAGATTGCCGCTCTCATATCTCAAAAACTTTAATCAAATTCCACTAACCTTGTCTTCACTAAAATCAAAACTTTTTCGTTTTCCTTTATCAATTTCCATTTTTAATTCGTTCAATTGAATATTTAATTCATCAATTTTTGCCTTAGAAGTATTCTCAACAGCTTTTAATCGCTCAATTTCTTCATTTTTAGAATTCAACTTTCGGTGAAGAGAATCAATTTCCTCTTTAGCTTCAATTAATTTAACATTTAAAGAATTGTCTGTACCTAAAAATTAATTAAAATTAAATTATTTAATTCAAAAAACAAACTTTGTGTAATCCGTTTAAGTTCGTTTGGAGTTGATGTATATCTACTAGAATGATGACTTCCACCAATAAATCGTCCAAAATCCCGTTGAAATCGACGTTCAACTTTTTGAGAAAAAATCCTTGAAATATCCTGATCTTCTGAAGACATTGATCCAAATTTTGTTTAAAAATTGTTCTAAAAATTTGCCAAAAAATAATTTTATAAGGAGAATGCAAGCTTTACTTGACGCCAAAATAGCCAACAAAATTTCAAAAATAATTAAAAGCCAATAAACAGCATAAAAGATAAAAACATTATTGGTCAAAAAAATTTTATCAAAACAAATTTCCAGTCACAAAAAAAAAATCGGGTAAAAATCCAGTCGCAAAAAAAATTTCCTAATACATTTTACGTCAATCATATAAACAAATAATTTAATGCAATAATATTTTCATCGGAGACCATTTAATTCTATTTTTTGTTTAAATTCATATCTAACGCTTCTTGAAATTGACTTTAGAAGTTGATGGGGTAGCGAATTGACATTGATAGAGACCAACACCGGGAGTCGCTTTAAAGAAAAAATTTAAATATTTATTAGAATGAATCATTTAATGTTTCGATAGTCCTACTGGTTCACGTAACACTTTTTATACTACTCACACAAGGATACGTGTCGAGTGTCCAGTGTTTTGTTCCGTGCATTTTTAATTGAGTGTAGGAAGGGCACTCAACACTTTAAAAAATACCCAACAAAAACACTCGACACGGATGTCTATGAGGGAGCGCACCCTTAGAAGTTTTCAATAATTTCCAGATTGTTATACCGTTCTATAAAAAACACCCCGTTTCTCCCCGGAAAATTGTCCTCATGAAGACCCTGGTGTTTTAAATTAAAACTTACGATCAGACATTGGCGAACTCCATTGGGATGAGGAAGCACGACGTGGTGGATAATTCTTTTTATATCCCTTAAACAATTCCTGAGCTGTAGGCTGTTGGATTCTTCCAAAATGACGCTCAATTTGATCTTTAGTTAGCAAACGATGAATGTTTTGTGTACGCGCCAAAATATTTTCTTCTAAAAATTTTTTCAATTAAAAATAAAAAATATTTGTATACTCAATGCCCATTTTGGAACAATCTTTCTTGGCTGCTCATCATTATCAGTTTCATCACCAGATGACAAATCATCCACATTGTAGTCGTTTTCAGTACTTGGCAAGAATACTTTCTCTTTTGTCATATCATACATACTAAACGGCAAAAATAATTTTTTAAAAAATTGTTAAAAATTCAACCTAATTTGCTCCAAATCAATGCCAGTCATATCATCACGTTCATCCTCCAAATGTTCTTCTGACATAAACTCGTTCTCAATAATTTTTGTATTTTCTTTTTCGTCCAGATAAAATTCCTTAACAGCAACAGTCTTTGTGGCAACAACAGTAGATGAGGTTGGAGTATTTTTAGTTTGAACTGAACATTCTTCTTCCAATGTAAATTGAGGAATTGGTGTTTTAGTGAACTTCCTAAAGTTAAAATGGATTAATTTCAAAAAATATTTTAAAGAGATTATGGTTTTCTGTAATGTCTAGATTTCACTAACAATAAATAGTAAAGGTTTAGAGACATGCATTAAGCTAACAAGAAAAGGTTGCGAGGTGTCCGACCTAAGAACGGTCGAGACCGGGCTCATTCGATAGTGAATTTGCCCTTTCTAGCAAGGATTTTATGCCGTTTTTGCCCTTTTTTGACTGGCCAAGATATGGCCCTCCAAAGTCCCAAAAGTTGACATAATTTTTCCTCTCTAATATTTTCCCCGTTTTAAGAAAATTGATACTTGTCCTCAGTCCGAAACAACCCCGACTATTCCCTCATTAGTTCATCCACTTTTTCAAAAACTAACCAAAATATCTAATAAAAATTTTATTTACTTGATAGCAGAACTATGTGCTTGATGAGCTTCTTTTGATTTAACCTCAGTTGCAGGAATACTCTTCACATTAGGCGTTTTATATATCTTCTTACTTTGCGCACTCAAAGGTTGAAACATTCGACTTTGAATGACCGGACTGGCATAATTTTGAAATCCAGCCTGTTTTTCCTTGTTTTGGAATTCCTTAACAGCCTCCAAATGTTTTCGCAAAATATTCTCGCGTTCAAGCCTAGCCTCTTCCTTCTTTCTATTATTTTGTTCGACTCGTCTCTCACGCTCCTCCCGCTCTCTGCAAAATAAAAAAAAATAAAAAAAAAGGAAAAACCCAAAGAAAACCTTTTTGCCCGATCAGCCTTTTCTCTCAATAAGTCCTCACGCGCCCTTTTTGCCTGATCAGCCTTTTCGTCGATTTGCTTCAATTTTTGAACCTTCTGAAATGTTGTGTTGAGAGCCGCCGGCGTTTTCGCTGGGGTCTTCGTTGGAATCAATGGTTGAGTCTTCTTAGGAGTAGCGAAAGTATTCTAAAAAATTTTATTAATTTAATAAATTTTAATAAAATTCTTTACTTGAGTGAGACGAATTATTGGTGGCATTTGAATTGGTTGTGTAGGCTTGACTATCTCCTTTGTAATGGCCAATTTACTTATTGAACCAACAGCAGGTTTAGAGTTGCTAACGCTTCCATGTGGAGTGCCCAGCATCTTCAACTTTTTTGGCTACAATTTTATAAAAATATGGATTGAAAGTTGATACCTTTGGACTGTATGGAGTAATTGGAGTTAACAAAACTCCGGCAGATGAAGTATTGACAGGAACGCGAGACGCAAAAGGAGTTTCTGGCACGTATAAAATTTCCTTTTCTTGCTTCACAAAAGATTCCGGGTCATTTGGAGGAGCCTCCTCCAAAACTCCAGCAGAAGTATTGATAGGAGGCGCTTCCTCCATCTGTTCTTGTGAAGGCTCTTCTTCCATTTCTTCTTCATTAACAGGATGTTGTTCTTCAAGAATATGTCCTTCTACAGTTAGATCAGTTGGAGGCTCTTTCTCCGCCTGTTCTTCTTCATTCTCTTTCAAATGCTCAGGCTGATCCAAAAGTGTCGTTTCGTCCATATCGTCATCATCCGAATCAAAATTCAATTGCTTGAATTTACTAATTTGTTCAAGCAGAGCAGTAGCAGGCTTGGCCCTTCGTGGCGTTTGCAAAGCCTTAAAAATACAAACAAATTATATAAAAAATATAAGGAAAAACCTTTTGATTGTCATAGTTTTCCCGCACAAAAGTTTTCAGCTCAGTCTTAACCTTCTGAAAATCATCCACTTTTTTCTCAAGAATCTTGCCAACTTTATCATAAAAGATCTTCCCCATCAATTTGTCATAACTCGACCAGTTGACAAGACTGGCAGCAAGTTTCAGGTCCTCAATCTTTTTGGCGTCCTCATCATTCTCTATTTTTTCATTTGTTTTTGAAGGCTTCTTGCATGCAGATCTAGTTCTATATTGTCTGCTGCTTGTTGGCTTTACCTTCTTAGCTTTTATTGTTGCTGGCATTTTTTAATAAATACTTGAAATAACTATTTTAAAGTAAAAAAATTAGTTCAACGAATAATTAAAAGAAGAAACAAAAAAGGAAATAAACAAAATTTGGTATTCCCAAAAATTATTTAAAATTAAAAAATGTCAATCGATTAAAGTGCTTTTGTTAAAATTCATTGCTTAAAAATTAGTTACATTGATTGAAGCTGAAAAAACGAAACTAAACAAAAAACAAAAAATTTAAAAATCAAAATTTGGCGCGCAGTTAAAGTCTAACTGTCTGTCAACCTTTAATAACGTTCTCTCTAATTATTTCTGTTTTTCTTTTCCATACTCTCCTTATTTTAACGGTCTTTTCGTAAAATTTTCTTTCTTTTAAAGAATTTTTAAAAAATTTTATCTGATTCTTCGAAAACTTACAATTAGTTTTATAATCTAGGTCCTTTTGCTTCAAAGCTTTAATTAAATGCTACTCAAATTTAAACAAATTTGTGACATTGATGTTCTTCGTTTAAAGCCTATTTATTGCCGCCGATTTGCAAGTGGAGGAGGACACGGACATGGGGACGATGATGATGTAAAAATGGAAAAACAACCTGATCATTACCGGTTTTTTTAAACTTTTTTAAATTTAAATTTATTATTTTAAGACCTGGAACTGATACTTTTGCTTATGAAAATCCATGGCCAAAATTAAACAAAGGCAGGCTTGACTGGTAAATTAATTTGGAACTTTATGCAAAAAGTTTTTATAGAAAATTTATTTTAAAATTTATTGCTTTAATTCCCGTAATTTTTTGATGAAATTAAATGGGTAATTCTTCGGTTGACGAACCCCCCCTTTTTTTTGTTCACCTGACCATTTTGAGCTTTTTTGCTTGACATATAATAATTTATATATTCGAAAGAGCTGTCCGAGCTGGGTAGATTGGTACTATGATCGGTTAGATTTGACTCAGCTCGAAGTTCTCTTTCGAATGTATATAAAAAATACATTGAAATTTCATAGAAAATGAAAAAAATAGAACGTAAAAAAAGGGTGGGCGTCAGCCGGAGAATTACCATTAAATGTTTTAGAAGCATTTAAATGTTGCCTAAACTTTCTAATTTTCTTTATATTTTCCCCTATATTTAATTCTTTCAATATTTACCTCAACATTTTTAGGCTTTTCAATGATGGATGGCGAAGGCCTTTACCTGCTGATCAAGGCGGTTATATGGTTATTCTTCCTTTAAAATTTAAATTTTCATTCATTCAATTTAAGCGTCGTTCCTGGATCTGGCGTGGACATGTTGCTTCAGACGAATACAAGGATTGGTTGCGATTCCATAAATATATGTTCATTCTTGGTACGTGTATCACTGTTTGGCTTGGCGTTTTTATTGGTTTATGGATGAAGCCTGACTGGTAAAATAATTTTTTTTAATTTTTCAGAATTTCTTTAAATTTAGGCCGGTGGGTAGAGACTGGGCTAGACGCGAAGCTCATTTAGAACTTACTCGTCGTGAACGTGCTGGCCTTCCTTTAGTCAGTCCTGACTTGATAGAACGTTCTCGTGTAGAAGCAAGCCTGCCTTCTGAGGAAGAACTTCGAGATTTTGATATTCTTATTTAGATGTGAAAGTTTTGGTTATCTAGATTTTGTTTTGAATTTTGTTTTTTGTAAAATTTTAAATGGAATTTTTTTAATCATTAGAAATTTTTTTTTATTTCAAAAGATTTCTTTACCTAAATATTTAAACAATTATTTTTTAAAAATTATTTTTTTTGAAAATTAAAGTTTATATCAATGTTGGGTGATGATCAACGTCCGTCCACATCTTTGGCTACGGATGGACGAGGGATGGTCAAAGAATGGGTGATTTCTAACAAATATTTAGATAATATGAAAAATAGATTTGAGGTTTTTTAAATTTTTTAAAATTATTTTTGTGGTTTTTAATCATGTTTATTTGAAGAGAAATCTTTCGGTATTTAAAAAGATTGTTAGGTGTGTAGTGTATAAGATTTGTAATCTTAGAGCACTTAATGTGGTGAACGCAGTTTGGTGATCCGTCAAATAACTATAAAAATACAATACTTGTGGTTTCCGGATTAATTGGGATAGTAATTAGTTTTCAAATTCAATTTTTGGAATTCGTTCCTTTAAATATTCTTTTAACTATCAACTCCAGTATATCAAAAAAATTCCAACAAAATTTCTATCATTTAATTGATTGTTAACTTGTCTGACTCATGCCCGTAGCCAGGAGGAATCGAATTTTCCCCCCTTGACCCCTCGAAAAAAATCCTGGCTACAGGCCCGGTCTGACTTTGCTTTTATCCAATAATGTCCTCCCATTTTCTATAATTAAAGAATATTTATAGTTAATTACCCAACGTTTTCAAAAAACATTGCAACCACTTAATGCAGTTAGTGATTATATTTTACGGTGGGAGCCGATTAACAGACGATTAGAAAATGTAAGAGAAGGGTGGAAACGAGTAAAGGTTTTTTTGTTTTCTTTTTAATTTTTAAATAATTTTTTGAAAATTTTTTAGAATATTTATTATCAAGAAAATCCCCATTCTTTTGAGTGGGAGGTGCTTTCAAAAACTTTTTATACCTGCTTTGTAACGGGTGTAATTATTGGTGGTACTGACACAGTTAAGAAATCTATAGACCGTTTTGAACTTTACAGGGCTGGAAAAGAGTTTGGCACTGTTGGACATTTAATGGTTTATTTTAAATATTTCTTTTTGGGAAAAGGAAGTGGGATTGAGAGGCAAAAAATAGAACTTTTTTAGTTTTTGGGAGCAGATTGTGAGGGGGAACTTGGCAATTTTGATCCTGGCAAACATTACTTCCAAATAAGGCTATTTTAAAATAGGTTCAAAAATGTCGAAAATTTCTAGTTAAGCAAGTCCCAACTTCTTGGCGATAAATTAAATTGGTAATATTGAACCTGACAGACCCCATTTTTTCCTCTCCAAGTTTCTTCCTATATATTTGCAGAATGATCAGACTTCTTCCTTCTTCCATCCGAATTTTCCTTTCTTCCATCAAGGGGAAATAAAAGTTAATTCCTTTTGATTTTTTTAGAAAAATATAGAAAGGAAATTGGGATGGAAGAAAGGAAAAAGTCTGACCATTCTCTACATAAATATAGGAAAGAACTTGGGAAGGAAAAAGGGGGTCTGTCAGGTTCAGTATTACCATTAAATTGCTTGATCGGAACTTGGTTTCATGGCACGAACGTACAAGTTGATTTAGATTTTTAGACCGTTCTCTTCCAAAAATATTTTTGGTCATTTCCTCCAACCCTTCCCCTTCCTCCCAATGATTTTCCCCTAAAATCTTTTAATTTATATTTCAGCAACGCAAAATGGACTTTGTAATGACTCAATTTTATATGAAAGGAGCGATAAAAGGATTTAAATTGGCTGCTTATATGTGTTCTATTGTGTTAGTTTTTTTTATTTTTTTTTTCAATTTTTGAATTTAATTATAGTTTTATAACTGTTGGAATTACTTGTTATCGTGATCGTTATTCAATTTTATATGTTCCAATAACTACAAGTTTTTTTAAATTATTTTATTTAAAAAATTTATTTTTTAATTTTTTAGCTTCCGTTTTTTCATTTTTTGCCTTTATTCGAGGTGTTGGAATTAGCGGACTTGCTGTGGCATTTTTTCTTTCTCTTATGCCCTCGTATGAATTTTTTCTTCTAAAATGATTTTTAATTTCTTACATAATATGGATAGAGGAATCCTCTCAATTAATTTAATTTTGATATTTTGTTAAATTAGAAAGAAAAGTTTTAAAAATTGGTAGTTGTAAAAAACAAAGAAATTTAATATGTTAATTTTAAACTTTTTTTAAAAAGAGAAATGGAGACATCTATCGAAATGAACTACAAAAACCCTCTACAAAAAATAAGAATTAATCTGTCTGTTTTTCACTAGAGATCGGTCTGTTTTTCACTAGAGATCGGTCTGTTTTTCACTAGAGATCGGCCTGGGTCTGGACCAAGGCATAGGGTTTTCCTGTGCCCAGAGTTCAGGCCCAGACATTTTTTGATCTTCCAGGGGTTCTCTTGGACTACAGGTCCAGGATCCGGCCCAGGTCAATAAATCAAACCCAAAAACAGGCTCAGGCTTCAAAAATACCGATCTCTATTATCCACAATCTTAATTTTTTACAAAAATATAAGGATAAAATTTTAAGATTTTTTAATTCTTCGTTTTAGTACCAGGGATGATAAGGTTTTTCTAAAGAAGGAGGAGAGAGAGAGAGACTTCCTCTTAAATTAAGGTTGTGAAGAAAACATACAGATTAATTCTTATTTTTTATAGAGGCTTTTTGTAGTTCCTTTCGATAGATTTCTCCATTCCTCTTTTTTATAGGAACCAAAAAATAATAAGATATACCCAAAAAGAGTTTCCTTTCCTTGAAAAAAAATTAAATTAGCCTCTAAATGGCCACTAAAAATTAATTTTTCTTAAAAAATATTTTTGTTTTCTAAACAGTTTTTTGTTAACAACAGCAACAATTGGAGCTAGTTTTTATTATAAATGTTCTACAGATGAAGTATATAAAAATTTGAGACAAAAATATTTAATAGAAGCAAAAAAAGAAATTGATGATGATAATGAATTGCTTCGATATACTCAATCTAAAGGAAGAAAACCGGGCTTTAAACCTTGGGACCGCTACAAAATGAATTTAGATAAAGATATGAATGAATTTAAAAGAAAAATAACTTTGAATGATGAAGAAGAATTGTTGAAATTTGGAGGAAAAGATGAAGAATAGAACAAATTAAATTTTTTGTTGGGTGATTTTTGTTGTTTATTTCGAGGTAACTAGTGGGAAATGGACTAGCTGGATGATTAATTTTAGTGCCAAGTAGAAATTGATTCATTAAACGTTAGTTTAAACACAAGCAAATTTAACTTACAATTTTGAATGGAAATGTAGCTTGGACCCCTACACGTTTTCTCATACTTGGGACTAGAGATCGGACCGAGACGAGATCTCGAAAGAAAATCTCGGCTATATCGAGATCAATATTTTTCGAGATCTCGATTCTCTTACGGCAAATTTTCTGGGTGAGATTTTTCGAGATCTCTCGACCTCAACCTCCTAGTCTACTTGGGACTTCCACCACCTTTTAGAAATAAATTTCAGAAAACTCGATAAAAACTGTCACTGAATACAAAACCCCACACAATTTAGGAATAAAAAGAAATATTTTTTCAGTTTATTTTGTTATATTTAGAGTCAATTGTTTTTTTACCTTTAAAATAAAATTTAAAAAAACAAAATATTTATTCACTTCAAAAAGAAATATATAGAAAATACAAAAGACCAAAATTAAAAATGATAATAAAAAGTTTTGGTCATTAAAAAATGGAGAGAAGGGAAGGGAAAATATTGTTGAGGTCTTCAAAAAATTGTTGTAATAATAATTAAAGAGCAAACAATTTTAAAAATAATTCATATGTTTTCTTAGCTTTATTGGCCGAATCTAAGAGTTTTCTATCTTCAAAATTTAATTTTAAAGTTATGAGGCGATATATAAATAATGAGATGATAAACGCGAAAAAATGAGACAATCGAGTGAAAAAAGCAAAAAAGATAAACCGAGAAAATTTTTTTAGGAAAATACAAAACGTTGACAAACTTTCTTTAATGAAACCTTAAAAACTCTTAGGTAATTTTAGGTTTATTATAGAAAGTGAACTTGGTAAAAATACAGTCAAAATTCTGTGGTACACAGTTCTCAGGGGAAGAGGATTTATCTCAAAATCCTTGCTGAAAGGGCACATTCTCTATCGAATGAGCCCGATCTCGACCGTTTTTAGGTCGGACACCTTGTTAGCCTAATGCATGTCTTAAACCCCTACCAAGCCACGTAGCACTGAACAAAACAGAAGTCTGACTGTATATAATTGACCAAAAGTTTTTTAGCTCAAAAATCTTTAAATAATTTTTTGGCAAATAGAATCAGATTTGAGAACAAAAAAATTGTTTGGCATTTAAAGAAATGTTTAAAAAATTATTGGCTCATTTTTCGTCTTTGTTCATGTTCAGCTGCCGCTGCCGAACTTAACAACCTTAGAGGGTCATAACCATTTGAATGATTATCATTAATTAAATTGACTTCTTTTTTTAATTCTTCTCTTAATTCTTCTTTTATTTCAACATTTTTCCCTTCCTTTTCTTCTAATAAATAATGCTGCTCTTCTTCCCCCATAACATCAACTTCACTTTCAGGAGCAGAAAGTGGGCGAGGAGGCCTTTCATCTTCATCTATAATTAATTCCCCATTTTCTTCATAATCTTCCTCCCCCTCCTCTTCCTCCTCGTGCATTGGAAAGTCTATAGCAGAAAGTGGACTTGTAGTGCCTAAAATAAAGCATGATGAAAGTAGTTTCGGGAAGTTACTGTTCCGGAACTACCTCCAAGAATTTTAGAAGTACAGTCGGATACACCCAATATTAGATAACCTCGAACTAAGGATATTTTCAAGAATTTGGTTGGCTATTGGGGAGGAGTGAAGAGAGCTATTCTAAGTGGCACCCCTATTTATGAAACGTTTCATTATTAGCCACAAGGGTGTATATGGGGTTCGACTTTTCAGAATTTTCCTCAAATTTCAGAATTTCCATAAATTCTACCTGTAGAAGAGAAAGGAGCACCACCAAATGAAAGAATCAAATTTCTATGTCCTCCCCCTCCTTCACCCTCACTCTCCTCTTTTAAAGTAGTTGACGTGCTGTGGATTAACCTAGCAGGAGTACTCGCACAACTTTCCATCATTTCATGCTTTATTTGTTGTGACAACATTGTTGTGTTGTCAATTTGATCATCATCCCCTCCTTCCTTTCCTTGACAGAACAAATAATTTCCAGAATGATGACCACCCAAGGATGTGTTGAAATGACTTGTACTTGCAACACTTCGAAGACCGGCAGTTGTAGCACGTACATTGGAGGAAGAATGCTTTGGGGCACTTCGGGAAGAAGAGCTTCGTTGTGGCCGTCGTTTGTAGAACTCGCTGTCATCAACAGTCCAAACAGCTCCTTTAACATTCTGTTCGACACGAGTAAAACCTTTAAAAGAAAAAAGATTAAGCAAAAAACTTCATCTTTCTCACATTTATGAAGCGACAAATTATGCCTAACAGCATTTTTCCAAGTAGCAGCATTCCTTCGGAAATAAACAAAAGCTTCTTGAAACCATTGATAAATTTCATTAAGTGTCAGCTGACAATCTTTTGATTCCATTATTGCTTGCCTAAATAATAATTTTATAAAAATATTTTGGACACGGATTAATCCAAAATTGGCAATTTAGCATCTTTTCTTCTTCTGACCCTTTTAAAGTATTTCCAGTTCTGACCATTTTACAACTAATTTCTTACCCTCAGGCAATCTTTTCTTTTACTTATACTTTCCAGGACTCAGATCAAAGAGATAAACCACACAAAACCCACCTAATCAACGACGCATAAGTATAAGGCGGCCTAACATCATGAGTTCTATAAAATTCCCTATTTTTGGCCATATCGCTAGCTAAAGGCAAAGAACGTTCTGTTGTTATTCTCCTTCTACTAGCACCACTACTCGAACTATTTATTGAAGGAATATTTGTTGTTGTTGTTGAAGTTGTAGTTATGGACGTTGTATTTTTATCAAAAGAAGCACTTTGAGTTGGGGAAGAATAATCTGTTGAGGAAAGTATTGATGAACAACGAGCAGCCATTGAAGCAATAACATTTTCATTTTTGTTAAGAGATTCTGAGGTTGATGGTAAACAAGTTGTTGTTTGGTTTTGTTGTTGTAAATTGATTTGTGATGTGGAAATAGTTGGTGTTAATGGTGGTAACTAAAAAGGGAAAATTAAAATATTTTTTGATTGTTCCAGAAAATGTCTTGCAATAGAAAATACAGCAAAAAGTTAAAAAACTTCCCACCTTTCAAATTATCGTTTCTATCGCATGTTGCGCGCGATTTCTATGAAAGCATAGCTGTGGTGGGCGCTCCGGAGGTTCCGGATTCGAAAAAGATATCCGGTGTCTCGGTTCAGATATGTTCCGATTTCTCAGATTCCGCCGAGAGATTCAGATTCCTATGCTAAACTTAGCATTAAACAATAAATGTTCCCTCGTCCGGAATCTCTCTTAAATAAACGTGCAATATCGTAAACACTCCCCTATTCGGAAATAACATAAAGGAACATTTTATCCTTGTCCACAAAAGGTTAAAGTTCCGTATCAGAATTGTATTTCCTGAAAAGTTTTTTAACTTACATTATAAGTAGCAGAATTTCCTTCAGATTTTTGTTGAGAAATTGGAGGTGAAAATGCTTGTTCCAAAAAGGGAATATTGGCAACTGATGCAATTAGAGGTGCTACTTCTGAAGGTTTGGTACAAGATGTTAATGATGGGAGAGAACCAGAATTGGTGAATTTAAAGTCTAAAAAATTGTTAGATTAATTAATATTTTTTAAAAGTTATTTTTTGATATTAGGTGTATCTTAATATCCTCAAAAATTCATCCAGATCTTACAGATAAAACACTATTAAAATTGAATTTATCGGGTAAGATTACTATCATTGATATCTAAAGTCTAATTTAAAGACAGGATAGAATTTAGAAATCGGAAACATTAGTTTAATCAATTTTTGAAAAGATTTTTAAACTGAAAATTAAATCGGCCACCGGATTGACACTAGAGATCGTTATTTTCAAAAATCCTAGATCTGGACTCTGGATCCAGGAAAAATCCAAATCCAGACCGATCTCTAATCGACACAGATTCAAAGAATTTTTGAATGTAAAAGTGGAAGTTAAAATACCAAAAAACTTTTTTTTCTAAGTTCCTTATCCCATTCAAAAAAATAATATTATTAATCAACAAAAAATTTTTTAACCGACCCACAGTTTGTTGAATTTGTTGTGTATTATTAACAGAATTATTATTTGCTGCTGCAGCATTTAAAAGTGCTGAAAAAGGTGTTGTTGAAGTATTTGTTGATGTAAAAAAGTTATTATTAGATTGGGATGTTTGTGAAGGTAAAGGAGGTTGTTGTTGCTGTTCTTCTTTAATTGAGGATGCTAAAAGTACTGCTAAGGCTGTAGCTGCCGATTGTTGAGGAATTGATGTAGATGATGATGAAGAGGAGGAGGAAGGTAATTTATGAGAAGTAAATTGATGAGGTGATGAAGAAAGTTTTTGAGAATCTTCTAATGAATTAAGTAGATTCTGAAAGAAAAAATTAATAAATTATGAGTCGAGCTGAAGATGTTTTTAGACCGAATAAAAGGTTTTTTGGACTGAGTTCAAAGTCCGGTTCAGGATTCACAAAGAATACACAGAACTGACAAGCCTAGTTGTGAGGTATTTCGATTAATTACCCCTCCTAAATAGAGTTATGTTAACAAATAATTACTTAAATTAATTATTCGAGAAAATAGGGTAACTAGAATTAATATTAGAAAAAGGTGTTGTCCTTTTAAAAAACAGCTATTAAATAGAATTTGGAATAGATAGGCGCGAAGCTACTTATGGGTGAAATAGATGCAACAATACAATTCCAAACTAAAACTAGAACACCAATCTTGATTTAAAAATTAACTTAAAAAAGGTTTTTTTTAGAAAATATTCCATTTAAAAAATAAACTTTTCCTTCTCACCTCCTTTAATTGTAATCCTTCTGTTGATGGCAAATGCTGAAGTAATTGTTGTTGATTAAGATGTTCTTCATAAATTTTTTGTTGAGTAATTGAATTTAGAATGTTTTGTTGTTGTTGTTGATATTCTTGTTCTAAATTATTTTCTCTTTTACTATTTGTTTGTTGTGTTGAAATACTTGTTGTTGTTGTTGCAGTAGTAGAAGAAGAAAGAGAAGAATGGGAAGAACAAGTTTGTTGTTGTTGTTGTGTTTCCTGTACTTGTTGAAAATGTGTAATCATTGCTTGAAGTCGAGAACGTTCGTTTGTTAATTTCCTTTCTAAATTGTCTACAAGCTCGATTTGGGCTCGACATTGACGAACAGAATTTTCGTCTTGAACGTGAGATTGAGTTAAGTGGATGAGGAAAGCTTCGAGTGAATCGAATTTCTGAAAAGAAAATTTTTTTAATAAAGGTTTTGCTTAGTAAATGTGCGAGGATAGAACTGGATTTTGAAATGTTAATCTACTGATTTTGGTTAACTATATGATCGTTGAGTTTTGAATAATAAAACTCGGGTTTATTGTGATCAGGATAAAGTGGAAATATCAATGATCTTGCCATTAATCAAAAAATATTGAGATTGAAAAAATGAATGTGAGTTTCTTGTACTTGTTGAAAATGACATAAGGAGCAGGCTAATGTACCGCAGAGCTTCGTTCAAAGTAGTCAAATCCGAAAACGCCTTGATATGGTTGAATGAATCGAAACATGCCAAGCGCACCGGATTCGCCCATTTGAACAGAGTTATAGCTCTGCTTACATTGGCCTCACGGTAAATTGGGATATACCCTTCGACATGTTTTGTCTCCTAAATAACTTAATCGAAAAGAAAAAAAATTAATTTCCAAGTTCATAGAAGATTTGAGATTATAAAAATACCCAAAAAATTCTCAAAAAATCAAAGCACCTGATTGCATTGAGACCACAAACAAATTCCTTGTTGATATAATGGATGGCTAGGAGAAAGAGGAAGAGCAGCAGCACTTGCAGCAGCTTGCAACAAAATACTTTCTAAAGGAAGTGAAGAGATTGGATTTGTTGTTGTTTGTTGTTGTTGTTGTGCAATTAAAGCAGCAGTTAAAGTATCCAAAGAATTTGGACTAATATTTGCTACAGCATTTAAAATTGAATGGGCATCGTTGGGTAATTGACATAAAGCTGTTGTTAATTGTTGCCAAATAGAAAGGGAAGAAGAAGGGCTTAAAGAGGGAGGAGGTAATTGTTGGTGGTGTTGGTTTGGGGTGGTTGTTGTTGTTGATGGTTGTTGGAATATTGTTGAAGATGAAAATGACTGGGCTAGACGCTCCTGTACTGCAAGTAGAAGTAATTGCTGCTCCAGCTAGAAAATAAAAAAAATTTAGAAACGAAATTAGAGATCAATTGATCTAAATAAATTGATCAAAAAATAAATGATCGGACAGTAAATATTTTCAAGTCGTTAAGTGATTGAAGCTAAACAAAACTCAAAAAATTAAAGCATCAAAGAATAAATGGTTAGAAACATTTTTGAATCTAATTTGAAAAAAAATAATTTCTTAAACAACAACACAGCTAATATTTGAGATAACTTTAGCCTAAATAATAGCTTTCAGCAAGCAGAACATCCCGGAAAAAGCTCTTCGAAGCAAATCAGAAATTTGCAGTTCTTAATTTCGCTTTAACATAAGATAAAAGGAGACTTCAGCAGTATTATTAGCAGTATTGGGTCATAAAGCGGAGTAATTTACTCAAAAATATGAAATGCTCGGATTCTGATTTCCATTAGAAAAAATTATTAAAATTTGGAATACAAACTTGAAATTTCAAATGATCAGAAAAAGTAAAGAGCAGGTGATTTGGGATAAGTGAGAGACCATAATACACCAATAAAGACCTTTTAGAGAGACCTAGAGAGAATTTTTAAAGAGTGACCATTTAGAAACCATTCAAACCCTTCTAAAACCCCTTCCCCCTTACACTAGAATTTGTTGTTGCTGTTGAAAAAGGTGGAGATGTTGTGGAAGGAGAAGTAAATTGTTGTGGTTGTTGTTGATCATTAGTATTTTGGCACTGTTGTTGAGAAGACATTTTTCTAATTTCTAAATTTTTCTGCAGATACAAGACCATTTACTAATTTTATAATAAAATACTAGCCAAAAACTAACAAACAAAATGCATACAAAAAATTAATTATTTTGTATAGCACTGAAAAATTAAATAAATAAAAAAATTGTTGAGAGCGCCAAAAAAATTTTTATGTTATGCAAAAACGCAAATTGTAAGGTTTTGGCGTTTGAGTGTGAGGAAAAATTAGTTTGGCGCACATTAAAAATTTACATTTGGCTAATAATTGGCCGTTTTAACTTCACTAAAATGTGTAAGTATGAAAATTCTCAGCAAATAAATCCTTTTTTGGATTATCTAAAACTTTGTTAAGTTTCAAAATCTCTATTCAAGGATTCCGAAAATTCTGATCAAAAAACCTAAGTTTAACAAGTTAAAATGTCATTATTGTTTGAGATATTTTTAAACAACCTTTGGAATTTCAAAAAAAAATTTTAAATTTGTAAGAGAGAGAGGATTCTTTACAGAATTTTACAGCTTTGGATAAATTATAAATAAATGCGCTCGTATGTATCTGTCGTCATTAAACCCTACAAAATGAGTCAAAAAACATCAAAAATGGAAAAGAAATTCAAAAAATTTGTTTTGAAATTAATAGAAAGTGATTTGGAAATAAAAAAGAAAAACAGAAAATAAAGGATTTATTTTTTTGGATCAAAAGAAAAAAAAATATTTTTAGCGTCATTTAAGGAAAAATACTTGTCACATGCTTTTTAATCAAAATACCCCTCAAAATACCCTCAAAAATAATATTTTTTTATTTTTAAAAAACAATTCCCCCTCATTTTCCCTCTCCTTTATTTTCTAATTATTTAAAAAAATATTTTTTTTTTATTTACACATTTTTTATGAAACATGCCAGACTTTTAAAAGGGGACAGTCTTTTAAATTTAATCCACAGTATGGCATAATTTGTGTTAAAAGCGGTGATGCACGTTCAAAAATAAAAATAATAACAAATAAAAAAAAGTGGTTGATAATCTTCAGACATTTACAGTAATAAATGAATTAAAAAATTAAAAAAAAAAGATTTTTTTAAAGGATTTGGGCGGTAAAGGATTTGGAGAAGGAAAAATACATTAGATTTGGAGGTTTAAATTTTGAACGTTTTTGAGGATAAAAAAAGATTATTTGCAAAAAAATTAATTAATTATTAGGGAGAGGAGAAAAAAAGTTTTAGGCTCAGGGCAAAATGAAGAAAGAGACCCTTAAGGAAACTTAAGTAGGACCAATGCCGAAGAACTAATTAAAAAAGTTCAGTATTTAGGTTGGGTTTCGAACGGGTTTTTTTCAAAAAAAGAATTATGGCACAAGACTTCAAACAAAGCCTAAGGACAGGATAAATAGACAAGAATCACAATGAGAAATTTTAGGAAACTTGAGTAAGATTAGAGACGAACTATTTAAAAAATTTCAGTACTTCGGTTCGATTCCGTATTAAGAATTATGACACAAGATTTCAAACAATGCCTAAGGACTTGATAAATATATATGTAGGAATCCTCCGATATCAAAAACTGAAGAACTAAATCAAAAAAATTTTCGCTACTTCGGTTCCGAACAAACAATCCTAATTAGGGTTGCAGTTTTCGGTTCGAGTTGACGTTCGGTGAATTTTTTCGAGTTTGGTTTTTTCGATTCGGTTCGTTTTCGAGCTGAAAAGCCTCGGCTCGCTTGATCTTTCGCGGTTCGGTTCGAGCGAGCTGGCAACCTTAATCTTAATCCTCGGACCGGTGTTTGAAAATTTAAAATTTACTTGTACTCGCATAGGCTTTTTCCCCTTGTACTCGCATAAAGGTAAGGGTAGGGGAATTTTGGTACCAGCTTCCAAACATTAGCTAGAACTGGACAAAAGAAAACACCCGGAAGGAAAAATTTTTTTAGAATTTATTTCCACCTTCCACCCCTTAAAAAATGTTCTCAATCAACCTAGAGGTATTTAAAAATACTTTTAAATCAACAACACACCAGACACAAATAAATACAGTAATTAAACTTAAATTGATTGATATGTTTTTGTTATTTATTTAAAAAAACAAAAATAATTGGGGGAGAAAAATCAAGAAAAACAAAAAAATAACATTTTTAAAGTGAAAAATAAAAAAAAATATGAGAGAAAGGTGAAGAAAAGGGGTTAAAAAAGGAAACACAAAACCGAGACTATTTATATTTTTATTTTACTCGCCAATTGCCAGCCTTCCCCCAAGCCTTCCCCCCCCTTTCCTTCGGACAGAAGCAAAAAAGAATGTAAACAATACAGTAAACAAGGGCGGTCATGACGGGATTGGTCCCATAAAGAATTTAAAAAATCAATTGATTTCAACACATTCCCCCCTTATTTTGTCCTTGTTTGTTAAATTGTTGATACAAAAAAAAATTGGAGAAAAAAGAAAGTTTTTTGCCTTAAAGGATAAACAAACTAGAGAAAACTTTTTTAAATAAACAAAAGAAAAAAAATGTTTTTAAATAAAGTTTTAAAAATTTTAAATAAAACTTGGAAAGAGAAACAAATAAACTTGGAGAGAGAAAGAAGGGAAGAGAGAGAAAAAGAAAAAAAGAGAAAATAAGCATTTTTAAGACAATAAAAATTAAAGTTTAAATAAACATTTTTTCTGAACATATTAAATAACCGTGATTATCAAACGATATAAGAAAGAAAATTAGAAAAATTTATTTATGAATGAAATTTAGCCTCAAAACCTTGAGGGTGGAAATCAGTAAGGGAATCGAAAAAATCGAAAAGAATGACGGGAATCTGTGCTTGGAAATCCCCTTTAAGAACTAAGAAATAAAAGAATAGAACAATACAACTACTGAATCCCAACCTTTAAAATTAATTTAAAAATCTTAAAATTCGGACAATCTAGTAATTTTGTTAATAATCGAACCTTTCCTTACCTTCCTATTCAAACCTAATGGATGCGTAGTAGAGATCGGCCTGGGTTTTTCCTGTACCCAGAGTCCAGGCCCAGGCATTTTTTTACCTTCCTAGGTTTTTCCTGGGCCTGGGTTTTACCAGGACTACGGGCCCATGATCTGGTCCAGGTCAATAAATCAAATCCAAAGTCCAGGAACAGGCCCAGACTTTTCAAAAATACCAATCTCTAATGTGTAGTCAAAATATTAACTTTTAAATTTCCCCAAAAAAATATGAAAAATAAAAAGAAATAAAATTAAAAAATAAAGAGAACATTTAAATATTTATTTATTTTTCATTAACAGAAGAAAAGGCGTTCCTTTCTTTTAAAAATTAATTTTTTTTTACTTTAAAAAACATATTTTTTTATTTCCTCCCCTTACTATTAAACAATAAACAACAAAATAAATAAATAAAAATAATAATTCGTAAGCACGCTACTATTAATTATTTAAAAAATTACAAACATCTGTTGATGTACTTACGCGCGTTGTCAATGAGCAAAGATTACGTTTTTAGAATTTTACATAAACTTTTATAAAATAAAATGTGTTATTAAGTAGATGTTTCGGCGCGGAGTTTTTACGGCGCGCGCTTGAAAATTAACACTTGCCAAAATCCTAAATTTTCAAAATTTTTATCAGATAACCCTTAGAGTGGTATCTAGCCCCTCTATAAATTTCAGAATTTCTGGTTTATGTGAACGAAAGTTATGGCCAAAAGTACATCAAAAATCAACAAAATATTCATAAATTAAATAATTCATTGACCATAACTTGCATGATATAAGACAAAAAAATCCAAAAATTTTAAACAGACTAGCTAGTACTTTAAAAAACACCCACAAAAAATTTCAACCCTCCTAGTCCCCTTTCAAAAATTTTTACAAAAGTTTGCGCCGTATCGTCCCCGCGCCGTAACATCCCTCCCAATTTTATGACGAACAAAACAGACACACAAATATTTTATATTTGTTTACATGCCATTTAGAAAGATTTGTGTATAAATAAGGATTTATATTTATTATTGCGCACTTTGAAAGCAAATCCTTTATACATTTCTTGGGAATATTAAAAAATAAAAAAAATGTTTGTGACTCAGAGAGGAGAAAATATTTGAAAATAAAAAATTAAAAAAAACAGCAGCCGCTTCAAGTACATATGGACTTTATACTTGGTGGAAAAATAAAAAGCCCTCAAGTTAAAAAAAACAAAATTTAAGAAAAACAAATTTTTAATATTTTGCAATTTTTGTTTTTTTCCAAAAAAACAAGGAAGGAAGAGGGGGAGGGGAAGGAGCTTTTGAATTTTTAGGGGGGTGGGGAAGGGGGGTCTTTGAATTTTTAAATAATTTTTCAAAGGGGGGGGGGGGTCAAAAAATAGGAAAAACTCAAAACAAAACAACTCAAACTTAACAACTTTGGATTTAATAAATAAACGACATAAGATAGCCAAAACTGGCCAAAAAATCTTTAAAAAACAAACAAAAAACAAAATCAAGTTTGAAAACAAAATCATATAATGGAGCTTCTACAAGGCTTTTATTTAAAAAATAGGGGCTGCTTATTAAACTTTTATTGGAGAGGGGGTTGTTTATTAGAGAGGGGTTGTTTATTAGAAAGGGGTTATTTATTAGAGAGGTCTATTAAAGTGAATGTTTAATTGGATAGGGTGTCTTATTATTTGAAAAAAAAATAAATTAATTTAAAAAACACCTGAGGACCAAGCCCAAGCAATTGGGCAGCCAAAGCGGGCTCAATACTTCCACCACCCAACATTGCTGCTAAAGCGTCAATTGTTGTTGTTGTATTAATTGATGTTGCTGCTGTAGACGAGGAATTAATTTGTTGTTGTTGTTGTTCTGATGTTGTTAAAGAATTTGTTTGTTGTTCATTATTTCTCTGTTGTTGTTGAGCCATTTTTAAAGGAAAAGCAATAATAGGAACATTCCTTTTCGATTTGAGCATTGACAAAGTGGAAAAAGCCTGCTAGAAATTAATTGTTTTTTTAAAGAATTTACGGAAAGGACAATTCACCAAAAAAGTTTTTGGAATTAACCAGAAAATTTAGAGGAAAAGGGGAAGTTGGGGGAGTTTCAAATAGTGTCTTGAACTGAAGAAGGAAATGAACTCTGCGACAAAAATTCTAGTTGCCAAAGGGGATCGGTACTTATTTAGTTTCCCACCCCCAGTCAGTTTTTCCGAAAATTATGTAAAAATGGTCAGTCTGAATAACAATTGTAGAAACCATCGAGCTGTGTCGAATGACACCAAAATCAACAAAATCCGACTTGATTTGACCGAAATACAGACCCCTGAAAATTGAACAACCATGGGGGTGATTTTTTGAAATAAAAAAAGTTTACACAAATGATAGCTCATTCGAAAGAGCTCGTCGAACTGAGTCGAATGACACCAAAATCAACGAAATCGGACAAGATTTGACAAAGTTATGACATTATTTAGACCTACCGGAGTCGACGATTTATGTCATATCTTTGTCAAATCAAGTCGGATTTCGTTGATTTTGGTCTCATTCGACACAGCTCGATTGGTTCTACAATTGTTGTTCAGACTGACCATTTTTACATAATTTTCGGAAAAACTGACTGGGGGTGGGAAACTAAATAAGTACCAGGGGATCTTGTTCAGAGATTTAGACGGGATCCCGTTATTAGATCATTCCTGGGGTCTATTCCACCAAACGACATTGACATTAAATGTCGATGTCACAAAATAATTTTAAAGTCGCTTTGTGGAGCAGAATCGCGATCGGAATGTCAGGCGATTGACAAAGGTCGCGACAGTTGATGTCAATGTCGCTTCATGGGTTAGGCCCCTGGAAATCCTGTAATTTTGTAAATACCGAAAACTAAAAAATCCAAAATTTTGGGAAGAAATTCCGTAAATACAATCATCCCCTACGATTATCTCTACAAAACTCTCCATCATTTTAAACATTTACTTCAATTCCGCAGAGGAAAATATTTTTCGGTGAATTTACTGTAGGGTGAATTGACCCCTATATTAAAAAGCCTTCAAAACTTGCCTAAAATGGACAAATAATTGTAGCCTAATTTGACTATTAATGTTTGTTGAGATCGTCTTTTCGTTGTTTTTATTTTTAAATTTAATTTTTAAGAATCTACTAAATTCCAAACATTTTTTAAATTAAAAAGGAGAGGGGTAAAAATTAATTTTTGTTTAAAAAAATGAAAAGCTTTTTAATTTAAAAATTAGAAAGGGAATCCTGAACGGTTAATATGCTTTTTAATATTAAATTTTAAAAGATTATTTTTAATTTTCATAAAAAATATGTAGGAGGAGAAAAGATTATTAAAAATAAAAAAAAACAAATTAAAATTTAATTGTAAAATTTCGTTCCAAAAGACATTAAATGTAACGGAAAGCGGTAAACTCTCGTATAATCAAAAAAAGATTTTAAAGGACATTAAAAGCCAATTAAACAACATATTGTAAAGCATATAGATATTTAATTCCTAGGGCTGTGCAGTAAGCGGCGTGGTGTAATGGATAAAAGAGCTGTCCATAACCGAAAATTTTCCAAGACTCAATACTCGAGACCAAGATCAAGACTACAACCCAAGATCAAGACCGAGAAAAACGCAAGAAAAGTCTTGACGCAAGACCGAGAGTCTTGGATAGCTCCGCTGGATAACAACATCGGTTCAGTCTATTGAAGATGCTGATTCGCTCTCAGCCCCGAATAAACATTTTGCACTAGCTGAAGCTCTGCTTTACTATTTAATAAAAGTTTAGTTCTTATCATGGTTCTTCAATGCCTGAACCCGTTGTTGAGATGAATGCAAGTTCCTGCGTCCCGTAGGAGGATAGAAGAAAAAACGAGAAAGAGAGACAAGTAAGAAATTTAAAAAATAAATAAAAATTCCTCAAAATATGTAAAAATCCAAAAATAATTTTATTTAGAAAGAGACTTTTAAATACGAGCAAAAAATCGAATAAATAGAAAATCTAAAAAGAAAATTTTTTTGGGTACAAAATATTCAATACTAGAGCTATTGAATTATATTTTTAAATAAAAAAAATTTTGTTATTATTAAAAATATTTTTGTGTGTTTACTAGTTATATGTACTTTAGATGACAAATAAATAAAAATAAAAATTTTTAGAAAAAGAACGCATGTATTGAGAGCGAGATATAAAATAAATAAATAAATATATATGATGTATTTATTTTGTTGTTGAGCGAGCGCTTTTTGAGAGAAAAATTGAGGGGGGAATGATTGTGTATATTTTTATTTGTTTTGTTTATTTTTGTTGAGTAGGGAAAGGCTTCTCTCTTTTTTTCTTTTTTTGCTTTCTTATTTGTAGACCACCCTATGACTAAAAAACCTAGAAGGGAGATGTGGGGGGAGATGTGGGACGTTGGACAAATGACAAACAAAAAACATTTTTATTTTTTACCTTGTCTTTTGATTGTTTTGTTTAGGTAAAATGTCAAACAACAAAAAAATCAAAAGGAGAAAGAAGGGTCCCCCTCACCCTCCCCCTCCCTCAACCGACCACAAAAAGTATTTTTTCCCCTTTATTCCTTCCGACAGAAAGGACTACTATAAAAGAACTTGTGAACGCCGGTGGTTGTTTACTAGCTAGAAAAGTGAGAAAGAATTAATTTGACTAAAGAAAAGTATAGAATTCGAACAGCGTAAAACAAAAAATGTGACAATAAATAAAAATATTTGTGTTTATTTATTTGAAGAGAAAATTGGTTAAACAACAAAAATATTTAAAGCTGAAGCAGGGCAAAGGGCGAAAGAATTTTGAGAAGAGAAAAAAAGAAAAGAGGAAAGGCTGTCAATTAATGACGAAAAGTGTGTGGGGAGAAAATAAATAAAATAAAAATGTAAACATTCCCCCGGCCCCTTACAATTCTTTTTCTCGATTAACTCGCTCATATATAAACAAACAACACAAATACACACACATTTCCGTCTCTCATTTTGTGTGTAGAGAAAAAGAGAAAAGAGAGAAATAGTGTGTATGTTTACCCAATTACCTCTTCTCGGGTACAGCCCAAGTAGGCGCACGGCCAAGTAGGCGCAAAGTCATAACTTGCTTCAAAATTTCCGAATCTTACCAAATTTGGTATTAAACGTTTCCTCTCATCAAGCTAAAGAGAATGGTACCAAAATTGTTAAGGTCCATAAATTTTTCAGGTAGTTATGGCTTTGCGCCTACTTGGCCGCGCGCCTACTTGGGCGAGCCCCCCCCCCCCTATTCTCTCTCTCCTCTTTTTATTTACTTTTATTTTACCCCTCCAAACAAAACACTGGACAAACAACAACAACCATAAAGAATAGAGGTCTCGTAAGCGAAATTAGAAAAGAGGGCATCCTTCTATCGAATAAAAATACACACGCCATAGCAGCCCTTTTGAAAAAAAAAATTTTTCTTTTTTTTTCTCAACTTATTCATCACCGCACACAAAAAGGGAGAGAAGTGTTTATGTTTATTTGAAAAATGATGTTTGTTTGTGTGGAGAGAGAGAAGGGACAAACAAATAAACAAACAAAAACGCTCGCTCCAAAAATTTTTTCTTGGGGGTCTCTTTTTCTTTTCTATCTTTTTCCAATGCCAATAAAAATTCGAGAAAGACAACAAAACAAAATTCTGTCGTGGAAAATAAATAAATAAAAAATTCCCTTCTCTTCTCTCTCAATCATCAATATTTTTTAAACCAAAAATTCTTTCAATAAACAAACCAAAAAGGTCTAAAAAATGGAAAAAAATTGGCCAAAAATTAATACCCAAAAGACCAACTTTTAAAAGATCAATTTTTTTATTTTTAAATTATTGCCAAATTATTTTTAAATGTTTTTCAAGAGATTAACCTTTTTTTAAACTCATTTGAACTGTTTATTATTTTTATTTTTTTTATTATCGAAAACAAAAAATTTGCATAAAAAAATAAAATTAAAAACAAAAACAATTAACTCTAAAAATAAATGCAATAAAATTTTTTTATCAGTTTTTGGAGCCTTTTTTTAAGTTGGAATTATAAAATAGTCATTTCCGGCACAGTATAGAGGGGACATGACTTGGAGGTTTGTAAGAGAAATGAGACCGATATCTCAAAAAATATTGGTTATCGAAAACCAAAATTTTTGTTCCTCGCCTCAGACCAGTCTGGTAAGGAGAACAGAACTTAAGGGTCCTTTAGAAAACTTAAGGGCTCGAATATTTTTTAATTGAAGACCCTGGAGGGAATAGATCAGCCTTTGTACTGGTTATAATTTAAAAGATTAAATGAAAGGCAAGTGTTCATGTACAAAATATTAAAACATTAAATAATAAATTATTTAAAGATTATTCCATTACTTTTTAATTTTTCCCGTTTATTAATTTAATAAATAAAGAGTTAATTATCCTCCACTCAATTTCCGTTGGAAAAATTCACTAGCAATATCAGCAACATTGTGTAAATGCTTTATAGTTAATTTAAAACCAGTAAAATAATCGTCTACCTTAAATTAAAATTATTAAATAAAAAAATTTATTTTGAAGAATTACCATATAAGGCAAATTGTTTTTAGCACAAAATTCTTTGACTAATGGCATTACCTAAAAATTAAAAAAAATTAACGTTGAACATTTGGATATTTAAAATTTATCCAGGGCTTGTCCAAGACTCCCCGAGGCTGAAGGTTTTGACTAAAGACAGGATTGGGAGGAGAAGAAGACGAGAGAGAAGACCGGAAGACCGAAAACTAGAAAAGACAGGAAAAGACCGGACTGGAAGGGTCGTACGAGAATTGATATCTCGAAAAATATCGATTATCGATAACTGAGATTTCTGTTCGAGATCTCGTCTTGATCCAATCTCAACGAATTTTTTGCTCTCCGCCTGTGTCAAAAAAATCACAAAAAAGAAACAAAGAAATGTCCACAAAAATGGCTGGTAGTCTACAAATACCAGCAAATTCTCAACATTAAAAATTTAAAATTTCCTTCTACCTTTTTAAGATTATGTCTAGGCATTGTAGGAAATAAATGATGCTCGATTTGATAATTCAATCCACCCCAAAGCCAATCAATTATCAAACCCGGCCTCATATTTCGAGTTGTGTAAAGTTGAAGACAAGCATAATTACTTAGAATTGGGTCGTTATCTTTAAAGTTTTTTTTAATTATAAAAGATTTTTAGAGATTTTTTACGTGGAAATTTGTCAGTAGAATAATGGTTGTAAGTGACTACATGTGATAGTAAAAATCCAGCAAAAAGTTGTGAAATTAAAAAATATTCAAGACGGACCTTTAAATTGAGAACTTAGATGATTATTGGAATTTTTAGGGGTTAAAAGAATTTTTTAGGATCTCTGAATTTTTAATTTTATCTTTCCTTAAAAAACTGAAAAACGGTTGACATCGAAAAGCTCAAAAAGCATCAAACCTAGCAGAGGCGAGTCGGAACAGTCAGAGGTGTCGGAAATCGGAATTCCGACCCACCTCTGAAACCTATTGTCGGTTCCTGAAAATTCTTCGGAATGAAATCCTCAGTTCTTCTGTTCGGAACCGACAGCCTAGTCAAGCTGATAAAAGCCGCAGAAAAATAATTAGACGTTTTAGATATTAGAGCATTATACAGAAATTAAAGTATAACGGATTTTTTATTTTTTACATTTAGTCAAGAGATCTTCATCAAATTAAAAAAAAGTTCCTAGAATATTTTCTGTCAATTTTTTGTGCAAATTTTACTATTATTAAATTCACAATTTAATCTTGACCTTCTATGTATTAAATTACTTATTTTTTGTTCAAAAATTACCTGATAATTAGGTAAAAAATAATATTGATCCAATACCAACGTCCAATGAGCAATAACTGTTAATTGTTCTATTAAAGCTCTTTCTCTGTAAATCTTTAAAAAAATTTTCTTAATTTTATAAAAATTCCAAACATTATAAAAACTTGATTGCATACTAAAAACAAATTGTAAAGTTTGTAAAAGCCAAGAAAGACGAAGCAAAGGAAGGGCAAAAGCCCAATATAAATGTTGAAAAGGAATTAATCGAGCATATAAAGAATTGCCTTCTAATCTCTTAAAATGAGAGAAAATGAGTAAAAATTAAATTTATTTTTTTGTAAAAACGAGGTAAAAGTCAACTAATTTTCTAAAAAAATTTCTGCTTATACTGCTATAAAATGCCTAGTTGTCGAGCAGAGGTGGATCGGAACAGTCAGAGGTGTCGGAAATCGGAAAAGCCGGAAATCGGAACTGGCTCAAGAGTCGGAAACCTCTGTAGTCGAGTAAGGATTTGAAAAAGTTTAGCTACTGGGAAGGCACAACGCTAACAGTGCAACTTGATCCCGCTTATACCTATGCGGGTGCTCTACAGACTGACATGAGTAACTTTTTTTCTCCTTATACAACGTCTAATGCTGTTAGGTACCGTGTTTTTGATAAATTTTAAAATTTAAAAAATATTAAAAAACCATCAAATGTGTTCCAACAGTAGCCCATAAAGGAAGTAAATCCAAATCTCCATCTCTACCGTCTATATTTGTAGCAGCATGATGTACATTATGTTGATTCTTCCATCCTGCTAGAGAAAAGCCTTGAAGGAAATTTCCACAAACATAACCACAACAATCATTCCACCAATGATTCTTTAAAAAAATTAAATTTGAAAAAATAGAAGGCAGAAATAAACCTTAAAATGTTGTTGATGACCATACTAGAAATTAAAAAAAATTATTTTGTAAAAGATTTTAAGGCAATTTTTAACTTTGTGTCGTTTTTTATTTTCTCTCCAATTCATCACAAATTCTTTTTGTCTGCTACAGTTAAAAGGAGAATTGGGGGAAAATAAAGATGAGATACACAAAGTTCAGAATTCCCTATTGTTCATGAATAAATATCTACTTAAGATATAGTATAAGTAAGTACAATACTTATGACGACCAAAGGTCAAAATGATAGTTTGAAAATAAACCAACAATAATCTACTTGTTGAGAGATTTTTTAAGCCAGCAAAATTACTCAAAAATTAGCCTATTCATGTCCTTTTATTATCTAAGATCCCAAAATAAAAATCCAAAAAAACCTCATGTATCATCCACCCCAATTGTTGCCATGCCAAACCCATAAAAAGTGCAGATGATACAAAATATTCTTTAGATTGTAGAAAAAGTGAAAAAGAAATGAGACCAATTGCTTCAATAAATTTTCTTGCAAAATAGCTATTATCTGCTTTAAATAACCCCTTTTCTCTAACTTGAATTTTTAATCTTGAAAATGACTGGCAAACCTTTTTTAAAAAATTATTAGAATTTAAAAATTTAATTGAAAAAAACCTTTTCGCTTTCTTCTGAATTTAATTCAAATTTTCCCATATTAACATTCAAAAGACGCTTTTTAATTTCTTTTTCGTGGAGATCAGTCTAAGAAGAAAATTTCTTGATAAAAAAATTTATTTTTCAGTTCAAATTTCGATAAAGTTTGGAAGTCGCCCCTCCTTTTTTGAACAAATTTAAATCAACGAAAACTGACTTAAGTGAACAAAGTTGTGACCGTTTATTTATCCCCTTGCAATGGCACAAAAAAATTTTCTCCCAGCGAGGATTTGGCTTCATAATTTTGGTAACAATCATCAAATCTAGCCAATCTTGGTATCATTCGACTAAGCTCGAAGAAAAAGGCTTAAAATGGCCAGGGAAACGGGGAAAAAAAGGAGGGGGGGGGCGACTTCCAAACTATTAAATATCCTAATTTTATCAACAAGTATCCACCTTTTCCTCGTTTTCATCCTTTTGTTCTCCGTCTGCTAAATCGTGTACAATACCATTCTCCTCTAAAGAATCTACAGTTGTTTGTTTAGCCCGTAATTCTCTCAACCAGCTATATGCAAGTTTTGAATCGGCGTGAAAAGCATGAAAACTGAAAAATATTTGAAAAATTTTTGAAAAAATTTATTTAAAAAAATTTTCTGTACACAGCAGTTGCATCCAAATTTCGATAGGCAAGCATTGCCCCTCCTCCAGGATGTGCCCTTAAAAGTTGTTCATCAACAAGAATCCATTTTCCATCAATACAAAGTCGAAAAGGAACAGAACTGGCCGGATTTTCATGGAAATAGTCTGTGAGGACCATCAAAAGCAAGTTTCCAAGTTAAAAAGGTTGTTAGTTTAATGGTTAGATTAACGTAAATTTGAACAATTTTAATTAAATTTCACCTAAAAATTAAAAAAAAATTAAAAAGTTAACATAAAATTATCGTTTAATAAAAATTGATAAGAAACGCGCGATTTACAAAATTCTTCTTCAATCTTAAAAAAAGTCGGACCATTTAAATAAATATATTTTAAGAGATAACACTAGCATAAAAAGAAATGATCGATTAAAAGTTTGGGAACATTTTTTGATAGCAAAGGTTATCTTAAGAAAATGAAAAAAATGTGCAAAAAACTGTTCTAACATAAATAAATGTTTTACTAAAGAAGGCAAATTTATTTATAAAAATTTAATGAAGAAAAATGTAAATTGATAAAATAATTTTGCAGAAATAAGAAATTCAAATATAAAATTTACGCGATACTTTGGCTTTTCTTCTTTTGGCGTTCTGTTATTTAATTTCCATAGTATATAAAGGGAATTTCTGAGATTATCGAGAAAATCTCCTAGGGTTTGCAAGAAAAATTTTTTTAATTTTGTCCTAAAACTTTATTATAATTCTTCATCTTTATTCTGTGTAGTACTCCACATATTTCCATTTATTATTTTATTTTTTCCCTTCCATATTCTACTGACTTAAAGGTTCCTTGTTTAAAAACCATTTGTATTTTTTGGGACTGCTAAATATTTTTTGAGACCAAAGAACGTTGTGGTAAGTAGTCCCTCACTTTTGAAATCGATGTTTATACACGTAACATATTGTGACTTGCCTTGAGAGAAGGCGAAAATATTGACAGAGACTTTGTTTATTCGGGTGAATGTGTCCTATAGGAAATAGGTAAACATTAAACTAACAAGTGAAGACTTGGTTAAGGCCAAAATATTAAAGGTTTACTCAATACTTCTTTCGTTTCAACTCGCATTTTTCTGATTTAAATCGTTTATTTTTTAGATAAAAAATATTAAAATTGTTTAATATAATTTCTAAAATGAAGCCAAAGGTTGGAATTAATGGATTTGGACGTATTGGACGTCTTGCCCTGCGTGCAGCGGTTGAGAAGGATACTGTCCAAGTTGTTGCTGTCAATGACCCGTTCATTGATCTTGACTATATGGTTTGGGGGAGACTTTTTATTAATAACTTCAATAACTTTTAGGTCTATATGTTCAACTATGATTCTACCCACGGACGTTTTAAGGGAAAGATTCAGGCCAGCAATGGAAATTTGGTAGTTGAGAAGGAGGGAAAGTCTACTCATACTATCAAAGTTTTCAACTTGTGAGTTTTAATTGGACTTGTTTAAATTCAATCTCGTAAATTTAGCAAAGAACCTGAAAAGATTGACTGGGCAGGTTCTGGAGCTGAGTTTGTCATTGAGTCGACTGGAGTTTTTACGACTACCGAGAAAGCTTCTGCTCACTTGAAAGGCGGAGCCAAGAAGGTGGTTATCTCCGCTCCGTCTGCTGATGCTCCAATGTTTGTGGTTGGTGTTAATGAGGACAAATATGATCCTTCCAAGCATCATATCATTAGGTTGTTTGTTTCATCCATCTTTTTAACTTTTTTTAAAGTAATGCTTCCTGCACTACTAATTGTCTTGCTCCTCTTGCAAAGGTCATCAATGACGAGTTTGGCATTATTGAAGGTTTAATGACTACTGTACACGCTGTTACTGCTACGCAAAAGACTGTTGATGGTTCATTCTTTTTATTAATTCAGTCTTGAATTCCAAATTATTTTTTAGGCCCTAGCGGCAAGCAGTGGCGTGATGGTCGTGGCGCAGGCCAGAATATTATTCCGGCAAGTACTGGTGCTGCAAAGGCTGTTGGAAAGGTATTCACTTTTTAATTTGAAACGAATAATGTTCCCTTGTCTAAAGGTAATTCCTGAATTGGATGGGAAACTTACCGGAATGGCTTTTCGTGTGCCGACGCCAAACGTTTCTGTTGTTGATTTGACTGCTCGTTTGGAGAAGCCAGCAACTAAGGAGGCTATTAAGAATGCAATTAAGACTGCTTCGGAAGGAAAACTTAAAGGGATTCTTGGATATACTGAGGACCAGGTTTTTCATTTCAATACAATTGTATTTGAATTTTGGTAATTTAGGTTGTTTCTACCGACTTTCTTGGGGACACTCATTCGTCTATTTTCGACGCTGAGGCGTAAGTTTTATTAATTTCGGAGCTTGCATCTAACCTTGTAACTTTTCAGTCTTATGGTTCTCAACCCGCACTTCGTTAAATTGGTTAGCTGGTATGACAACGAGTTTGGGTATTCCTGCCGTATTGTTGACTTGATTAGCCACATTGCTTCCAAGTCTGGTTAGATGGATGAATAAAGATGAAAAGAATATTTTAGAAGAAGTTCTCTAAAAAGTATATTTTAAATGTAGTTTTAATAATGAAATTTTATTCATAAATTTGTTTGGCAAATATAAATTTTTTTATTTGATAAAGTTTGCCTATAAGTTTGTGTATTTTCGTTTCAAACGTCTGGAATTCTTTCCAATTGTTTTTTCAATTTGGTCTTGATACTTTTAATGTTTTGTCTGCTTTTCAAAAAAATTTTTTTTATTAATTTTTTCTTTGGACAATTTCTAGTCTTGTGATTGCAATTCAATAGAATGACTTCAGCTGATGAGAGTTCGGATATTTTAACTTTTATGCCACTGTGCGTATGTGTTAGTTAATAATTTACCTAATTTTTATTTTTAGAGGTTCTGGCCAAGAAGTTGGGCGTTCTTGCCATTACATGCAATTCAAAGGCAAAAGGATTATGGTTAGTGATATTTTAATTTGAGGGTTTTCTATATGTAACTGGTCCACTAGTAGTCTGTGTGTTGTCAAGTGTTTCCGACCGCCATACCTTATCCTGGGAACTACCTCAATTCAATACTTTTGCTTTATATTTTTAAATTTTTAGTTCGACTGTGGCATCCATCCGGTAATTTTCATTAACTTCAAAATATTTTTAACAAAAATATTAGGGAATGCATGGTGTTGATGCTCTTCCATTTGTTGATTTCATTGATGTAGAGGAACTCGATTTACTTTTAATTACCCATTTCCATTTGGATCATTGTGGAGCTTTGCCTTGGCTTTTAGAAAAGACTGCTTTTCGTGGTCGTTGTTTTATGACTCATGCTACAAAAGCAATTTATAGAATGATGATTGGTGATTTTGTTAAGGTTTATATTTTTTCTAAATTATTAAAATAAAATCTTTTTAAGGTTACAAAATATGGAGGTGGAGGAACTGGAGAAACAAGGATGCTTTATACAGAAGAGGATTTGGAGAGGAGTATGGACAAAATTGAGGTTTTAAATTTTTGTCGAATGACTAAAAATGTTTTCTTAAGATGATTGATTTTCATGAACAAAAAGAAGTCAATGGAATTAAATTTTGGTGTTATGTTGCTGGACATGTTTTAGGTGCTTGTATGTTTATGTTAGAAATTGCGGGAGTACGTGTTCTTTACACGGGTGATTTTTCGAGATTAGAGGATAGACATTTGTGTTCAGCAGAAGTGCCAAATGTATCACCTGATGTGTTAATTTCTGTATGATTTTTATAATTTTAATAAATAAAAGTTCTCTAAATTTTACAAACAAAAATTCTAATAATGGGCAAAAATGAAATGAAAATTTATTTTTTTGATGGAAATTTCCGACTTTTCACTCCCTTTAGTCTCTGCCCTATTTAAAAAATAATTCATGAAAATTAAAAGGAATCCACTTACGGAACTCAAATTCACGAAAGTCGCGATGAACGAGAAAGGCGATTTACCTCAACTGTCCATGAAATTGTGGCAAGAGGTGGACGTTGTTTAATTCCAGCTTTTGCTTTGGGAAGAGCGCAAGAATTGCTTTTAATTTTGGATGAATATTGGGAACAACATCCAGAGCTGCATGATATTCCTGTTTATTGTAAATATATTTTTAAATTTTTGAAAACTTAAAAAATTTTTTAGATGCCAGTTCCTTAGCAAAAAAATGTATGGCAGTTTATCAAACATTTGTCAGTGGAATGAATCAACGGATACAGAGACAAATTTCTATCAATAACCCCTTTGTGTTTAAACATGTCTCTAATTTGAAGGTTTAAATTTTTTATTTTTTATTTTTAAAAATAAATATATTTAGGGTATTGATCATTTTGATGATGTTGGTCCTTGTGTTGTTTTGGCTAGCCCAGGATTTTTACAAAATGGTTTAAGTAGAGAACTCTTTGAAAGTTGGTGTACAGATTCTAAAGTAACGAGGAATTTTTGGATATTTAATTTTTATTTTTAGAATGGTTGTATAATTGCTGGTTATTGTGTGGAGGGAACACTTGCTAAGGTAATATTTTATAAAAAATCTTTTTTTTTCTAAATTATTTTTAAAGCATATTCTCTCAGAGCCAGAAGAAATTGTCGCTTTAAATGGTCAACGATTACCTATGAGATTACAAGTTGCTTATATCAGCTTTTCTGCTCATACAGATTATATCCAAACATCAGAATTTATAAGAGCTTTGCGTCCACCTAATCTAATTTTGGTGCATGGAGAAATGAATGAAATGAATAGATTAAAGGCAGCAATACAAAGGCAATATGAAGATGATACTGATTTTCAGATTGAGGTTGAAAGTTTTTTTTAATAAAAATTTTATTTGTTGCTGCCATTTTACCATAAACAAAATTTTTCGAGAATTTATTTTTAGGTTTACAATCCACGAAATACAGAATCAGTAAATCTTTTCTTCCGAGGCCAAAAAACTGCAAAAGTTGTTGGCTCTTTAGCAATGAATATACCAAATGATGGAAGTATAATGAGTGGAATTCTTGTTCGTCGTAATTTTAATTATCATCTTTTACATCCAAATGATTTAAATGGTTTGTTAGAAATTTTATTTTATTTTTGTTTAGAGGGTTAAAATATTTAGTTGACTTTCTTTTATTTGAAATTATTTTTTGAGGCCATACTTTAACTGATTTTTAGTAGTTTTCCTTTTCTAATAAAATTTTGGTTCTTTAGCATATACCGAATTATCCAATTCTCGACTTAGTCAACGTGAAAGTGTTTTTTATGATGGAAGTTTTTCTGTTTTAATTTATAATCTTCGACAACTATCTTCTGATACTATTGTTGAAGAAATAATTAAAAAAGAAAATGATGATGAAAGTTGTGAAAAGAAAAGTTTAAAACAAGAAAAGAAAGGAGGAAGCAATTCACAGCAACAACAACCTTCACATTTAGTGAAAATGTTTAAGGTTTTTTAATTTTGATTTTTTAAATTTTTTTCTGATTTTTAGGGAGAAATTCTAATTTCCTTTTATTCGCCCCAACATCTGGTTATTATTGAATGGATGTCAAATCCAGTAAATGATATGTTTGCAGATGCTGTTCTTTCTGCCGTTTTACATGCACAGACTAATCCTATACTCGAAAAACGTAAAAATAAATTTTTCTAAAATTTTTTAATTTCCAAATTTTTTTTTCAGATTTACCAAAATGTGAAGAACAAGATCAACAAGCACAACAAAAAAATGTTGAAAAAGTTCTTTTGGGTGCATTACACGAACTTTGTGGGCCTAAAAGTAAAGTGGAATTAACAACAATATTATCGGAAGGAACTTCAAATGAAACACAACAAAATAATTTAAATTCAATAATAGAATTACAAGTAGACGGAAAATCAGCACAAATAGACCCAAAAACATTACAAATAGCTAATTGTTCAGATCAATTGCTTCATCACCTTTTAACTTCTATAACGCAAAAAATGGCACATACTGTTTTACCTATTTAAATAGAAAAAGTTTTTGTTGACTTTTCAATTAAGTTGTAAAAATTTGTTTTTGTTATTAAAATAAATTATTTATTTTTTAATTTGATTTAAATTAAAGTTTTATTTACTTTTTATTTAATGAAGTAAATTTATTTTTAAATTTTTTACTGTTTTAGTTATTATAAAATCTCCATACTAGGAATTTTCAAATTTTGGACTGACTCAAGGTTCTGATCTCACAATTTTTTACAATATTGATACAATTCGATAGAGAATTAAATTTGCTACTTTGTAGAAGGTCAGGTTTTGTTTATTTTATTTTTGAGGCAAAGATTTATGTCCCTAGTAGAACAATTAGCATAATTCTTTTGTTGGGGTTAAGAGCAGGGCCCTTTTTGAACGGAGCGGGTATTGCCGATAAAGTTGTAGGGTATATTTTTTACCCGCTGTATAAATAAATTAAATTGTCTTTCAACATTAATTTTGTTAAATTTAAGGTATGGCCTTACAAAACGATTTTCGGAATAATTACATCCCTCACCTTGACCGCCACTCTTCTTCATGTACATGGGATCAATTCTGCGAGCGCCTTTATCAGGCGTTGTGGCGAAAGGGTGGAGGCTACTATGCAAGTTCGGATGTGCTCCACGAATTATAGTTTGGATTTTTTTGATAAAATTAAAATAAATTAAATATTTTTTAGTGCATCTTCAAAAATATGTGGTATTGTCGTTGCATCTCAACAAGGATTTGCTTCTTTTGAGGATCTTCTACATTCGCCCGTGCTGGACCATGGTAAAGATTACTAAAAATTTGGAAATTTTACTTTTTCAAGTGGTTACAATTGAGAAGGTGCCGCCTACAGAAACTCACAATTTTACTACGTAAAATTTTAATTTTTATATTTGAAAAATATTTTTTATAGGTATCGTTACTTGCCGGCACTCAATAATAATTTTCAAAATGTCAGACGTCATACTCGACAAAAGAAATCAGAGTTAATATTTTTTATTTTTATTTGGAAATGTGTTAGAAATTAAAGTAAATTTTTTTCTTTTCGAAATTCGAAAATTTTCGCTTTTTGGGTTTTATGTTTCTAGGGGGTTAATCCACCTACCGTTCATTCGGGAGTATTTTTTTTCAATTTCAGTATTTGTATTACTGATTCCTCAATGGAGGAGCAAGAAGGAACAATCAATTGTAAGACAGAAGATTTGGAAGAATTCTTTAAAGAAGAGAATAGTTCGTCCAACAGCAGTCAAAACGGGACCAACAAACTATTCGAAAACGAAGATTCTGAATTAAAGGGAGAGGAAAAGAATGTCAATAAGATGCGAAAGAATTCTGAAAAGTTGAAAGGGAAGAATTACTGAACTCTAAAGAGAGAATTACTGAACTCTTTTGTTATCAATCCCTCATTTATTCTTTCAAAAAATTAAATTATGATTTTCTGATCATAAGGGAATTTTTTTGGTGTTTCCCTTTTCTTTGCTCCTTAATTTTTGTATCCCTTCAAATAAATCAAAAAAATAAAAAGTCGGGGAGCATGGAATTGGAAACATCAAGTTTATAAATTCTCTGAAAAATGTTTATTCAACTTTTATTTTTGAATTGTTGTCAATCCTTTGTTATAAAGTCACAAAATTTAAATTTATCCTTTTATTGTGCCTTAACATACAATGCATTTTCAATACATTTGTCGAAAGAAAACAAAAATAGAAATATAGGAGAAAGAGAAATTTGAGAAAAAAGATTGCTTCAATAAAATGAGGCATGAAAAAATTTTAAAGACTGGCATTGAAAAATACTTCAAGCATTCTTCGAGCATGATTAAGAAAGGAAAAAGAAAATTGGGTAAAAAAACAACAAACAAGAAGGGTAGAAAATTATAGGTTTTTTTCTGTTGGTCAAGTAGGCACCCGTCGTCTTACCATGCCGCCAAGGATTGTTTGCTTTAACCGATTGCCCAAACCACCACTTGCATGGGATTTATCTAAAGAAATTTTGAAAAATCTTTAAAAATTAAATCAAGTGTTCCCACCTTCATCTAAATCATAACTGCTGTCTGCAACATTTTGTTGTTGATTCATTGCCTGGGATCGCCACCTTTCACTACTTAAACTGTTGCTTTTTGTTAATATTTCTTCTTTTACTCCAAGACCATTACGAACAGTAGGAAGTTGTTCATGGGCAGACTTAAATTTAAAAATTTTTTTTTCCACCAATTAATATTAAAAAAAATATACTCGATTTAATGAAAGAGTAGAAACAGCAGAAATACCATTTTGTTGTTTATTATCACCTCCAACACTATTCCCCAATTTCTTAATAAGTTGGCCAATCCTTTTTCCAGCAGTTTTGGGTACATTACTAATTCCATTATTATTTGGAGGTTGTGGGGGTAATTCAATTTCACGACTAGACATTGAAGAACAATCAATTATATCTTCATTCCGAAAATGATGATAATTAGAAGGATGAGGAGGTGGTGGTGAGCCCTAAAATAAAAGAATAAATTTAATTAAATTCTGATTCTTAAATTAAAATTCTGTTTTTAAAAAATAAAAGTTGTGATTAAATTCTGATTTTAATAATAAAATGTTCATTTCTTATTCTGATTTTAATTACTTGATGGTGTTGATGCACATTATCATAAAATCCATTGCTAGTATTAAATTGTTGTTGTTGTTCTGATTCATCATTATTGTTAATGTTTTGTTGTTGTGTTTGTCTATTCCCAACAACATACCTTCTATCACCACAAACACCAACTCCAGCTTTTGTTCCTTTTACAAATTGGGGTGATTGCCTTTGTTTATATATTGTTGTCTGTTGTTGTTGTTTTAAATGTTTGGAAGAATGTGGGGGAGGTGTTGGGGGTGTTTCTTTTATTTGAAACTTTGTTGATGTTGTTTTGAGTGATGGACCTCTTTCCACATGTTTTTGTTGCTGTTGTTGTTGAATTGTTTGGCTAGTATTACGACGAGAAGACCAATTTGTTGTAGAATCTCCATTTGTTGTAAAACTCAGAGGATTGGCTGAAATTAAGAAAAGTTTTTGTTTAAATTCTGACTTTATAAAACGATGTTTAGATTAAATTCTGATTTTCTAAGCCGAGGTTTGGTTTAATTCTGATTTGCTAAGCCGATGTTTGGATTTAATTCTGATTTTGTTAAATGAAGTTTAGAGTTAATTCTGACTTTCTAAGCTGATGTTTGAATTTAATTCTGAGTTTGTAAAAGAAGTTTAGACTAAATTCTGATTCTGATTTTTAATTTAATTAAACTTACATGTTTTAGTTTTATTTGTCTGTTTATCAAACATTTTAGCCATAGCATCCACTTTTGATGGGTTTATTCTTTCCTGATTAATTGTTTCAAATGCTGGACGATTTGTTAAATTACGATTATTAGAAGAAGCATTTTGATTATTAACTTCTGTTTGAATTGTTGGGAAAGAACGACGTTTATCATTTGAAGTCTAAAAAATTAAGAAACAGAATTAAAAGCAAATCTGAACATGTGTTTTAATTAGAAACATTGTTAAAATTAAATTCTGGTTTTGTTAAAAAAGATGTTTTGATTAAATTTTGATTAAACTGTTTGGATAAAATTCTGGTTTAGTGGAATGTTTTGACTAATTCTGGTTTCGTTTAGAAACAATGTTCAGATTAAATTCTGGTTTAATTAAAAATAATGTTCAGATTAAATTCTGATTTAACTAAAAACAATGTTCATTACATTTAAATTGGTATCCAATTCCAATTCAGCAACAAGTGCATCAATTGCCAAAGAATGATCAGTTGGAATTTGTTGTTTTTCTTTGGTAGAAATAAATTTCCTTGGTTGTTTTTGTTGATTATAATCAGAATTAATTGGTGTTTTGTTTAAATGTTGAGAATGTTGGTAATTATTGTTGTTGTTATTTAAATAAACATTATTATTATTAGATACTTCCCCAGGCAAATAAATTAAATTATTATTATTTGGTGCAGTAGAAAGAGCAGAATCTGGCAATGATTGAATAGAACCTTTTAAATATTGTTGTGAATTTATATAATTTAATTGTTGTTGTTTCTGTTGTTGTTTACTAATTTGTTTTTGTTGCATTTGGGCAATGTTTGGGGTATATGAATGAAAGGCACCACCTCCAAAACCTATTCTTTGTAATGAATGTGTGGAAAGACAACTGGCAGCACCAGGTTGGAAATTAAAGAAGCCTTCGTGTGAATGAATTGAGCTAGCCATACTAGTTGGGGGACAGTCCTTTAAAAATAAACAATGTTTTAATTAAATTCTGATTTTATTAGAAATAATGTTGGGATTAAATTCTGATTTTGATAAACAAAGTTTTAATTTAATTCTGATTGTATTAAAATAAACAATGTTTAGATTAAATTCTGATTTAATTACTTGTGAAGCAGCTCGAAGAAATCGAATTTGTTCGATAGAAGGCGCTTTGTGCATTTGACCACTAAAAATAAATATTTCTTATCAATTAAAATTAATTTCTATTACCTGACACCCAAAGAAGCAGGTAATATTCCAAGTTGTGGTCTAAAAGGTTGGGGACGCACAGCAGCAGGTACAACAGCAACAGATATCTGAGGGGGCGGAACATTATTTGTTGTTGCTGTTGAGGTTGCTGACGAACATTGTTGTTGTGTTGGGGGTTGTTTTTGTCTAATGGGAAGTATTTGTTGTTGTTTGTTTAGTTGCTGTTTTTGTTGTTGTTGATTTTTAATTAAAATTAATTGTTGCTGTTTTTCTTTTTGTTTTAATCTCCTTTCATTGGGGGCATTAATTGCGGCAACCTCTGCTGAACAACTTCCCAGCGAGTGTTCGTCCCAATCTTTTACGTCTTGGATGGTACCTCCTTTTGCGCTGTATGGCTAACAAAAATGAGAAAAAAGGAAGTTTTTAAGCGAGAATTATTTTTCCCCAACCTTTGGAACATAATTTTCTCCTCCACCACCACTTTCTGCCCATCCACTCATATCAGAACCTCCACTAGTTAACCAATTTCTTGTAAAATCTAATCGATCCGAAGTATTTTTACTTGGCAATACAATTGTTTCGGCAACTGAGATTTCCTCTTCCTCCAAATTATTTTTGTTACTTCCATTCTCTGCAACAATTGATTGTGGGGGAATAACAGGAATTCTGAAAAATGAGATATTTTAATATTAATGTTTTGATGTTTAAATAAAATTCTGAATTTAATAAATAAAATTAATGCTTATATGTTTGGATGAAATTCTGATTTTAATAAAATTAATGAATGTTCGAATTTAATTCTGATTTTAATAGTCATAAAAATGTTTTTATCATGTTTAAATCAAATTCTGATTTTAACCAAAACAAAAACTAGATTTATTCCTAAAATTCTCCTCACTTTGCATTCATTTCAGAAGGAAATTGTTGTTGTTGTGTTGAACGTTGAACAACCATTAATGGATATGATTGTTGTCTTTTTAAAACAACAGTAGGTTGTTGTTGAGTTTGTTGTTGTTTTTGTTGTTGTTGTTGTTGAGATGTTTGGTGTTTCCTATTAGAATAAATATTAAATGTTTGTTTTAAAATTATATATATATAGCTTTACGGGGAAGGGAAGCAAATGAATTTTAAAAATAAAATGAAGAAAAATTTTTTTCAAAAAATTGAGGAGTTTTTGGATTAAATTTATTTTAAATTTAAAAATAAAATCTAAATTAAATTTAGAAAAAAAAGGAAATCCAATTAAGGATAAAAAATTTCAAATTAAAAAAAAGAGGTTTCTTCGTTTTATCCTCTCATATTTTCTTTAATAAAACAGCCAAAATAATTCCAAAAATATTGAAATTTTGCATAGATATTCTCAAAAGTAGTACTTAATTTCTCTAAAAAATTTAAAATTTTTGGTCCATTAAATATAAAATTATGGTCAAAAAAGCTTTAAAACCCATAGATTTATCGTGTTTTTTGACCAAAACTTTGGGAATTTTGAACTAAAAATTCTGAAATTTTTTTAAAAAAATTTTGAAACGTTAAGCGCTAAGCAATCTACAATTTTCGCAATTCCATTAAAAGCCCCTCAAATTTTTCTTTTCTTTTTTTTTTAAATTTTTGACAAAAAATTTATTTTTAAATGATCTTTTACTCTTCTTAAATATTTTTTTGTTTATCTAAAAATTAGCCAAAAAAAGAGGAAGGCCATTTTCTTCTCTAAATTACCCCTTTCTCCCCTCAAACAATTGTGTACTTTCTTTAAAAAAAACTTTTTTTTCTGTTCCCTTTCCTCTAAATTTTTTTTGTCTAAATATAGATGTAATTTAGTCACTCTTTTGTCAAAAGATTAAATTTTTTCTCATATGAAACAATCGTGTAAATCTCGAGAAAAATTAAATATTTATGTGTCTAAAATAAAAATAAGGGGAAAAATATTTTTTTTAATTAAAAAATTAAAAAAATTAAAAAAATTTTTAATTAGAAAATTTAAAAAAATAAAGGAAAACATTAAAAATATTTAAAAAAATAATAAAATTACTTCCGAAAAATTAAAAAAAATCTGATTGAAATTCTACAACTTATTTTCTTTAAGGCTTTTCAAATTATTATTTTTATTATAAAAAATTTTAAATTTTAATAAAGAAATTATATGGCACAAAAATTATTTTAAAAATAATTATTTTCATATTTGTACCATTAAATTCATAAAATCACTTAAATTTCCAACAACGGATTCCCCCAACATTTTATTTTACCATAATGTGATTTAATCCATCAATAGGATTGGAGTTTTCGAGTCGGGCCGCCGGCCCGACCTTTTTTTTTCTTTTCGGGCCAAAATTCAATGCCTGACTCAATCTTTCATACCGGGTTGGATCGGGCCCTCAACCCTACCCATTCAACTACCCAATAGCTTAAAAATTTCTGAGACTTGTCTTTAATTGGAAGGATTTTATTTTCAAAATTTAATTCTTAAAAAAAATTTCAATTTCTCACTTTAATTTCGAATTACTCCTTTCATTAGCCAAAGCAGCAGCCACCTTTTCAAACGCTTCCTTTGCTGACTTAACATTTCCGGGTCTAACAGAGGAAGCAACTTCTAAACGTTTTTGGGGCTGGGGCATATTTATCTGTTGTTTCTCTAATTTAATTTCTTCTTTTTGTTGTTGATTTAAATCAGATTCCCTTTGAAAATCTTCAAAAATATGGTCTAAATAGTCTATAGCTTCTTTAAATTTGTTTCTTTGTTGGCTGTGTTTATAACGGGCTTGGTCTATCATTTGACGATTTTCTGTGTCCAAAGAGCCGCTAAAAATTAAGGATAATTTTTTAATTGTTAAAAACGTAAGAGGATTGTAAATTTAAAAAATTATTGAAATATTTCTGGAAATTTTTTTAAATTCAATTTTTCAATCTTGGGGGTTGGTTTCTGTAATATATTCTGTATAATAAACTCAGTAGTGATGCTCGGAAGAAAAAAAGTAGGGAATTGGGAAATGACCTCATTTCCAGTCGGGTCGGGAAATGATCTCGGGAGTCGGAAAATTTTCCCGAGTCGGGAGTTGGGGTCGAAATACCCGAACACCACTAAGACCCAGGAACACATTATTTGGAATCATCCTTCAGCTTATTAATGAAAAATTCAGAATTTCAGCCCATTTAAAATTTACACAAAAACAAGTTTATAACTATCCAAAATTCACATCAATAAGGTAAAAATACTCCCGAACCAATTAGTAAACTAGTGCTTGGCTAGTTTACTCGAAAATCGTTTTTTGATTGTTTAACATTGAAAGCTTTAATTAAATGTTAGACTTATTAAAAATATTTTTAAAAGTAATTTTTGCAAAATTTAGAAAAAAAAATAAATATTTTTGTTTAAATAATTTGCTAATAAATAACAAAAAAAGAGAAATAAAAGTTTTGTTGATTAAAGCAAAAAGGGACACATTTAAAAAAAAGAAGAGTTGTTGGTTGTGTGTGTGTGAAGGTCAGCTGGCTTTTTTTAATGAAAATATCAAATTTCTATTTTAGGATTTTTGTCTCAATTAAGTGTCACAAATAAATTGGAAAAATAAATTTTAGAAAAAAAAGAAAATAAAATAGTTTTTTAAAGAAAAATAAAGAAAGAAGACTTTGGATGTAGTGTAAAGTTTTGAGGGTTGGTATCGTCTGAAAAATAATTGTAAAAAAATCAAAAGAGAACGAATAAACATAAAATTTTGCAGAGATATCCTCAATACTGTTATCTAACAATTCTGAAAATTTCAGAATTTTTGATTTAATATTTCAGAAATTCTGGCCAAAAATATCAGAATTTACTCAAATTTCTGACATTTCTGTCCGCATTTTTGACCAGAATTTCTGAAATATCAAACCAAAAATTCTGAAATTTTCAGAATTGTTAGATAACAGTATAAGGTATATCTGTACAAAATTATATGAATTTAGCCACTCGCTTGACAATTTTATGGGGGCTAACAAAAGAATGATCGAGTTAAAAATCTTCACTATTTGCAAAAATTAAAAGATTAAAAATTATTAAAAAATTAAAGAAAATATTTTAGAGGGGAAAATGAACAAAAAATATTTAGACAAGGCTAAAGAGTAATGTGAAAAAGACAAAAAAAAAATTTATCGGCTGGTGGATAAATTAAGCAAAACAACAAAAACAGTTTAGAATGGGGGGAAATGGACACAACACAAAGAGAAGGAAAATGAAAGGACAGCCTCGTAGTCAACATATTTTTATAAAATAAATATACTTTCATAAATGCTAGTCTGATTAGTAATGGAATTTATTTTTATAAAAAATATAAAAAATTAAAAAAAAATTTTTTAGAAAATTTGTAATAGAAAATATTTAATAATAAAACTTGCTTGGTAAGGGGTAATCAAGCGCTTATAAAAAATTCAAATGGTAACCTAAAATTATAAAATTTTGTACAGATATACCTAATACTGTTATCTAACACCTCTAAAAATTTCAGAATTTTTGGTTTAATATTTCAGAAATTCTGGTCAGAAAAGTGGACAGAAATGTCAAAAATTTGAGAAAATTCTGATATTTCTGCTTATAACTTCTGAAATATTAAATCAAAAATTCTGAAATTTTCAGAATTGTTAGATAACAGTAATGAGGATATCCTTGTAAAATTTCACAGCTCTAACACTTAATTTAACTTTTTTTAGAAAGGCTTATTTTATTATTATTGTCTTCCTATTAAAGAGTGCCTTATTATTAGAATTAATTGTTTAAAAATAATTAAATTGTTTCATTAAAAAATTTGAAACAAAAAGGAAAATTTTTTTTCTAAAATATAAAATTTTAGTTGTATAGTGCAACTGGCGGATAGGAAGAAAATTCATCTGTCAATTTTCTCTGTTAAAAAAATATTTTTTTTCTTCTCAAAAATCATTTCTTTCTCTCTTTCTTTCTTTCTCTAAAAACAGCCGGTTATTCCCGAGAATATTAAATAATAAAATAAATAAACTAGCTAGTAAGTACTTACTATTTATCTACAACAAAATAACTAGTAAAGAGAATCAGTCAATATTCTACAATCAATTTGGATTTTTTTTTGATTTTTAAAAAAGAATAATGAAGAATAGAGGGAGGGAGGAAGGGGGATATTGTGATAAAAGGAAGATAAAAAAAGGAAAAAAGAGATTTGATTAAGTATTGAAAGATTTTGTAGGAATAGAGGGAGGGGGGGGGGGGGGAATAAAGAATAGAGGGATGGAGGGGGCTTTGTAGACAAAAAATAATGAGGAATAAGGTTGTCGGTTCCTGAAAATTCTTCAGATATCCGAAGCCGAAATGAAGAACCAAATCGAAAAATCCTCGGTTCTTCGATTCAGTTCGATCTAGAACCGACAACCCTAAAGAAGAATATTTAAAAATTAAAGATGGAATGAAAAAATAAAATTCAAAAACCGACAAAATTAGAAAAATCAGAGATTTTTCATAGAATTTAAAGTTTTTGTGACACATGAGAGCTCATAAAATCTATCCCCTTTTTTGTATTTTTATTAATTTCCCTCTTTACCTATTTCCAGATTCACAACTAGCTGTTGATTGTCTCCCACTTAAAGAAATATGTGCAGCATAACGTTGTTCTTGTTGGTAAGGTTTTTGTGTTTGGTTTACAAATGTTTGGGCTAAATCTGCATCTATTTTAGTTAAATTAAAATTTTAATTTAAAATTCCAGCCAAAAATTATTCAATCCAAAACCCCATTCCTAAATACTCCCAAAATTTGAAACTCTCAATTTAAAATAAGTATCTACATTTTTACTTTGATTGGAGCAAGAGGCATTTTAAAGGATATTCTTAAATTTAAGATTATTTTCTTCCCCGTCCCCCATTATAACGTGATATTTTAACCCCAAAAATGTCTTATTTTTCTAAACTCAAAGAAAATCTCTATTCAAAAATTAATTCCCTACTTTCATTTGTAGCAGATTTTCTTCTCAAATTAGTTTTATTTAAATTATTAATTTCATTATTAAATTCATTTTGTCTATTAACAGCTTTTTCGTGTAATTGAAATGCCTGTTTTTGCATTTTTTCTTCAAATAAACTTTTTGGTTTTTCGAATTGGTGGGTAGTTAATAATGTTGTTTTTCCAAATAAATCTATTGGCTTTCTTTAAAAATTTAAATTAATTAGAGGGAAAGAATCATTGTACGATTAGAAACATCAAGAAAAGGAGTGAATTACGATACATTCCTAGGTTTGGAGGATCTATGAAATCCCCGGATATTTAGATTCGGAACCGGTATCGGAACAAGGGATGCTACGTGGTTGAGAAAAAATCGGGTTGCGTTATCACGAGCCATCCTATAATACCGGGTGCTGTGATTCAGAGAAGGCTCCTTGGATCGAGTCGATTCTAGAGTAACCTCGGGGTTCTTAAATTCAACTTTCCTAACATTCCCGACCCAACCCGAAAATTTCCAGATATATGAATCGGGCAACCCTGTAAATTCATAAAAAACTAAAATTCCCAGTCTCCAAATTTTTAATCTCTCATTGAAATCACAAGTTAACTAAATTGCTATTTTGGAGGTTCAGAGATCTATTTGAAGAAAATTTAGAGAGGTTCGGAGGTCTAAAAATAATTAATATTTGCCTTTGTCTATTTTGCTGTTGTATATTTATTTGATTATTTCCAAATAAATCATCTTGTATAGAATGGTAAGAACTATTTAATGATTGGGCTTCTTGTGGGGGCATAATTGAGGCAATAAGCATTTGGCTATTCCTTTTTGATTCTGGTAATGATGAAATTGTTGTTGTTGTTTCTTTTAGAGGGTTTAATAATTTATTTGTTGTGCCACAAGTTGACAAATCTTTTTTAATTTAAATTAATTGTGAGGGGACGTTTCGGCGTGAAAGCGATAAGACGCGGACGTTTATAAAATACCCAAAAAATAACCTAGAGCTTTGAAATTTTGTTCAGATATCCTCAATACAGTTATCTAACAATTCTGAAAATTTCAGAATTTTTGGATAAATATTTCAGAAGTTATAAGCAGAAATATCAGAATTTTCTCAAATTTTTGACATTTTTGTCGACTTTTTTGACCAGAATTTCTGAAATAATAAACCAAAAATTCTGGAATTTTTAGAGATGTTAGATAACAGTATTAGGTATATCTCCGCTAAATTTCACTACTATAAGTATTTATTCGGTAATCTTATAGTCGCTCAACTTAATTCAACTTAAGTCTTCCCCACAATCTAGGAGAATCTTTTCTTGTAATCCTCCCAAAAATTTTTTTTAATTTTTACACACCTCTAGCTGAGCTAAGAATCTCTTCAGCTTCCTCGTGTAATTGATCAAGAATGTCTCTCTTGTTTTGAACAAATTGTTCAAGTACAGATTTATCTGGAAGTATTAGAGGTACTGATGTTTTGCTAGATTTGCTTAATTGTTCTTTTTGTTGTTGATTTTGTGAACGGTGTGGAGGGACTGGAGGGACAATTGGTTGCTGAGGTTGTTGCTGAAATACCAAAATGATCAAATTTTAAAAATGATAGGGGTTCAAAATGGTCAGTTTTAAGATCTAAGCAAGAAAAATTTACATTTAATGGATTTTTCACTGTTGAAACAGGAGCGGTAATGGAAGAAATTCCAGTAGATTTCCCTAAATTTCCAACAGTCTCAGCAACAATAGGCTGGTGATTATTATTTACTGACGGAAGAACCTGAATTGAGGGAAATAAAAAAATTTATTGAAAAAAATAATAAAAAGAATTAGTTAAAAATAATGAGTATATTTAATGGAATGAATGAAGATAAAATATAAAAAAGTTGCAAAAATAGGGGGTTGCTGGTTTGGGATCGAACAAAAGAGGGGAAGAACCCAGGATTCTTGGGTTTTGTATATCCAAAGATTTTTAGGAAGCGATAATTTTTGATTAATTTTTGATTATTTTTATTCAAGTAATCAGCTCTTTTTGGGAGATATTAAATTTTTATTTTATCGGACTAAATCATTACAGACTTATCTAAGAAGTACTTTCTCTCTTTTCTTATGTACTTTCAATAAAAACTACCCACAAACAAAACAATTATTTATTAACTATTTTTTCTTGCAATTTTTGCGCAGGCGATTTTGCGTGACCTATTGTTGTGTTTATATTTGTTTATTGGTTAGTTGATTGTGTGTATGTATGCTTTGTTAAAAGTAAACTTGCTTTTTTATTGGAATATATTTTTAGATAAATAAAGGAGGATTTTTTTGAAGAAATTTTTGAATTTAAATGAGAGAGAAAAAAAATTTTTTTTAAATAAAAATAGTAAGAATCTTAAAAATATATTTGGGAATACTATGAATAAATTAGGATTATAAAGAATGAAGAAAATGAAGATAAAAATAAATTGGGGGGAAATTGGAGGGATAGCATATGACCTTGAGGCTTTGTTATGTAAATTTTTTTATTAACATAAATTCTAAGATAAAAGGAGGCTTTTGAGGAGGTTTTTGGCATTTAAATTAAAATAAAAAAATGTGAAGAAAAAAATAAATGGGAAATTTTTAAGGGATTAGTTTGCACTAGAGATCGGTATTTTCAAAAATTCTGGATCTAGATTCGGGATCTGGATTTAGGTTAGTAACCTTGACAGTATTCTTGATCTGGATCCAGGAAAAATCCAGATCCAAAAAAATCCAGGACGATCAAAAAATGCCTGGATCTGGACTTTGGATCACGGAAAAATCCAGACTGGATCCAGATCCAGACCGATCTCTATTTGGCACCAATCTCCCCTAACATCAAATTTCAGATTTTCTATTTTCTAATCCCATACGTGAGGGAATTTTCCAAGTATAGGCAAAATGGATGAAATTAACTAATAATTTAGAAATTTTAAGAATTTTTTAAAGAAATTTTTTATAATTTCCAATAGAGGTGTGAAAAATAATAAAATTAAGAATAAGTAAAAATAAAAGAGCCAACTTAAGCTAAGCAAAAATAAAAAAAAATATTTTTCCTTCCCCCCTAAAGTATCTACTTATAATAAATAAATATATTTTTTCCCTCCTCAACATTCCTTCTCAATTTTTTTATTTTCTCGCGAACCCATTTGTTGTTTTTAAAAGTATTTTTTTGTTGCATTTAAAAAGCTTTGTAATTTTTGCTGTTTTTCTCTTTTACTTTCTCAAAAATTTCCCGTCTTTATTTTTTTTGTTTGCAAAAAACACACCCCCATAAATCTCTTTAAAGTTCCTTTTAATATTCCTCTTCCTCTCATCTGTTTTATTGGCTTTTCTTTCCTTTAATTTTGCAGCAGAAGGAGAAGCAAAAAAAAAAGATGAAAAGAAAAAAAAGTAACAAAAAATAAGAAAAAAAAATAAAATAATTTAATAAATAACCACAATTAAATAAAGTTTTTCTTTAAAATTTGCCGAAAATGGAAAGAAATTTAATCATTTTAAACAAATAAAAATTGGAGAAAATTAATTTAATTATTGGATCGCTAGGACCATCAGTGCTGTTGGAGAACCATTGGTCCGTGGAGAAAATTTAATAGTTGGATCGCTAGGATTATCAGTGCCGAGGCTCTTGATATGGAGAACCATTAAAGGTCCGCTCATAATAAGAGATTCATTAACAACAAATGTCTCTTATAATTTGGGTCCCTCGCCTAATCTAACACCCACTTGTATGTTACCCTCACTTTAACGTCAGATTTTTTCTGTTCGAGAGGTGGCACTAATATTGAGTTTGAAAGTACTAAATAATCTGTTATGTAGGTCGCTAGAATTATCAGTGCCGGTTCTTGAGATGGAGAACCATTAGATCCTGCTCACCCTCATACATATTAACGACAAAATTTTCTTTTATGGGTTACTCTCACCCACTAGTAAGTCATTCTCACATTAACTTCAGATTTTTTCTGTTCAAGAGGTGGCACTAATAATGATTCTGAAAGTACTAAAACCCAATAACCTTTTTCAATTCCGGTCCATCAAATTGTAAATTCCCAAAATATTAAAATTTCAAGTATTCAACAAAATAAATGGACCTTTTTTTCTTTATTTTCTAAAGCTAGCTAAATATATTTATGGCCAAATAACTGACTCATCTTCTTCCTCCTTTCCTTTCTTCCCTCTCAATTTTCCCATTTATTCATTCTCAATTCCCTATTGACTGGTAAATCTTCTTCCCCCTTCCCCTTCCATTCAACTTGGAGGGCTGTCCCTCTTAAGTATTATTCTCATCTTATTGCCGATTCTATAACACAAAGCATAATTAGAAGAAAAAAAGAAGAAAAAAAAGAAAATAATGGAAGAATTGAAGAAGAATAAAAGTAAAAGAAGAAGAGTACATCTGCCACCTCCTTTATCCAATTTCCCTCCAAAATATTACAACAAACAAACAAATAAAAAAATTGAGGGACAAAATAAAAATAATTTTTTTTGACAAATAGAAAACCAAAAAGAAAAGTGTGAAAAAATCCAAGTACAAAATTAAAAATGAGAAGCGAACTGCAAAGCACTGCTTTTGATTAACTAGAATCCTTATAAGAAGGGAAAAAAGCAGGAAGGAATTTTCGGGAAATTTTGTTGACTTTCTTTAATGTTTAAAGAAAAATTTTGGAATTATTAAAAGGACATACTTAACACTCTAAAAATACAAAAGATTTCAAGATTATACCATAAAAGTTAATAATGGATAAGCTATATGAAGGGTCTAGTATACAAGGATTTAGCATGTATGAAGGATCACGCACTATGACCGTTCAACCCCTCAGCCAAAATTCAATCTTTCCAAATTTAATGTCATTCTAATTAGCTTATTGACCTACTCCTTCGAATGATCTGTTAATTAAGAGCTAGCTATTCAGAAATTCTTTTAGAATTTTGTATAAAAAAGTCTCGATTAAAATATAAAAGAGAGAGAGAAAAGTATGTATAAAAAAGTAAAAAAAAGAAAAATTTTTTCTTATTTTTACGTTTACTCCAAACTTAAAATAATCAGAAAAATTAGTATTCCAAAAAAAATTCTAAAAGTACTAAACCTATTTTAGTATCCCCCTTTATCTCCTTGCAAATGCATTCCCCCTTTCCTTCCCACTATATCTCCTCCATCAGCAGCTTTCTCTTCTTTTTCCATTAAAAAAATAAAAATAGCCATCTGTAAGGGGGGTATATGATGGATTAGTTTGGGAAATAATTGAAAGTATTGAAAGAAAAAAATAAATTACTAGGTAGCTAGGAGATGCCCACACACGAAGAATTTAATTATATATTGGTGGTTAGTATAAATAGATTAAATAAATTAATGATAGTAAAAAGAAAATGTTTTTCTGATTTGTAAAAATGTTTTAATTAAAATAAATAGAAACCAGAAGAAATAATTAAAATCAGAATTTTAAATAAACATGTTGTCCCCACCTGTTTTACTGATGTTTTTAGAATAGTGGGAACTTCTGATTGTTTAATAATATTTTCAGAAAACAGAATATCAGGAATGTTGTTGTTATTGTTCTGATTTTCTTGTGTTTGTTTTAATTGATTTATCCCAACATTTTTTATTTTGTTTTTAGATGGGGGTTGTCGAAAATGTTTTTGGCTTACTTTGCGAAGATCAGAAGATAAAATAGTTACCTTAAAATGTTTTATAATTCCCAGACATTTTAAAAATTTAAACATTTGGCCAAAAACCAGAATATTGTTTTGTTTGACGTTGAAAATTATTTAATAATATTCTGATTTAAATTAAATGTTTTGTTTTATTTCTGATTAGATAAGATGTTTAATAATAATTCTGATTTATTTGTTAGATGTTTATTTAAAATTCTGATTTTATAAGATGTTTAATTAAAATTCTGGTTTTGTTAGATGTTCAGTTAAAATTCTGATTTATGTTAAATGTTTAATAATAATTCTGATTTATTTGTTAGATGTTTGATATTATTTCTGGTTTTACTTAGATGTTTATTTTTTGTCATGTGATGTTGAATATTGATTCTGATTTAAATTTTGCTTGGACGTATAAATCAGAATAAAATAAAAACTTACATTTGCTCTTTTTTGTTGCTCTTTCCAAATAACATTAAATCTAATAGTTGCTGCTACAATTTGTGCACTTCGACAACAAAGTTGCGCAAAAACTTTTTGAGGAGTGCTTAAAAGAAAAAATAAAATTTAAAATTTTGGGCAAATTCACTTTTTTAATATAAGAGTTTTACGAACTCCCAACCGAAAACTTCTTTTATTAGCGAATTGTTTGTCTAAAGAAGCAAACGAACAAATATGTTGTTGTTTAGGTATTGCTGTTGATTTTATCATTTTAACCATTGTTGTTGTTGCTGGTGTACTTTAAAAATAAAAAAATAATATTTAAAAAAATAAAAAATTTTATTGAACAATTTATTGAAAAATAATCCATTGAAAATAATTATTCAAATCTTTTTGATTTCAGAACAAACAATTAGTTTTTGTTTTGTTTAGATGTTTAATAATAATTCTGATTTATTTAATTTGGGTGTTTATTAAAAAAATTCTGGTTTGTTTGGATGTTTATTAAAAGTTCTGATTTGTTTTTAGATGTTTATTAAATATTCTGGTTTGTCTAGATGTTTATAAAAATTCTGATTAGTTTAGATGTTTATTAAATGTTCTGATTTGTTTAGATGTTTGTTAATAATTCTGGTTATTTTAATTTACCTATTTGTTTTGTTAATGTTTGTATCATTTGTTGTTTTATTCAATGTATTATTGATGTTTTTATTAATTGCTGTTGTTGTTGTCCTTTTTCCAGTTGTTGGTGGAGCTGACATTGAATAAAACCGTAGAGAAGAAACACGGGCCAAGGGTCGAATTCTTCGAGTATGGGAAATGGATTCGCTTGCTGCTTTGCTTAAAAATTTATTTTGTTTTTAATTTCCTTTAAACTTCTACCGAATTAAATGTTTGTTTTGTGAAATAAATTGTTCTCTAGGAGTTCTTTCCCAAGACCCAGGGACTGGCTTTGGTTCTGTTAAAGAATTCTCGCTTATTTTTCTTCGAATAAATGATTGAGGTTTAAATTGAACTACAGCATTGAATTGGCTTTCATCTAAATTTTTTGTTGTTGAGGGTTTCTGAACAGATTTTTGTTCCTAAAAATAAATTTAAATAAAAAAAGGAAAAAATTAAAATATTCACAATTTTATCTTTCCCTTTAACCATTAATTTCTCCTCTTTTTTCTCTTTTGTTGCAACCTCCTTTGAAGTATTAAAAACATTCTTTTGTTGATTTTTGTTGGAAATTTCTTCTTTTGAATTTTTTCGTTTTATAATGTTTGTTGTTGTTGTTCTGATTTCTTTATTTTCTTTTTCTTCTCCTTTTGTTGTTGTTTTCTTTGTTGTTGTTGTTGTTTTTGTTGAAATGTTTGGAGAAGAATTTATTGATGTTTGGATGTTTTGCTTTGTTTGTTGTTGTGGACTCGAACATTTCTTTTTAATACCAACAACGTCTTTTTTGTTTGTTTCAGAATCTTTATTTGTTGTTGTTGAGGAAGTTGCTGCTTTTGTTGTTGATGTTTTTGTTGTTATTGGTGTTTTTGTTGTTGTTGGTGTTTTTGTTGTCGATGTTGGTGTTTTTGTTGATGTTTTTGTTTTCCCTTCACTACCAGAATTTGCTTCTTTTACAATAGAAAGGCGACGATGTGCTATAGGGCCTGTTGTTTCTATTAAGCTTTGAGGGCGATCCTTACTAAAAAATTTTTTTTTAATTTTTAATAAAATAAATTTCCTTTTACCCTTCTCTTCCATTTAAAGATTCTTTTGTAACTTCAGTTGTCGATCTTCTACTTAAGGAGGGCATTCGCAAAAGTAGAGAAGAGGCTGAAACTGTGGATTGAGTAGGCGATATTTGTTGTTTTTGTTGTTTTGTAGTAGAAGAAGGTTCAATTAAAGCCTGGCTTTCGGCCATTGTTTGCCGAAATTTTGCAACAGTTGCATTCTTTAAAAAAATGATTTTTTGGGGTTAATTAACGTTTAGTTAAAAAAGTTTTTGGCCAACGCGCCCAAAAGCTTTCTGCGCCTAAACATCCCTTCAACAAAATTTTCTCCTCAATTATACCTTATCTAAGGCTCCAGGTTTGCTAACAAAGCACTTAAGTGCAGCAATTTCTTTTTCCAATTCCCTTTCATTATTTGAATGTTGTTGCTGTTGTTGTTGATGTAATTCATTACTAATTACTCGACGTGCACTTCTTGCCGCCATTAATCTCATTGTAGCATCAGAAGGTTCTACAATCATTGGATTATGGTGATGACCAGCGGCAAATGCACGTTCAGTTTCTCGAGCTTCTCTTTAAAATTAATTTTATTTAGGACAGAATTTTTAATAAAACAGAAAAGTCTTCCAGGGGGAGGTGGAGGAGGGAGGGAAGGAGATAAAATTAACCAAAAATTTTATTTTTTAAATCCATCGCTTATAAAAAATTTTCCCCAATAAATTCCTGTTGTTAGTTTAAGTAAATCTCTATCTTTTACCTGAACCTTTGAGCATCCGCCAATTTTTGTCTCCATGGCCTTTCTGATTTTGGAATAGGCCTAGGAGGAGCTGTTGTGGTTAAAATACCAGAATTTGGAGAAACAATTGGGGGAGAAGCAACAGTTGATGGAGAGCGGGATATTGACATTGATGAAGGAGAAACACATTTACTAAATAAAATGAAATAAAATAAAAAATTAAAAAAAAATAAGTAAGTAACTGAAACGGCTATTGGGGGAATATATAGAGTATAGGGGGAACAACAACACATTGTAGATTTATAAAAATATAAAACGAAGACTGAGATTAATGAAATTTTGTATAAAAATATCTGACAATGTTAGCTAACTCATCTAAAAATTTCAGAATTTTTGGTTCAGTAATTCTGAAATTATGGAAGAAAATGTTCAGCTTTTTGGAAGAAAAATTCGATTTAGCGTCAATTTTCACCATAATTTTTTAAATAATCAATCAAAAAATCTGAAATTTATAGAGGAGGTAAATAATACTTTAAAAAATATTTGTGCAAAATTTCACAGCTCTAGGTTAAGAAAATATAAAAATATGTAACCGCGCGCCCAAAAAAGTCTGCGCCCAAACGAACCAAAAATCTAACTACAACTAAAAATACTCCGAAAATAAAAAAGATTATAACAAAAACAACATAAAAATTGTGTCTTATTTTCTTCTGTTTATTTACAAAAAAAAACTTTGCAAATAAAAGAGAAAAGTTGGGGAAATGTTTTGTGTTTACAGACAAGAATTTTATGTAAAATGGATTTTTAAAGTTATTTTAAAAAAAATTCTTTCCCCTCTTAATTTAAAAGTAACAGAAAAAAATAGTTTTTGGAATATTTGAAGAAAATACAAAGAACAAATTTTTAAAAATAATTTTTTTTGAAGTTTTTTAAAAAATATTATATACCGTTAATACTCTAATTGAAGCCTTAAGCTTATATTTTTCAATGGGTCTCTTAAGATGGGCTTATATTTGAGGTGGGCTTCTATTCATTGCTGGGTATGGCTCTGGGAGCTAGCCTCAGCTGAGCGGGAGCCTGAGCCAACAAATGCCCAATACCCAGCAGTGCTTCTATTAGTGTATTTACGGTAGATTTAATAATATGTACACATAAGACTGTCTCAAAGAACAGGAATAATTAAAATTTATAACCAAAGCTGTCTGATCACGAAAAAGGAGAAAATCACTTTTAAAGGAAGCGATTTTGATAATTTAGATAACCAAAGAGAAGAGAATAAAAATATTTTTCCCCTTTATAACTAAAATTTTTAAACATACGAAATAGGGGATAAATTTGTTGTTTCCGCAACAGAATTTCTTAATTGAGAAGAATTAACAAAAGGAGAAGATATTGAAGGGGTTGTAGTTGAAGAATAATTATTTCTTTCTTTAAAATTAACAAAATTTTAAAGAATTTCTTTCCAATTAACCTGTTTGTTGTCTTTTATTAACTGGACGTAAATTATAACGTATATCAACTAGCGCTGCCCTCGTTTGGCTTAAACCCGTTGTTCTGTAGGGAAAAGTTTTGCGTTGTGGTTCGTGTCGGGGAGACAATGCAACACTCCCCCCACTGCCGCCAGCTGAAAGGGAAGACCGTGCAGTTGTTTCATTTGAAGTATTTGAAGCTAGGGAAGAGCCAAAACGGGATGAACTATCAAAAGAATTTAATTAATTTTAAAAATAACATTTTGGCGCAAGCAACACTTAGGCGCGAGAGACTATAAGACCCTCAAAATAAAACCTATTTTCTTAAAATTTTGTAGTGATATCCCCTATAGTGGTGTCTAATTCTTCTTAAAATTTTAAAATTCTTGGTTAAGTATTTCAAAGTTATGGACAAAAAAGTGACAGAATATGTCGACATTTTTCAGAAAATTAAGAATATTTTTGAGCACAACTTTGGAAAAATTAACAAAAAATTCTGAAATTATAAGAATAGTTAGTTAACATTGTTGGGGATATCCAGGTAAAATTTCGTGGCTATGGGCACATATTTGGGAGTTTTATAAACTAGAGAAGGAACGAAACACCCGAAACTTGCGCCTCTCTTATACAGAAAATTTAAAAAAAACTTTTTAGTTCATTTACCGTTCCGGTGCCCTCAACAGCTTGGAAGGAAGAGTTCCATATCCACTTTGTGGAGAACAAACTCGACTGCTTCCAGCCCCCTTACTAGAAGTACTTGACGCTGAAGTAGGGCGTATTACGGAGGAAGTTGGGGGACTGACAGTTTCGAAAGCGCTAGCTAATCGGCTTGTTCTGTACCCGCCAACTCCACTAGGTCTAGCCCAACGGACAGAGTTCCAACTGGAAATATTACAAAATTTATTTTATAGAAAACCTCTATTATGTAGACACCCCTCCCTAATACAAACAAAAATTCGTCCATAAAATGGAGAGGTTTATGTGTCTACAAAATAGAGGCTAGGAACTATATTGAAAGTCCACAAAATAGAGGGCAATTATCTCCCTTTTTAAATATTCTAACCTAGTTCCAGTAGGTTCAACCGATGTACTTAAACGTGCTCTCGCTACGGAACTAGCCATCAAGGATTAAAAAAATAATTATTTTTAAAATTCAAACAGTTGTTTTGTTATTTTTAATAGTTGTCAATTTTTTTCTTTTTTAGGTTTTCCACCCAATTGGATCTAAATAAATTTTTAAAATTGATGATTCATAATTTTATAAACAAAATTATTAAATTAAAAAAAATGAACGGAGAGACAAAAATTTAATAGCGCCTTCATAGGAAAGTGAGATTAAACACGTTGCCTTTAGAGTTGAATTCTGATTTCCTCCTTCCCATGTTTGGACAAGTTCTAATTTCTAATTTATTTCTAATTTATTATCGTTAAAATCAGTGTATTTTTTATACTGTGAAGACGCCTAAATAAAAACGCCGTAAAACTTTTATTAACTACCCTGGGTAATTATTGTTTCGACCTTCCGCTGGGTGGAGTTATTAATCAAGGGAGGGTAGTTATACGAGGTTTAAAATTTGAACGTGTTTTAGGACATTTGATGTGGGGTAATTATTGTTTCAATTATTGTTTTAATCTTTCGCTGGAGAGGGTAATTAATAGAAGTGGGGTAATTATTTAAGGGAGGGTAATTAATACAGGTTTTACGATAAATCTAAAACTCGGGTTGAGTACAGGGATAAGGCTGTAACGAAGACTAATAGTAAAAATTTTGTTGGATAGCGAATTGTGAATGAGCGAAAGATTTACGAGATTGTGGTTAATCCTTAATAAAATAACAACAAATTAAAAATCTACTAAATATTTTTTAATGATCAATTTGGAGGAAGAAAAAAAACATAAAAATAAAACAACTACTAAAAATAAATATACAAGCATTTTTAGCTAGCAAATGTCGATTGGAGCATGAACGAACGGCTGCTGGTTTTAACGGGAAAAATGGAAGTGGGGGAAATGAGGAAAAAGAATAAATAAAGGGAAGGATTAGATAATAATATTTTTAGAGGATTTTGAAAGGATTTGGAGGAGGGAGATTTTGTGTTAGAAAAAATACAGAGAAATTCCGGTAGAACTTGAAGGGGCTGAAGACAAAGTTCCTTTATAGCAAGAGTAGGTTTGCCGTTTTCGAGTTGGGCCGCATTTTTCCTAGCCAAATTTTTCGGACTTAACTTTATCGAGTCGAGCCGTATGAGTCTTTTTCGAGCCAAATATCTTAGGCCCGACTCGATATTTCGGTCCGTGTCGGTCCATTTTAACAACCCTAATAAGGAGATTCGTTAAATCGTGGGTTTCAGATCATAATTAGATGGCATATAAATTAACAGGAAAAATCAAGGTATAATTCAGAATGTCTGGACTTGGGTTCTCGATATAGGAAAATCCGGCCCTTTAACCAAAATCCAGATTAACCGAGATTAACCAAGATCTACTCCATTCAATATTAAAAAATACACACAAAAAAGAGAAAGAATCGGTCAAGAAATTCTCGCGTTTAGAAAAATTTATTCTATTTTAAAGCTTTTGTGTAATCCAAACAGATGTACTTAGAGTTGTGAATAATTGATCCGCTCAAAAAGATTTGTCTCTTTTTCATTTAAAAATATTTTTCTCTCGTTTTTATTTACTTTTTCCTCTACAAAAAATTTTATAGCAATTTATTTTTGTCTAAAATCCCCTTTAAATTATTTTAGGTTTCTGTCAAGCCTCTCCTCAAAAATAAAAGAAAAAATCAGCGTAAATAGAAAAAAAATCAGAAAAAATAAATAAATTACTTTCTCCTCTATTTAAAGTGTAAACTACACTAGAATCTCTCTCCTTTCTTTAAAATAATTTTTTTCTATTTTATAACAGAAAATTAATGTTGGTCAGTTTTTCTCTATTTAAAAAAACTAATTTATTTAATTGACTAATTAATTAGTCAAACAAGAAAAAAAAATTTTTTTTTCTAAGCAAAAATCAATTTAAAAAAATTGAGAGAAAATTAAAAATAAAAATTAAGAAATTGGATAAAAATAGGCCAATTTTTGGACAAACAAAGTAAAGGAAAAAACTTGAATAAATTAACCAGAATTTATTTTAATAAACTTTTAGCTCTATTAATATTTCAGAATTTTAGGGTAAATTAATTAAGAAAAATTCTGATTTTATTCTTCTGCATTTTTTTGGTAATTTTTTTACTTTTTTTAATACAGAAGTTTAGAATCAGAATTTTTTATCAGAATTTTTCTCAATTAATTTACCCTGAAATTATGAAATATTAATAGGAATTAAACAAAAATTCTGAATTCAGAAAAAAGAAAATAATCAGAAAATCAGAAAATTAATTAGCATTAAAAATAAGAGAATTTTAATAAATTATTGAATATTTTTTTGTAAGGAGTTTATCGAAAAATAAAAATAAAAATTCATTCACCCGTTCGTTCAATAAAAATAAATTGAATCAACACTTTCTTTCTTTCAATTTCCACACCTTTTAAAGCAAATTTAGCGGGTTTGTAGTGTTAATTTGTATATATTTTTAATGTGCTTTGTTAATGCATTAAATATATTTTTACAGTTAAGAATTTAATTATTTTAAAATTAATTCAGAAAATTGTTTGGAATTTTTTGGGGGAGAATAAGTAAGGAAAAGAAATATATGTAGAAAATTAAATTAAAAAATCAGAAATAAAAATCAGAATAAAATTCAGAATAAAAGCAAAAATAAAAATCAGAAATAAAAACAGAAAAAGAAAAATCAGAATAAGTGTGGTGACGCCCAGACTCTTTTGACTTTAATTTTAATTTAAATAAATAAATGACATTGTATCCCTTTTTATGTTCCTATAAAAGAAAATTCTCTCTCCCCAAATTCGTTCATTTTGTTATTTTCTCTTTTAGTGACTGTTCACCCTCTTTATTTATTCCCATAATTTATTTGTTGAATTGTATTGCCTCTTTGAAATAAATATTTATTTGAATTGGCTTGGACTTTAATTTAAAGAAGAGTGATTAAAAAGAAGTAATAAAGGGGAAGCATTTAGATTTCTCACGTAAGAATCAGAAATAAAAATCAGAATTAAAAATTAAACAGAAAAATATATATGTAGCAAAAAACGTAAAATTATTTTTTAAAAATATAAAATTATAGGAAAGCAGACTTGAGTCATTAAGAATTTAAAAATTAATTAAATAACCCTTAATTTAAGCTAAAATAAAAATCCTATGATAAATCTCGTTTAAAAGTCACCCGTCCTCTTTTTAAAAATCATCACAAGTTTAACTTAAATATTGCCAATTTGTTAAAAGTAAAAAATAAAATAAAAATTTTCCCCTCATTTCCATGAAAAAAAATTTATTTTTACCCAATTTTTCTCCTCCAAACAAAATTTAAAAAAGAACAGTTGTATATTTAAACAACTGTTTTTAATTCTTCTTTTTTATTCCAAATTTTTTTTAAAAATGTTTAAAATATTTTTAAAATAACAAGAATCGATTAGAGGAAGAAACGCCCCCACTCTTATAATTATTTTTTTTTTTTGAAAAAAATTTCAAAAGTACAAAATAGGGGATTATTAAAAATTATTAACAGATTTTAGAGAATAAATTGAGATAATTTTTCTGATGAATATGAGAAATCTTCAAATTTACAAAAAAAATTTTGGTTGTAAAAAAAATCTATAAAAATAATATTCACATACAAAATATTATTTTTGTAGATCTTTTTTTACTAAAAATTTTTTTTGTAGATATGAGGATTCCCATATCCATCAGGATTAAGAGCTTTTCTACAAATTAAATTAACAAAAAAAATTATTTGTAGAACAAGAAAATTCAAATAAAAAATCATAAAAATAAATCATAAGAATGTTTGTTAGGTCATAGACATGAAAAATCAAGGCTACAGCAACAGATCAACCATTTCTTAATTCTAGCAATTTTCAGTAGATTAGCGAGATTAAAGGGAAATTGAGGAGATTGAGCGTAATTGGAATTAGTCTTAGAAAACAGGAACCGCGTAATTATTTAATTTTCTGGGGATATAGAAAGCCCCTCCGATACAAAAAAATTAAATCCAAAAAACCAAAAAATTTTTCCAATTTCTCTAAAATCCTGTAGAATATTCGTGACAAGAATTTTACAAAAAAGTATGCATAAAATAATAATTGTATATATTTTATAAGCTCTATATTCCTCTCAATGTCCTTGGCCTAATCCGTTGTTGACTTAGATTTTTAGTGTAAAAATAAAAAGAAATTGGGGAGAAAATTGTTTAGAGAAAAAAGAAAAATGCGCAAAAATGTGTAGGTATATATTTGTTTTAGTTTTTTTTAGTTTTTACTACAAACTTTAAAATAAGAGGAACTAAAAATAATAAATGTTGAGAGAGCTCAAATGTCAGAGTAATAAAAGTAGACCTTATATTTCGATGAACTAGAAAAATGTTTTTTTCGAAGATAGGTATTTGAATTTTGAATAAGTAAAAATTCGAAAAAGGATTAGAGTTGCCAAAATGGGTATATGTAGACTCGATCCTTCGGTTCGGGTTGGGACTAAGATATTTGACCCGATAAAATGCACCGACTGTTGGCCTGACTCGAGAACGACAACTCTAAAAAGAACAACTCAGACACGTAAATAAATATATTTTTCGATTTTTTTAAGTTTGAAGTTTTATTTAAAAAATACATATAAATTATATAAAATAATACTACACTTAAGGTTGCGATTAAATCGAAAAAAGGACGAAAAAATTTTGAGAGAAAAAGAGAGAATATTAAAAGTAAACTTTTACACATTTTTATATTTAATTTAAAAAAGGTGAAAGTAAGAAAAAGATTTATTGCTGAATTGGGAAAAAATTATTTTTTTAATGCAAATAAAATTTTTTTTAAATAACTTTAAATAAATTTGGTAACAGTTATTTAGTCTTCTCTTATGAATTACCAATTAGAGTTTATCGGGATCCGGCGTATTTATAAAAATATATCCACAGTCATTTTCAAAGTTAAAGCGAATTTCGGCTGCTAAAAATTTTTTTCGATTTCGGACAACTCAAAATTTCTGTGAACAAAAATAGAAAAAAAAGT